AGCATCTATTCATGAAGACTCCCCAGAGGTCCTTGTTTTAAGTTTATCTTCATTTTCACTCTCTAAACAAGGATTTCATGCCATAAACTATGGCTATGAATAACTTTAAAGTTTCACAGCAGCTTGGTGGTTTTACTTTTCGATTCCAGAAACAAAAAGCACCAAAAATTCAAGACTCGTCTTCCAGCTGCAACAATGTGAGGCAGTAAAACTGACTGTAAAAAGCCAAAGCAGGAAGAACTTCTGGATTTCACAACATATGTCCCATGAGGGTATTTACAGGACTGGGCTGAAGGTCTGGTCTGGTTAAAAGTCTGTCTTTATCGGGGTTACAGAGCCTGACACAAACAGGTTTCTATAGAAGCCATATCCACGCAGGTGAAAACACTCAAGCACAGATTTAGTCTACTACTGCTGTATTTATGTGCTCATCGTAAGCTGCCAGTTTCTGAGTTGGGAAATCTATTGTCCAATTTTGATGTGTTCACGTTCTCAGGAAAGTTTGGTATCATGTTATCAAATAAAATGTTGATAATTATTGAAATATTGCTCTGGTTTGAATACCTGACTTGTTACTAAACAAATGTAAAAGCAAATAAGACCATCAGCGAAAAGATTTAAGGTTTTCATATCCTAATATTTTGATGCCTGAAACTGGTGTAAGAGTTTAGGTGTCAGCAAAGCAGCTAAAGAAACAATCCTGATTTTACAATTTCCAAAAAGTTCTATAGTGAATTAAAAGTGAAGTGAAATTCTATACCTATCATACTACTACTTATAAAATTAACTTTTCTGACATGTCTTGGTCAATCTATGTAGACAACAATTTAAACCACATTACAAATAATGTGTCAGCAAAAATGTTTATGCACAGCACACTAGTACGTAAAAATGTATTAACCATCAATGCAACGTCTTTTGTCTGTGATGTTGACGACTAATATGATGTCAAGTTAACAAGTTGAGCACCAAATTCTCTTCTGAGTTGTTGTTCGTTTTTCAGATTAGTCCCACACAGCATGAATTCAGGTTTCAGCTGGGGCATACACTATGTGAATTACAGCCACACCCAGGACCTAAACAGCTGTTCCCGTTCAGCTGGATGAATTTCTGGCATGTCAGAAATGTTGCTTTCACACAGTGAAATCAGGCCTAAAAGCCAATTTCTCAACTTCAGAGCGTTTTTAAACACCCCTGAATTACATGGTGGATTGCATTTGACAGCACCTTCATAACACGTCACAAGGTGAGGACAAATTAAAATACATGTAGATGTTCACCAAGCAGCCAATGTATGCATGTCAATACTGCAGCTTTGGCACAAACTAGACTTCTTACAGCTTCAACAGTTTCAGGTTTTCATGTCACATCAGAAAGGTGATTGCTAATCTTTGAAAAGAGAGAAAAAAAAATCTGTGCATAAAATGACTGCCGCTCAAATAAATTACCAACTCTTCAAATCCTTTAAGTAAAACAAAAGGTGCTTTTTTTTAATTGACAGTGCTGGTAGTCAATCATACTTTTTGCATGGGCAGCTTTACTGAAGATGTTTTCAACACTTTTTCTTTGTCTGGATGTAAAAATCACCATATGACTTTATCCCCCTTCAGTTATACTTGACTGTATGAGTCATTGTTGGTAGAAACACCTCTATATTTGTTCAGGTTTAACAGTTAAACTTTTCAAACACACCTGGGATCTGTTGTCATGAATTCACCTGTTTGCCTGCAGGTGTGGCCCTTTTAATGGTCTGTGTGTGTTTCCTGCTCTGTCAGCCACACAGCAGTGTTGGTGGATTTTAGCTTTTAAAAGAGGAGGAAAACAAAGAACTCATACAGGTGTGTGGTAGGAGATTTCCTCTCAACTCTAAAAAAACAGGGCCAAGTTGAGCCAAATATAAAGTATAATCTTCCTTTCAAAAATTGTAACTGTAGTGTATTTAAAGTGCACCTGAAATAAATGATTCATTGTTGGGGGGAAAAAAGTTAAACAAGAAAAACATGGCAAACAGTAGCAAAGTCTTTCCCTGAAAACAACCCCCTCTTTAAATGCAGACTTTTTCCAGTATGCTCTCCAGCCCGCCTGGGCTTCTGTTGAGTTGTTTCGGATCCTGTCATCTGAGTGTTTATTCTTTTTATTATAATGAAAATAAATGAACTAAAACCCAAACATTAGTCTTAATGAGCCCTAAACAGAGACAGAACAAACACAACCGTCAAAAACAAAGCTGGGCTTTCAGCAACGTACTTTCTTCCTTAAGAGGCATCACCATGAGCCAGCAGAGCAATTAAAAATAACAACACCAGAGACAGGTCGGCGCTTTGAGGATTTTGCTCCTTTAGTCAAAGTTAAGCACACTTCTTAATTCTTTTTTTTTTCTATTCCACTAGCAGCACACTAAAAAAATGTCTCTTACTTTGAAGGGATTTCCTACATTTGCTTTGACACCATATATATATTTAAGCCAGCTGACAACCTGAAAGCAGAAGGTCACAGCCTGTTTCTCTTAGAGCATTGTTCCAACTTTCTGTCTCCTCAGGATGGGCGTAGCTGCAGGCTGTCCTGATAAAGCTGGACTGGCTTCACCTTCAGTAGAAATATGGTCCAAGGTACATAAAAGTGAACTGAAGCCACAGTCTTTACAACTAGAGCTGGGCCTGCTATGTTTGCACTTTTCTGACCTTCACTTAAGACAGATCTGCTTCTGATTGTGGTCCACTCACTTTAAGTGACAGCTCAAATAATTGAGTTGATATCAGGAAGTAGTCTTATCCTTTCTTTTCATCAGGTAGTGACTATGTATCATTTGTGTCTTGATATACAGATGTTGCAAGTATGTATTAATTATTGGGTGTTTTTCATTAAAGCCACATATTTTTGAATTTGGGATTTTAGAAGACATAGTTACAAAAATGTCATCCAAGTCCTAATTCAGTGTATCAACACAGGTTTTAATTTCTGTGATTCTCAAATGGGAATTTGTGTGATTACGCTTTAGCATGACCTTGGGTACTTTAAGCAAGGTAAAGTAAAAATACAACAAAGAAATCAATAAAGCATTTAAAGATTATGGATGCTGATTGGATAAAACACTGGATGTATAAGTTACTAATTCACCTGTAAATGGGTAAATATGCCATAGTAAAGTTGAACTGGAGCAATATCCAAATGTACACCTGGACTTGCTTAAACATTGGCAATAAATAAACAAATAAAAGGTCTCAACAACCTACAATCTTAGATGCATTTAATAAAACTGAAAACAGTGATGCCACTTTTTTCATCTTGAACCCTTACATCCTTTTTTCTGCCAAAATGATACTGTTTACACACTGAATTAGTTACCTAAACTCTATTATGATGAGATAAAGTAGAAGGAGTTATAATGTTATATATTTAAAAAACAGAAACAGAATTTAAAGTCATTACTGATGGTTTTGCATTATTCTACATTATAAATCAAATCTTCTTAAAGAATTTCCTCAGTGCATTTAATACTTCAACATTACTGTAAGCTGATATGAATGCTTAGAATCCCCTTTGAGCATTCATATAAATTATAAGGGATGCATTTAAAGGATTATGTTGATATGTAAATTGTAGGTTTGTACAAAGTGTTACAGCACCCTTGGTGTTCATGTTCATGCACATGGATGCATGCAGGCACAAAAGATGCCACAATTTGGAGATTGAGGACGATTATTTCAGCACGTAACCACCTACTCTGTGCACTTTACACCAACATAATTACAGCAATTATTGTGGCCTGGAACATTTATAACAGTAGGATGAAGCCTCCAGGAGGTCCTCAGAAAAGGCCAAGTTTCCCTTTGCTGTGATGGTCAAACTGAGACAAACTATTATTTTTCAATTCATGTACATTCAGGAGCCAAAGCAAAGCTCATCAACAGGCCATGTGACCAATCAAGAGCCACCAAAAATGATCTGTTTCTAAAATAAAAAGGCCCTCACCACTTTGATTTTTAAAAATCTAGTCTTTTAGATCACTGTAAAGTCAACCAGAAAGTTTGTCTTAATTACTTTTTCAAACTGCTTTGTCATCAGTGTGATTTGATTTTCTAAGAAAAGGAAATGTTTCAGGTTTTTAAAACTTCTCAGTGTAGCAGCAACTACCAGCTGCCCCAGATTTGATTCCCAGAACTGCTGGACCTGTTCCAGTTATTTTGTACCACTTTGTACCAATTCAGAATCAAGGAGAGGTCGTCTCCTCAGTGACTGATTGTGTGCTTGTGTGTGTGTGCGTGTTAAAGTATGTGTTGTAGAGCTGCCCTGTCTGTGAGCCGGCCCCTGGGATCTCATGTAGTTACATAGTTGGAAAATTTGTGTCTGCATACTGTATCCATGTGTGTGTGCATGTGTGTGCATGTGTTTGTACCTGTGTGCCAGGTGGCCACCTGAGGCCCCGGGCTGAGGGAACACCTGCCTCCTCAGCGCCTGCAGCTTCTTTTTGTCCCATGTGTTTCGGCTTCATGTTGTTGTTGTGTAACAGGTACTGTAACACACTGCTGTACCTGTGTACTTCATAAACCTTAAAAACTCGGAGTGCTTTGTCACACATACAGATGAGCTCCGGAAAGAAAGAGTTTGACAAAATAATGACTGAGTAAAAGGCAGGCATTAGACTTAACAGATAAAACAATCCCAAACACACACACATCCTTACATTCATTACAATGTCACCATTGATTGATGTTACCATAGATCACAGAGGTCACAAGATCAATAAGCCACCATTCAATCTCTGGAAACCAGTCACATTTAATGGCGCCATTTAGTGTCTTTACATGATTCACAGCTCAAACATTGATTTATCTCAGACTGGTGTCCTTTAAAACCTGAATTTACACCCCCGTTTGAAACCCAATCAAAGCTACTGTCTCTTTAAGGCCCTGATTTGACCAGTGCTCTAGAAGCCTCCTCCACTGCTGCCATGCAACAAAATCCTTGTCAACATGTTTCTTGATTCAGATGAGAAGTAGAAATATGGCTTTATGTTTTGAAACCCAACATAACAGGATATTTCACTTTACTAAATTTCACATGTCCAATTTCACATGTGTCCCTCGGGATGTGCAGGACAAGATCAGTGGCATGTCGTGAAAGTTGAATTAAAAAACTAAGATGATCAGCAAGACTGTCAACAAATATGAGCAGGTACAGATGTTGGAAATATCTAGATTTTGGTTCTTTATTAGTTTTTTCTCTGTAGTGGTATACTGTGTGACTCAATTTCCAATTTCCATCCACAGAGTTGTCCTAACAGGCCTCCAAAACTGTTGTGTCTTAGTACTGCTACAGCCAATATCAGCTACTACTACCAAACACAGCTGCCAGTGCAGCTTCCTTATGCAAAGCAGCAAAAAAGTGGGTCAGGTTATTTTTTGTTCTTCTTTTTTTAATGTGCAGGTATTTTTCTAATGTGACTCATACGCAACATGCTTATCAATTATTAAAGGTTCAACACGACAAAGCAGAAAACCACTGCAACATAAGAAACTGACGGTGAAATTGACCTGAACAAGCCATGCTGAGGGCAGAAGAGCATTCAGAAATCCATCATCTATGGAGACCAGGTCAAGTGCACAGGCTGGCAAATTAAACATGATATTAGCAGCAAACCATTTGGAGGTAGTTTTGGCGCTGCCGGCAGGAGCTGAGTTCCAAATATCTCATAGATTTTCGGCGGGGATCAGACAATCAAACACAACAATAACAGTGAAATGTTTGGTGGTGGTTTTGGTGTTGTGGGCAGGTGAGGAGCACAGCTTGAAAAGAAAATGGCATCTTCATTAAGTTTGTGTGCAGACTGCATGATGTTTAGTTTGTTGAAACAGCTGCATCTATGAGGGGGCTCCTTGATCACTACTACTCCTTGAGTACAGTCTGAGCAATCTTTTAGTTAGGCTAAAAGTGTATCACTGCTGAGATCTTTAATATTTTTGTTTTCTTTTACACCAAGCTGTGTGATTTAATCTGAATAAAAAGTTTGACTTTGCTTTTATTCTGAACAGAGGAACAATACTCGTGGCTCTCCTCTCTGTAAAAAGCTCAAAGTTTTTTTGCAGTTGTGCAACAGCAAAAGAGACCATTTTGTAAGTATACTTTTTTTTCCCTCAGGTATGGGCCACAGCCCTGTATATGTCTGAATAATAGATTTAGCCAATTCCACCAGCCTTGAGTCAATCACAGTGCCATGCTCTATGTTTTCTCTGGCTCAGCTCCCTCCTTTTCATAGATCCCATTCAGCTCCGAGTCGTCTACAGCGAGAGAGCAGAGAGCGAGGAGTATGTTCGCTTCCACTCAGTCTTTATTTTTAGGTTTGAGTAGACTTACAGATGGCCTACATAAAACTGAATGGAGCTTCATTTTAACAGCGGGACCCAGAATTGGCTGGCGTGCCATTGTGTGGTCTCTATTATGGGAATATGGGGGAGTTTAGTAATACAGCCTGTCCCTTGCTGTCTGTGCACATGGCAGACATGATTTTCCGTGATGATTTCTGAAATGGGTTTGTCCTCAGGGTTTGTGGCGGTGTGCCATGAGGTTAAAGGCCAGTGCCTCTGAAGAGGTGGTCCAATTGTTTGGCGAGCGATGTAACGTCATGCTCCCCCAAAATGATTCATCTACCGCAGTCCTGTCCGCCAATTCCATCTGCTCAAGCCTTCAGCTAAATTGAAGAAGACAGGAATAAAAGTTTGAGGAGAAGGCGTTGAGAATTAAAGTGGAGATATTACAAGGGGGGGCTCTCCCCGAGAGATCAAATTAAGACGAGCCACATGAGACATTCTTAAGAGCGAGACGACAGGAAAATTAATCAGCAGAATGAAGGATTATGAATTAGAAGGTGTCAAAATGGTAATAGTCTGTTAAGTATGCAGGCTGTTCAGAGATCTCAGTGCAGTCTTGCAGCACATTTTGACCTCAGAGGTTTTGGATCATTTTTTAATATAACACATAGAAGTACATCCTGAAATCACAGACATCTATCAGCATTCATTACCTTTTATTTCCTTCTCCACTTTTTCTCTTACGCAGAAATCAGATCACATAAGTTTTCAATCAGTACTGCTCGCTATGCCAGACTAGAGAACCATACAGCATACGCTTGCTGTGACTTGGCCAAAGAAAGCTGAAGATCACTTGTCGTCTTTAGACCATTTGAAAATTTCTTTTTCCTCTTCCTGAAAGACACACAAGTAGGATAGAGACTTTGCACCTCATTCATCCTTATGATTGCTTCGCTGTCATTTAGGAGGTAGCAGGAACCCATCGTCCATCCTTTGATGACAGTATTCGCTTCTTGAAATGGTGCAAAACTTTCCTGGTGTTCTGGTTTAGCTAGCTAGAGGTAAGAGATCAAATATTTCCAGCAAAGACTTAGATTGGGGAAGAAAAAAAAAACATTCAGGCAAGGAATTACGGCCTGAGCCAGGCCACTTTAAAGAAGGACTTTATTTCCTCTATTTTGATGAATTTTACTGAAGGTAAATCACCAACTCATTAAACCAAGACCAGCAGTTGTACCTTACAGGACATTTCCATTCAAGTTACACTTCCCGTAAACCTTTTTCCAGGATGAAGCATATTGATTTTTTCCATCAAATGTAAGATATTTGTTCTGTGCCTCTTATTTTCTTCAAATCACATATAGTTGGAAGAGGAACAACCAAGCTTTGTAATTTATATGACCTTACTCCAGTTTGTCCAAGGCCAGAGGAACCAGAAGGACCTTTCATGTACTTCCTACAGTCAGTCGAGCCTGGAAATGACACTTTTGGGCAGATGAAATCCCCAACACTCCAGTTGTCTCAGGTGTGTCTCAGTCCCTGTTAATAGTTAGTCACATGAAACTTAAACGCTTGTTTATTCAGTGGTGTGAAACAGAACAAGAAACAGATTTTCTTTCAACCCACCTTGAATCAACAGGTCGAGGGGCTATGTAAACTAAATACAGATATCCAGCTCTAACCTGCTCAACACATCTCATTGTCCAGTCTCCAAAATGTTAAGTTTGTTAAAATAGCTTGAAACCCAGTGCTTGCAAATAGGTCTGATTACCTTAATTCAGAGAAATGTGATGTATCAGAGGATAAGGGGCGAGTTTTAAGGATTACATCAACACTGCCTCATGAAAATCTGCAGCTTTTACAGTCTTAAGAAGATCCTTTAAACAGCTGATCTACAGTAAGGCTCTGTTATCCTCTTTAATTTTACAGTAAGAGTTTGAACACGAGTATTTCCTAAGTCTTAGAGGTAAAAAAAAAAAACATTGATTACATCCTTATCTCTTGATGCTGTTACAAAGATTTAAAATCATCCAAGAAGAGACAGAGCCATAAAATCAACAGACAGAAAGGAAGCGTCTGACAGATGCATTTCCCTCAGACCAAAAACAGAGATAACAGGAGACTCACTATCAGTGGGAAGTCCAGTTTAAGATATTCCCACAGCCCAACTTCTGACAACAAGAAACATGTACAACAGGCAGCCAAAATAACCAGAAATAACCCAAATAACTCAGGACTCTGACTCTGAGGAAACTCCATATCAGGTACAAAACTTCACCCGTCTGTTAAGGTGGGTTTAAAAACAATCAGCATCCTCACTCTGCAGACTAACTGACTGGAATCAGGGATTTTTATCAGTGAGTTTCCATAACAACAGAATAAAAGGACCCCAAAAGGTCAAATATCTGTGTCTGTAAACTGCAGGTGCATCGGTTAAGAACATTTTGAAACACTTTAAATGTCAGAGAAAATGTGGCGTTTCTCTTTTGTCTTTATGGCTGCACAAAATTCAACAAAAAGGAACCTTTCAGTGTACTCGTGTATTTCATTCTTTAATATTTCATTGCAAATGTATTTTGATTACTCTCTGGATATTTGGTAATTAAAAAGGAACATGTTGAAATACCAGCTTAAATTTAAAAAGTAACAGAAGTGAAAAATAACAACTAGAAACCAAACATACTGTAGTTTCAATAGCTTAAGCTGTCAATTAACCCTGACTTTTTCACTGTATGTGTGCCATATTTAAAAAAAAAAAAACTAACATGACAGCATCTGTTATAGCTTTACACTATGCTCACTTGGATCAATTTTATGCACCTGGGAAATAATTCTGCTTTTTAGCAGGTGTTTTTGGGCTGTGGTGGTCTCGTCTCATCTGCAGAGCTAAAGTAGAAATGGTTTAGCTGCTGTTTTTGTTGTAACACCCTTTAAGAGCTTTTGCAGCAGACTGTGTTTTGTTCAGTGTTGTACATTGTAAAATCAAACTAGTTCCAATACACTGATGAGACTTTTCGCCTTAAAGGAATATTCCGGTGTAAAATTAAGTTAGGGTCAAACACACTGTAACACCAAGTTAGATACCCCTTTGAGAGATGAATGTTGCCGACTGCTTGCTTCTCTAGTTATACCAACTTTAGTAACGACCGCACAATAGCACCACTCTAAACCAAAAATAATGCTCAGAACAGCACCTAACTTCATCAACAGTACATATAGGGTCCCAGCCATAGTACTAGCCACCAAACATCTTTTTAGCTTTGCCTAATTTCTTTAGCAAAGAGACTAAATACAACTTACCTACTCTCTTCCAGCAGCCGCTTGTTTGTGGGGGGAGCCTAGACGAATCCATCATCGAGTGCAGCGGAGTTTCGCAGCTCAAGGAAGAACATTTATGATCGTTACTTTATAGAAATGCAATCAGACTGAGAAGCACTACCACGTCATATGGTGATTATTTGAGAAATAAGGGTTAGGGTTAGATATTTCATGAAAAGCAAAGAAAATCCTATCTCTGTGTGTTTAGCCCATCAAATTTGAAAAGTTAGAGGACCAATAACATTAATTTGTAAGCGCAATTTGGCAAAAGGTTCAGAATTTAACCCAAACACAGAGGAAATCTACCTCGTAGTTGTTGATTTGGGTGAGAAAGTTTATATATCCTCTAAAATAAAAGGGATAAGGCTGAAGAAACACCAAAGTGAAAAAAAATTAAGGCTAAAGAAACACCAAAGTAAGAGAAACAAATTCAAAAGTGAACTATTCCCCATTCTTGAAAAGCTACAGCTCTCTGAACTCATATAAGATTAAAGTCTGTTGGAATCTGCTCAATTTAATAATTAATCCAGAGAAAAGACTTGAACCCTTGCCTGTTGACACTGGCAAAAGTGCTAGTTTGGTGGATTTAAATGTGTTTGATTTTTTTAAACACTGCTTTTAACTTATTTGGAGAGCATAAAACTGGAGACTTTTTAAAAGGTTTCTTTATAACTTTAAAAAAACAAAATCGGATCGGAGATTTGCAGCAGCAGTAACTCCGACTCAGAGCTCAGCTGCACCTTCATTACTGCTGATGAAACAGGTTGTTCCAGTGGACCAAAGAACAGTCTGCTCCTGCCCTTTTCCAGGAAATTTCTTATTGTGTGTGAGATGGTGTGCTCTAAATGCTATGACAGGACTCTTAAGGTTGTTGATGCTGGAAGGTAAAAGGCGGTAAATTTGCCTGGGAGAAAGCGAGAGGGAAGAACAGAAAGTAGAGGAACGAGAGGAATCGGATCAGACAGCAGTGGAGGCAAAGCAAAGAGAGCGAGCAAAGATTGTCTGAGACGGACTTTTCTTGGCAGACTTTCCTGAATCACTGCACATTCCCGCAAGATTAATTGAAGCTGTTTCTGTTTTTGTTTCTCCAGTCTGTGAATTACCTCCAGTTTATAGAGAAACAGCTGTTCACCCACTTCCCCCAGACTTGGCCTGTGTGATTATGCGTCGAGTGACAACCAAGACAAACATCCAGGGCTCGCTGGAGCGGCTCAGACGCAGCCTTCACGCTTTTCTGATGTTCTTTCCATTTCACAAGCTGCTACTCATTTACATAATGATTAATAAAAAGACACAATCATTTACAGCGACAGAAATATTTATTAAATCTTTTTTTGTTGTTGTTTCAGTTAGTCATAGCTGCTCCAACACGTGTATTTACAAAGAAATGGCCTTTTTTGTAGAAAATCCTAGTGAGGGATTGAGCAGGAAACAGACTTGAGAATAGATTCATGAGTACATGGGAAGATGGGGCTCATAGGCACAAGGTACAGGTACTACAGAGTCAAAGAAATGTGCAGTTTTGTGGCACATCAGTGTCGAGTTTGGAAAAGAAAACAAAGCTGTGACTTCGCGAAAAAAAACTTCCCAATGCGAGATGCACCGTCAAAAACACACATCCTTTTTTTGACATACAGAGGATAAACAAAAGCTGCAAACCTGGGTGCTGTTTTCAGGCTACATGGTACCAAAATTGTACCATTGTTCATAATACCTGCCCTCTGACTGTACGCTCAATACTTGCATGACTGCCATTTTTTTCTGATGTCAGGCTGAGTTGGCTCAGATGCTTTTCCAGTCTCAAAATAGTGCTATTATAAATCTTATACATGAGGAGAATTCAGCCCGACTGTTTTTTGAAGTTCTGAGTTTACGTGACACACTAAAAACAGCTCTGGATGATACATGGAAGTAAGTCAACGTGTATGAAATGTGATGCCCTGACTTGTTTTGCCTTTCCTTAATATGACGGATTTTTTTTGTCCTTCAGCCGTGATAACCGCTGTGATTTCACCAGATCTGTGGTTGGTTCGTCTCTGCTTTGCTTTGGCTACGTGCTTTCTCGCTCATCAACAGAGAGGTGGACTTTCTGCGTCTTTCTTTCCATTATAAGCTTTGAAACCCTCCGACTGATTGACTCCACGCCTGACTCCACTCACTACGACTATTTGTTGGTGTGGTTCAGTGAAATAAGATCTGGCATCGACACATAATGTTTAATTATAAAATTAACCAATCATTTTGATAATCCGTGTCTGACTTCTTGTCTCCCTCGATCTGCCTCATGCTAATTGATGCATCGTGCTTCGGTATCCGGTGACAATAAAAGCCGCGCACATCTGAGTTGAGAAACACAACGCAGCAGAGCAGGCGGAGGCTGAGACATCAACTGAAGCGAAAACCTGTCTGCTCTGTGGTTGTGGTGGAGTGGAGATGGACCAAACATGGATCTGGTGGATCTTAGATGCAAGGATATGGCAGATAGTGGCCATGGTCAGTCATGTGTTTGTGACAGTTTTTATCCTGATAAATGGATAGTTTGAAAACCAGGTGGTCTTGGTTTTAAATAAACTATTAAATGACACTTAAAGGTGATCCTAACTGAGCAACTGTGGCCCCCTCTGGCAATATCCTGAACATAATTCCCTGACTGAAGAGAGTTTAGCAGCTGGAAACACATTTTAGTGAAAATTTAGAGTCAAAGAGCCGTATCTAAAATTGAAACAGCATGCATGAGAACACATTAGCAACAGCCGGACAGCAGCTTAGCATTTAATCAGTTCTTAGAAACATTACAGATCAAAAGTGTGAAATAAAAAGACAACACAGACTTCCTCAATGTTTTTGACCAGCTGATTGTAAAGTTGACCAATGTAAAGTCCTCCAATGATCTTCTGGATTAACTGTAATCATACTTTCCTTTTTTCTATCCTGAAGCTGATACTGATCAATTTGTATTATTAAAACAAAAGGATAACGCAAAATTAGCATCTGAGCTTCATGTACCGAGCGTGACATCAGAACAAAAATCACCAGCCTTTGTTCAATACTTTAGTCAAGATGATTTTAACCCTCACTGAGCTTCTACATCCTGCATCTTAAACAACATTTTAGATGCAACAACACAACAAACACGAGTGACTTCCAGAAAAAAATGAAGAAAGCGGATATTCTTGCTGACGGAGATCCACCTGTTCTCTCTTCAGGCCCTTTGACTCATGATTGTTGCTGACATGTTAGCACACACACCAACATTTATAGACGGAGGATGTGATGATGATCCTGTATTTTCATATAAAAGACATATAAAATGAAACAAAGCATTTTTAATATCAAACAGTAAGCTTTTTTTCTTGCTAAGAATATTAATGTGTCAGTTAAATCGCCCTTCAAAAGAGGTGTGAAAAAAGAGAAAGTATCTAACACTGTATGTTACAACAGGCTAATTGTTGGATACACAGTATCCATGAAACTAACAGATAGTTTTTTTTCTCATTGTGGCGTGGTTAGAAGAGACGATTGCAGTGACTGCGGACTCTTAATGTTGGCAGAAATAGAAAGCATCAGGGCTGGAGGGTGTGAGGACGAAACCATTTTAGATCAAGTAATAATTTGTGCCTTTAAATTGAACATTTTTCTTTGAAACTAATCAACATGCTGTTTGAAATACTGAGATTATTTTCCACAAGCACTCTCGGCCCAGACGCAGACACGCATTAGTCTTTGTTTGGCTTTACTCTTGGAACAGAGGGAGTCAAACTACGCAGCTGTGTCCCAGTTCAGAGGCTGCATCCTTCAAAGACCAGTTACGTCCCAGCAAGCTGAGGGCTGCACCATCTTAAATGACAACGGCTTCCTCCTTTTATCAAGCAATACCACAAGATGGCAGAGCAGCTGAGTAAAACCCTGTCTAATATTAGTATCTATTTTTTTTTTACTCAGTGGAATAATGAAGGATTTAGAGGTTAGAAAAAAATGTCCTGGAACTTAAAGCTCCTGTGAGAAACTTTAAGTTGGTATAAATTTTGGCGCCCCCTGTGGACAAAACAGTCTTTGCATGCACAGCTTGTGGCGTGATGGGAAATCCTCCATAGACCAGACAGTCTCATTTTAGAGAATCACTACACAGAAGCATTTTCAACAGACATCAGTAAACTATTTTTGCTTTTGGTTGAACGGAAATGTTTTCATGGACGGTTTAAAATGCAAACTTTTGAAATTAGGAGTGAAATCTCTGAAAAGCGCCACTTTGTAAACTGTAGCCAGCTATTTAACGCCATAAAACTTACTTCAACCACTGGTCTGGCCATGCATGTTTTTTAACAGCGTCAAATATGTGCTGATTTTTTTTAAACCCAACAGACAGACTTTCTGTTTTTAACAAGACTGTTCAAAACTTCATAAAGCCACAATTCAGACCCTGATGATGGGGTCCTTTGTCAGCTGGATCCTTCAAAAAATGCTACCCCTGTTTTGGGACACAGTTTTCCTTTTTACTTTTTAGTGGAGTCAAAAAAAGGGCTGTAATCTCATTAATCTTTCAGAAATAAATAATATCAGGGTAAGTATTAGGCCTATTTGTTTCAGTGAATAGGGACTCTGCCAGAGAGCAACAGTACTAGACGCAACAATGCAGAACCAGGGCGGGATTGTTGGTTATCCGTCTGTTATTGAGAGGGTTTAGATACATTCAAGAGTGAGTTTTATGCTACAGTGACATGAGCCGGTCTGGTGAGAAATACCTCGCAAGCATCGATAGCGGAGTGAGGAAAAGGGAAAGAAAAGATCATTCAACGCCATGGACGGCTGCTTTAAAGCGGGAAAAAAAGAGGACGGCGATGCAACGCTTTAAACTGGATGGCGCACTTTTCAAAACACAAACGAGAAAGACTGTTTATGATTCCAGAAAAAAGGAAATATCTATGCTCTGGATTGAAGATTCAGATGTTTTGTATAATGAAACTTGGTTCCCTAACATTGGCAAGGTCTCAAAAATAGTAGCTGTCTTATCTTCAGTTACTAATAGAAGATTTAGATGTGGACCAGTAGGCGGAAACGATATGTTTGCAGCATGTTCCTGATTTAAAACATGAGTACTGATCTCAGCAGGAGCCCTGCACGGCTCCACATCTCTCTCTCTACATCCTCTCTGGTCCACTTTGGACCTTTGAAGAGAACAGAACACCTCGTTCTGTTTATTCCAGCTCTCCTGGCGGTTGATAAGGATGTCACTTTTCACAACATCAAAGAGGGCCAGCAAACCTCACACACCCCTGCCCACCTACACACACACACACTGCTGTATGAGCCCGTCACTGAAACATCTTCAGCCACAGAAAACTTGAGCTGCTTTTAAAAAAATCATCTCTTCTCGCCTCAAGTTCGGCATTTTCGTATCCCTGAACTCTGTAGGAAATTTGCCTCTTTCTTTATGTACAACAGTTGTGTTATAACAGTGATTCACGAAAGCAATAGTGTAATAGCAAAACTACATTGGTGACATTTTTAATGACAGATTCAAAACACAAGCATTCTACGATTTCTACACCCTGATAGCACATCAGACGTTTTTTTTCCTTCCTGGACTTTTTTTTAAAAACAATTTAAAAAAATCATCAGCCATCAATGCAAGCAGATACATAAGTTGTCCTCAGTGTTTTTGTATGATTGTATCAAAGAAACTGTGTATGTTTGTAATATGAGCTAACTTAATGGGTAAGTTTTTTTTATTCTTTTTTTTAATTGCCGTTCTACCGGACTCGCAGACTAAACCAGAACAGAAAAAAGCACAAGGACTTCACAATAAATAGGAAAAATACATTTTGCCTGGCAAATATCCACTTCTACGCTCCATTCAAATATTTTACTGTACACCCGTGTTGGCTGCTACAATTGAATTATGTGATTATTAAAAACAAACACATTAATCATTCATTAAACCTCCTCTATCCAAACACTAAAAGATGAGTGCTTCTTTAAATTTTCTTTTTTACTCTCCTCCACATTCCTCCACAGTCTGAGTCGGTGCATCTGACTCCTTTTTAACCTGAGAGGAAGGTTAAGTCATCAAAGGCCTGCCCTCCTCACCCCAGCGCCCTTGGCAACAGTCTCTTAGCAACATCATCATTTTCCTTTCCTTTTTTTTTTTTTTTTCTTTTGGACCATGGGTGATGTGTCGCTCCTGGATCTTTTTCCTAATCTCCTCCACTCTTACATGAGATTTAATGTTGTTTCATGTGTGGGATTTGTGATGTTTTCCTGAACTTAAAAGATGTAAAAAAAAGTCTGTAAACTCTGAAGGGATCCTGCTGTGCTTCTTTGCAGAAACAGCTGAAAAGTATTCTGATTGTGTAACTGTGTGAGTGCGTCTAAAACATGTTTGTGTTCAATGTTTCATATCTGCATACTGTGAACTGTAGTGAGGCAAACAGGTAAGAGACTCCACCTCTTTCACCTCGGGGTGCCTGGATCATCAGCACCAACAGAAAGTCAAGAGTCACACGAGTTGGCAAGTCAAAAAACATTGAAAAGGCTTCAGCGCTGAAGTCCCTTCCTCTCTCTTATTCTCACATAGAGAGATTGTCAGTGTTTGTTTCTTTAAAAAAAGTGCTCCTTGAGGGGAGGGGTTGCAGGTAAGGGCGGCCTGGAGTCCAATCAGGACAGTCCTTTCCCTTAGGGATTCCCAGGGGCGCTATAATGACAAGATGGCAGCCAGGAAGATGAGGGCAGCACTCAGGAGGAGGACTGAAGTTTGGCGCAGACCAGCAGAGTTCACATCCCTCCGGGATGGCTCAGGAGACTCATGACCGATGCCATCTGATACAAAAGATTATAATAAAGATTAGAGTTCATACGCAGAACAACTCAGATTAAATATCACCATAAAGCCCTGTGAAGAATGAGTAGTTCTTATATTTGAAGGAAGACTGGTCACAGGATGGGAGCAGTCACTGCTAAAGTGGAGTCAGCAGGGGTGTGCCAAGGCTCTTTCACTGGAGTAGCTCAACTGGAGAGCTGAATGTGTTGGGGTGGTATAAAGCGTGTGTGTGTGTGTGTGCACACAAACAAAATGATTTTTTTTTATTAATCTGTTTCATACCCAACATAAATGTTAACCTAACACACTTACAAGGGTTGTCAATAAATATTCTAAATATGAATATGTATTTGAATATTAAAAAAATAGCTTGAAAACAACTGAGTGGGAAAAAGAAACGAAAAAAAAGGAAAAAAAAAAAAAACAGTGGCTGCTTTGCGAGTAAGCGCACTGTAACGACAGGTCAGGGACAAACACATGCAGTGAGACTCAACAAAAACCGTCCATAACACAGGCAGAGAGAGATAGCAGGATTTTCTGAGCCAAACTCGGACAGAGTAGTCTGGACTCCAACGAACTTTAGAAGCTCCTTTTGGAAATTCTTCGGATTTTGGGCAGACACGGTAAACGGAAAAAATGCCGAGCAAGATAAAGTTATATGCAAGCTGTGTAAGCTTGATATTCGAATATGTTCGAACCTTTGTGTTACTTTTAAAACGAGTATTCAAACGTCATTTTGGAGCAATTTTGACAGCCTTAACACTTCATTCTTGAAGGATACAACAAGAAGAAAATGTCCTGAGTGACTGTTCTACGTACAACAAGATATGTAAAGAAAATCAATGAGCATCCTGTTGCAAAAGCACAAAGAGTTGTTTTCCCATCAGTTTCATGTTTTTCTTTTTTTTGTTTTTCCACTGTGAATGCAGGAAATCTTCCAAACCTGTTGGATTTAATTTACAGTATGAAGCTTTGACAGCTCGTGACATTTTAGCGAGGCAAAAAATGAAGTCATGGAAAAACAAATCTTTGTTGTTTATTGAATTATGATGCTCAAAATCAAATAACATTTAAGGACATGCAAAGGGAAAGGATATGACTGTCAGAAACTGAATGCACACCCACAAACACACACAAACACTCAGTGTGTACGTCGTATTCCCACTGACCTCTGGGTTCTAGGGAGTTGTGACTGTTGTCCTCAAAATCGACCCCTTCCTGCACACTCCCGGTACTTTTCACACAATTGTCTGGAGAAAACAAAGAGGATGTGAAGATTAGAGACCCTGAATGTCACTCAAGCTCAGTCTGATCACAAACATGTACACAACCGCAATGAGAGCTGGACAGAGTAAACTTAACAGTCTGAGACTCACTTTGAGGCCTGACAAAGACTTTAAGTCGAAGGCAGCTCCGTCTTCCTCTGTCGTCTGTGATGGAGGCTGTGGGAACATAAGGCAGAGCTCAGGACAAAACACATTATAACTTCTCCATTTGAAAATACTTCCCTTGATCTAATCTGAAGTTGTAAGGCCGCGGTTTTGGCAGAAGTGACATGATGCTCAATGAAATTATGATGATTTATTCCATGTTTGGGAAAAAAAAGTTCTATAGTGTTTTAAATCAGAACCTTTTCAGCCCGACTTCAATTTCTATCATCCTAAGTTTTTAGACGAGCCACTCGTCACTTCATCATGACAGAAAAAAAGAGGATTTTTCACCATTCGACACCAAGACAACTGCTTCATGTTGCAAAAGCTGAACAGAACCATGAATTATAACATCTGTGTAAAGGCAAGAATAATTACTTTCACAATATTTCACATATTTTATCTCATGCTACTTTTCAGCACTTGTCTGAAACTTCAAAACATATTTAGTAAATCAGTAAAAAATCCTGATTGGAAAAGAACCGCACTGATCAAGACCACAAACTGCAGACAGAAACTGTTGAACTGAGGACTTCAACCCCATATGTAGCACACTGTCTTCAAACATCTCAACAACTTTGTCTTTGAAAAACGTTTTTTCACTTGCATGTTTAAATGAATCCAGCGAGTGGTTTGTTTGTGTGTGTGTGTGTGTGTGGATGTTTGTGGGCAAACTCAACAAGGTTAAAGTTTGTCACAAATGAAAGAGAGGTTGAATCTGCACTTGGCTATACCTATGTTGTTATCTACAGTGAAGTTAGATGTTTTGAATAGACGCCATCGCAGTCATGGGGGCATGCCAGCTTACAATGGTACATTAGATTGGTCTATACACTGCAGTGCCTGACCTAAGTGTTCTGTATATGCTCCACTGTTCACAAGCACGGTTTTGACTTGGAAGCTGAACAGAGTAAATGTGGAAAGGGAAGTCAAGAAGTAAAAAATAAGGATCTTAGAGAAGAAATGGCTATCATAATTCCATAATTTCCCAGTTTTGGATTAATAAAGTAATTCTGATTCTGAATATTGTATGTACGCAAGAAACAGACTTTTCGCCGTTCAGAAAACAGCTAGTTAGCCTCTTGCTAAACAGTCTGTTGATTGTTTGTTTTTGGTGTTTTGGTTACCTGATTGTACTTCAGGGCGGGGGTGTTCTCGGGTTGCTGGTCTATGTCAACACTTGACTGAGTGCGCCCTCTGATGACACAAGTTTTCCCTTTGACTGTCATGAGTATGGACTTCATAAAAGTCAAGGCCAAGTCACTTCAGGGGTTCATGACTCTATAATCTAATCTGTATCTTGGAAGGCAAAGATATTTCTGAGTGACTCCTGCGTTAGTATTGTAGTTTCAGCTCTGCATTCACATGCTCTTAGCAGCTTTACCTGAAAGCTCTCCACTCTCTAAATCTCCCTTCATTCATAAACATCAGCCCAGCAACAGGAAGGAACAAAGAGACAAGGTCGATTGTTGTTATCAGATGAGTTTCTTTCTTATCTCCTTTAAATACAGTCTGAAGAGCTTTATCTCCTTTCCTCTTGTCCTGATAAATAATTCTCAGTATTTTATGCTCCCAAGCATTTCAATGTCACCCTCATATTTCCAAGTCTAATTCAGCCAGAGGCAGTCATTTCAGCTGCTGTGACACAGGCGGTGATACTCACCTACCAAAAAAAATCTCATTTTCTCTGTCATTAAAAAATAAAAACCATAAAAACTTATTTTTGTGGCTTTGCTGAGATTGTTTTGGAGAGCTAAAAATCTAATTAGTTCTCAAATAGTACTGGGAAACGAGTCGCTAACAGATCACTGAGGATCTTTCCAAGTTCTCGAGCCAAGTTCCCCAAACCCACAAAACCCAGAGATGTTTGAGTGTTTGTCAGCTGGTGTTGTGTCAACATGTCTCTCTCTCCAGATTCGTCAATAAAGCAGCTTGGTTCATGAAAGTAAGGTTAAAAATATGGCAAAGTCAGCACAAATTTGGCATAGTTTTGGCACATACTGGGCTGATTTTATCTCAAAACATATGTGACAGAACTAGTCAGCTTTTTTGTATTAAGCTGTTGAACTTTCAGTGATAAATTATATCACCTGAGAGGATTTGGTATTAAGCTTGGCAGCTGTTATGGGTTTCAGAATTAGGCAAACATGTCTTTTGGTTTAGTCATATTTTAGTCATTTTTGCCCTTTCTTCATGAAAATGCAATCAGACCGAGACGCTAAGGCAGAAGAACTACCGTGTCTGCAGTGGAAAATGATTAATATGGTGATTGACAAAGAAATGATCGTAAATGTTCTTCCTTGAGCTGCGTCCCCCCGCAGCAGTCCGTAATGGACTGGCCTGAGGTCTCGCTACAAACAAGCAGCTGCTGGAGGAGAGTAGGTAAGTTGTGTTTAGTCTCTTTGTGTTTGGTGGCTAGTGCTGTGGCTTGGATCCTATATGTACTGTTGACAAAGTTAGGTGCTGTACTGAGCATTATTTGTGGCTATAGAGTGGCTTTTTAGTTGAGCACGTGGCTCTCTGTATTGCTATCGTACGGTCATTACTAAAGTTGGTATAACTAGAGAAGCAAGCGGTTGGCAACATTCATCTCTCGATGGGGTGTCTAACTCAGTGTTACGGTATGTTTGACCCTTAATTAATTTTACTCCGGAATATCCCTTTAAGTCACTTTTTTGTCTTCCCAGTAATTTCATTCATTCATCAGAAGTTTGAATCAAGGCTGTACCAGGAGCCCAAATCTGCAGTTTCAGCTCTAAACACCTTGATTTCTGAAATAGTCACCTGGCCTCACCTTTGACCCTTCACTTCTCCCCAAAGCAGACATGAGCACTCTTTATTCCACATCACTTAACTCGGACATCCAAACAACAAGCTGGTGAAGTTCAGAAACTACCCTATCAGCTTCATTTTTTGACAAGTCAGACCTCTGACTCTGAGAGCCAGAATGAGCTGGCTGTATGTGAGGATGTATGTCCCTGTGGTTTTTAGAGTATGTGCATCCATGCAAATACTGTCCAGACTTTGTCCGCAGACACTCTTCAGCACTTCCACCCAGACGCTTCGTGTGATGGATTCTGGCCGGGCAGTGGATTCCTGATAAAAGTAACCCGTGTCAGTGTTTCCACTGTCGCAGATGACTGGGGCTCTTCTTTCAAAAGGCTCTTTATCAGATACCATAGTGCTGTGAGAGCAGATAAAATCCTCTTTAAAACTTCACCATGAGAGGAATATTGGAAGTGAAGCTCAGAGGGAGGAAATAAACGAGAGAATCGGTGTCAATCATTCTGCTTCTGTCTGTGTCAGCGGGTATCCAGTAACTTACCTCACACTCCAACAGTGGCTCGAATAGACGGGAGAAGTCACTGTCTCACTTTCTGTCTGTGAACTTAACCGGCCCCAAAACCCTTTGACTACACTCTATCTTTCTGCCTCTCATTTTCCTTCTGTCTGTGTCTGCACGGCTGTCATTATCTCTTCCGGCTTTGTCTGATTCCTGAACTCTCTGACACTGACATTTTGAGGGACCTATACATCGAGAAACTTTAACTAAAGACACAGACGACATAAGAAAGACAGCGCTGACCAAAGCTATAGTCCAAGGTGTTTGAAGACTCAAATAAAATAACTCAGACTTGAGATGCAACTTCTGATTATTTTGGTTGTTAAATCATCTCTTAACGATTTTCTGGATTTAAGATAAATCTTTTTAGTTGATGCTTTGTTAGAAAGTAGAGAAATGATAGAAAAATGTTGAAATGTCAGTGTTTTCTCGTCATAAATTGTTTGCACAGAACTTTGAGATTTATTTAAATGTAATGTGTCTTACAAATAAAACTTATTATTACTGTCATAAAAATTTAGCCACAGAAAAAAACTGAAATGTTAGTTGTCAAAAGTCATGAAGCGAGACTTTCTGGAGGTCCACAAGGAAAATCTGCTATCTAATAACAGTGCATTGTATGCCATACAGATGTTTGCACACTTTTTCCTGCATTCTTGTGGGTGTCCAAATTGTTCTGATTACAAAGTCTCCAAATTTTGCCGCTTTAAATATCTCGAGGTTTCCTTATGCTCCTGCTTCACTGTCAAAGTCTGTTTTCTTGCTGTCTTGCACATTTGAAGGTGTATTAATACATATTTGGTAAGGTAATGTCAAAAAGTAATGGGCTCAGCAAAAAAAGACACGTGCACTGCTAAATCTCAAATCTTAGCAAGTGAGCAATGCCTGCAGACATTTTTTAAGTTCAAGTCATGCCTTCAGTCAAGCGATTTGCAGGTTTAGTTTTTGCCTCTCGCATTTTAAAATGAGATGTTTGTCTGAACTCATGCTGAAATGGCTCATACTTAGTGTAATTACATACTTTTCATATATACACTTGCTGAGATTTAAGTTTTGGAAGCGTGGGTAAAAATATTAACTTTTAGTGAAGTCATCAACATGCTGTCATAGTGCAGAAGTTTTAAAATAAGAACAAACAGTTGCTGAGCCTGAGCGGTGCGGCCATTCATAAAAAGACTCCGACAACAAACAGCCGTATAAATGAGATTAGACTGCAAAAAAAAGAAATCATGCATCAGCAGCAGTAAGAGAAGCTGCAGTTGTTGATCGTAAAAAGGCAAAATTAAAGCATAAAATCTTTGTTAAAACAACCTCAGCCTCGGGGGAAATAAAACACAGCCGCTATTGTTTCCTCTGAGTGAGCGCGGTGGAGGCAGAATAAAGCACCCTGAGGTGTCATATATCAGAACATCTCAGCAGGCATCATCTCTTTTATGTCACGCACAACTTTTTACTGCTGTGATGTGGGATTTTTGAAGGTTTTAAAATGGAGACCAGTAGTAGTTAATGTTTTTTTCCAGCGGGTTTTCGGTATTTTTGGGACACTATTTTGTCATGCTCTGCCACAAATACTTGTACGAGGCAGCTTCTTCTACAATAAGTGATGATTATTTAACTGGAAGTATCATTTTTCTTCCTTAAAATGTTCGTCTTGTCAGTTGAAATGATGTCCAAAGATGCAGCTGTAACAACAACTCTTCCCTCTCTACCTCTCTCTCTCTGATATTGTGTCACTCTCTTTACTCGTCTCTTTTTCTCACTCCCTTCCTTTTCTCATTCCTTCACAGACTCCAGCTCATACACATAATTACCCAACTGTCTCTCCTTCTCTCCCTCATGTCTGCCACTGAGGTCAGAGTCTGGGTTTTCTGTCCTCGAGCAACACAGCCGTGCTTCACCGTGACTGTAACTCCAGCTCTGCCTGCAACTCTACACTCAGCGTTCGCCAGGTCACCCGCCCGCTGACAATGTGACTATGGTGAAAAACCCTGCGGTCACACGCTCTGGCACATGTTACACGTTCAGTCATGTACCATAGAACATTCAGGACCGGTAACACGTATCAGAGATCTCCAGACAGGCTGGGACACCGTGTCAGGGCTGACTTTGAAGTGGTGAATTAGACAGATCCTGATATAAATACAGCAGGATCAGATGTTTTTCTTGTGATGATCTGTTTATCTTACAGAACAAAGCCTTTTGTCTCCACTTCAGCCGCGAGAAGCTAAAGGGAAACTGTTGGGGTACTGTGTTAGCGGGGTTCATGTCATTATCGATGTAGATCTGTACTGGCTGTACGGTATGGGACGGAGCGTTTGAAGCAAGAGGGCTTTACAGGGAGACAGTCATCTCTCTCACACGGGGAGAGCCAGACTCTCCACTGTCTCCTCTGAAAATTGGATTTCTATCCTCTGAGATTAGGATCAGGATCTCCCGCTCCACTGGGGCTCTATTAGAAAAACATGCCGCCCTCTGAGGCCACGAGAATCTCCCAGCACAGACCGCGTCGTCATCCTTTGACCTTTGACTTTTTGGGACCTGCCGCACAACTGATCCCACACCGAGGAGGCTTTTCCTCTGGGTGTTTCTCTGTCTGCCAGACGGCTAGGCCTCCAGCCAACCGCAGGTGTCATCCATTTGACGTGACCCCGCCCCCTTTTCCGCCCTGCCTGGGGGCGGGTGACGATCAACGAAAGGAAGGACAAAGACGTGTCTGTGCTCAATGAGACAAGCACACATGAACCCCCCCTTCAACCTGTCAAGAACATGGAAGTTTAACAGACTTCCAAATGTTGTATTTACAACACCGCTTCAAACTATCTCCTGTTTGATTAAACAAGACAGTCAACATAAAGACAATTATTTCAGCAAAAAAGACCGAATTAGGATGGAGTATTAGGGCCACATTACGAAAAAAAAAAAGTCGTTAATTTACAAAAATCGAGTCATTACTAATGAGAATAAAGTCATAATAAAGTAATTACTTACGAGAATAAAGTTGTAATAAAATCATGTCTTACGAAAATAAAGTCGTGATGGAGTAATTATGATACTGATGATAATGTGGTGCTGTTGTGCCAAAAGATTAAGTATCTCCTTGTCTAAAAAAACAATTTTGAAGTACATTTTCACCAAATGCTCCATGGCTCTCATTTCAACAACTGTCCTCTAAAACAACAGGTTAGATTATAAGGACTTTATTCTGACTTTACTTCTGTAAGTAATTACTTTGTTACGACTTTATTCTCGTAAGTAGTTACTTTATTATGACTTTATTCTTATTAGTAATTACTTTATTACAACTTTATTCTCGTTAGTAATGACTTAATTCTCGTGAGTTAATGACTTTAATTTATTTTGTCATAATGTGGCCCTAATACTCAATCATACGAAATAAACCAGCTTCAGTCTAAAAAATAGCAGAAGATATTACAACTAGCTAACAAAAGTTGACAACTGGTGGCGGAGACACGCCAAAAGCAGCTGAAAGAAGAATAAATGTACTGACATGTACAATGAAACTTTATAAATGACTATTTAAAAGCTCTTTCTTCAAATGCATCTTCATTATCAACAGAGGCTAAATGGCGTTTTAGTGTTCGCAGTCTCCCAAACTAACAGATATGATTTCTCTAAAATAAAGTTGGCAGCATAAATCAGTTGTATTAGAAAGAGATTAACATTTAAGTTTGTATTTATCTGTAAACATGACCCTGAAGCAGCTGGTCTTTCCAGAAATATCAGTGTCATCCGTGAGAGTTGTGATGATCAGGCCTTGGTATTTTCCTGGAGGTATCTTTGTACTTTGTTGTTTTATCCTTTCCTGGATTCTTTTGTTCTCATTTGTTTGCTCATCTTGGCTCAGATCTTCTGTTCTCAGGGGGAAAAAAAGGGTTTCAGAGAGCAAGGGTCGGATAGCTGAGTCACGAACCTGAGTCAGAAAGAGCTTGTCCATATGGCCTTAAACTGTTCAAGGCCATATGGACCATCTCTCTCTCTTTCTCTCCGTCTACAGACCATCAATCATCATCAGAAGTCCATATGAACATTATCTTCGCTCAGCCGCATCAACCTGAGCCAACTGGAGCAATGAGACAGAATTAGGCAACCAACAATTTTTCTTATCAGCATCCAGGGAAATCCAAAAACATCAGCAGTTCTCTGGCGTGGCTGACAAAACACCCCTGCTTCCCCGATCTAAACACAATCTCATTTAAAGCAACAGAGTCAAACAGACTCGCCAATTGTCATGGAAATCCAACAGAAACACGTAGTGAAGGGTCGTACATCACAATAAAACCCTTTAGCAAATATGTTTTCGACTCTCAAGAGGAACATCTCGGTGATGATGTGATCACAGATGCTCGCTTGGAGCTCCGTCCAAGATCACTGAGGCAAGGTTTGAGGAAAACAAATCCTCCAGTGACTGAAAGTCTATCATCAACCAAACCACTTAATTATACAAAATGATCCTTGCGGTCTTAAATTTCCACTGCACTCAAATTTAATTTCTATAGGAGGTCACTGAGGGTTTAAGGATGCAAGAGGTGTCCAGAGTACTAACAAGGAAATCATATAAATAACAGGGTTAATGCTATAGACTGTGTGTGTACTATGAGTGGGCATGGTGATGGTACCTCTGTTGGTGTTGTAGGATGACATCTTAGCCTGTGATGAAGTTTTTTGGAGCAAGAAGCAACCATATCTGCACCTTCTTCAATGAGGTGGCTATTTTATCATCAGTGAAAATCCACAGATCACATGCTGGGTCCTCCCACACAACAATATAACTGATTGTAGGCATTAAATGTGTTCGATCCAAGGTGAAATCACTCTAAACAGACCTCACATCGCAGGAAAATGTGACAAGATAATCTGAAATAATCACATGAATCTGGGGGACCAAAATCAGCCTTATTATCTTCATTATCTTTGAGTGTTTCCTCCTTTAAAGCCTAAACAAAAGACAGTTTTTTGGGGGGAAAAAACTCTTAAATTGTCTTTTGGATATCAAGAAAAAGAATACCTGAGATTCGCTGGATGAGGAGAAGTGTTTCTGTGAAATTACTTCAAGTTTTGTGCAGGTTTCTCATACACCCGCCCTGTATTTTCAAGGCGGGACTGAAAAGCTGAATGCAGAAAAAGCTTTCTGAAGACTTCCCCTTCCCACTATTAAGACTGCTTAGATTTGATACCTTTATTATGCACTTTGTGGCAAGATTGTATTCTGCTTTACCTGACTCTGCACTTTTCTGAGCACAAGTTCCTGTTTAATATGAAGTTCTTTTGACTGCTAGCTTAATACCAAATATCTACCATGCAGTGCAATGAATCTCATTTAGTCCTTCACTTCTGCCCCTGCAGGGCTCTGACTTTGCTTATGAAAACATGACTTCCCAGCTGTTTGTTTTCCAGCGTCTTCTCACGAGGAGGAGAAAGCTGAGCTCAGCCAGGCAGCAACAAAAGAAACTCCAGACCAGACCTCAACAGCAGAGTTATTTCTCTCCCTCTGGCTCGTATTTTGGTTTGGCCTTCATTCCAAGGACTTCAAAAACAAAAACCCATACCCCTGCTGCTGACTGTTTGCAAGATTCAAGTTGAAATTGATATCGATCTATAGATAAAAGTACAAGTTGAAGTTCAACATCATCGTAAATCTTTTTGAGCCAGAGCTGATATTAAACCTTACTCTCAGAAATGACACCAAAATAATGCCGCTTGGTTCTCTTATATTGGAAACAAGAACACTTCATCTTATTCAACCTTAAATGCCAAAGTTGTCGAACATAAATATTCAAACATAGCAGCTAAGAATGATTTACCAGAATAAAATGGTGTAAAACTGATAAAATATTGAAGCAATTGTAATTTTTTTTGCCTTTTTAATAAAAAAATAAAATAAAATAAAAATGTAAATAAACTTTAAAAGGCTCACTAGTGTCACATATTTTAAACTATATCACCACATAATAACGTCATGTAACAAAGGTTAGTCTATACTCACAGATGTAGTAATACTCTCTGCCAGGACGAAACTCAAAGCCTAAGGAGAAGGGTGTGAAGAGCTGGAATTTCTCGGAGAACTTTAGCGGTCCGTTCGGTGACAGAGGTCTGTTACACTCCCAGCGTTTGAAGCCTTTAGCCGTGTGGTCACAGGAGCTGTAGCCGTCGTAGTTCACCATATAGAGGACGTAACGCTCGGCCCGCTCATCAGACACCGGACCGATGTAGTGTGGGCAGTAGACGTCAAGGTAGTCGTTGATGCACACGTCGATGTGATAATCACCACGGTAAAACCTGAAAGAGAGAGAAGACGGTGGTTTGAGTATTCAGTTATACAGTTAAAAAAAAAAGTGGAAAATGCGTTCCTTTTGAACATCCCTTATTCACAAATCACTGATCTGGAGTGCGTTGCATAGACCAGTTGTATATTTTACTTGCAAGGATAATTTCTATCCTGTAGAAAACTCTGACAAGTCATTCTTTAATAGCGCAAGACTTATGTAGCTGAAACTTTGAACTGAGCTCCAAAATCTTATTAAAACGACAGAATTATGAATCTGGTAGAGTTATGATTCCCAAAGTACATCCTACGTAGAGGAGCTTGACCTGTCTTTACACGATGCAAATGTGCGGAGAATTTATGTTGTCTTTGCAAGAACCTGCTCTTTGTCTTCAACACATTTCACATCCTGATCCCCTCAAGCACTGCTTCTTAAAGTGTATATTGGTAGCAGCTGTGTAAGTAGGAAGATAGTATCTCAATGATTTGTTCAGGGACGCTCTCTCCATCAGGCTGTTTGATGAAGCATTCTCATAAGAGTTAGGAGTACTTCAACACCTGATGACAAGAGATGATTCTTTGGCTGCTTAAAGCGAGGCCAAATTGCAGCAGTAAAAGACTCATCCGGCGCTACAACTTCTGGGGTTTTGTTTACAGGATCTCATCATGCCAGTCTCAATCTTCCCAGCCTCTTTTGAGACTCAACCCAATCCCCCTGCAACACACCGGCCCCGGCGGAAACCTCTTACAACGCACTAGTCGGTCCTAAGCCATATATCAATGTTAGCGCTCAGCAGCGATGACTTATGCCGGCGCTGAAATTAAAGTCCCTCAGCGTTGCATGGCTAATCCCCCCGGTTAGCATGTGCCTTTAGCAGCTTGAAGAGGATCCCTGCGTAGAATGAGATTTTCATTAGTTTAATATGACAGCTTGATGTAGGAGCCCCTCGTGGAATCTGCGAGTCTGGGAAAATGAGGCCTGTTCTCAAGCTCAGCCTTGAAACAGCCCTCAGACCTTCCCCTTGTGTTTACAGTAAACTAAGTGGACAGGAGTAAAATGGGGGTAAAATAAAAGGGCAGTGGTGAGATATGTCAGGTATTCATTCCTTAGGAGGGTGATTGGAAACACATATTCCCACAGGCGCTCTGTAGGGTTGTGTTTGTGAGGCTTTTAGCAGAGACAGATTAGGCCTGGACAGCTGGCTGCTTATGTCTCTGTAGCTGCTAATGGCCTGCGGTTCAGTATCACTGACATACTGCGGATGTCTTCAATACCCCACCTCTGTTCATTGACACAGGCAGGGCTGTCAGGGGAGACAGGACAAGGACCGTGTTGGAGCATGCAGCGGACTGACGATTCGATATGGGTGAAGTCACCGGAGCCTCATGGGGGGGTTCCTATTGAGAAGTTTCTTTCACTAGATCAGATATTACTCTTGATACGCTCAGAGGAAACGGGAGAACAAGTCAGCTGATCTGAGGCCAGGTGAGACAAAGAGGGAGGTAGGGGGGTGTTGTGTTCCAGCTGTTGCTGCTCCATGTTGGGGCTTCAGGAGGCATGTTTAGCATAAAAGGAGGTGTGTGCTTGCCGCAGCCGTCTGGGGGTATCAGGTTGTTGTTACACGGATTGTAAATGTGCTGCAGGATTAGTGGCAGTCCTACTGGGTTTGCAGCACAGCAAATGAGTGAATGGTTGTGTTCATGTGATGAAGTTTGGACCGCCACGAACTTAAATTGGATAAATCCAGTTAGCTCTAGCTTTAGCGTTAGCCTTGCTTTTAGCTGGTAGCTAGCTAACAACTAACATGTGAGGACAGGTCTTGTAGAAAACATGGATAGAATCTCGGTAATGTCAACCATCTGTTTCCGAGGAGGTATTTTGAAGCCTTACATGGGCATTCAACTTGTTAGAAACACAGACTCAAACTAACTTCTGGCTTGTCTAGATACTAGCAAAGACTTGATGTCAAGGCCGGTAGCCAGACCAAGTTCAGGAGAAGTCTCTACAACTTAACTTGTAAAAGTTGGGCTGACTCAGAATCATTTTGTTGAAAATTTGTCCACTTTTAAGAGACAGCTGTGAATAATAGAGTGTTGATGTTTCACATCATAGCCAGAAAGTTTGAATCTCTTCTCTTTAATTATTGAGGTTGGAATTGTGAAACCTTAGCTCTTGTTTACTCTTCGACTATTTTTTTCGACCCTTTAGCCCCAGCCGTGCATTTTGGCTCCAGGCGAGCACAGCATGGCTTCCTTTAGCCTGAGCCGCAGAGCTTCTGGCTGATATTATGACTACCAGGGGTCAACCGGCACCATGGTATCATGTCCTCAGCCTGGAAGCACTGTGGGACAGGCTGCTTTGTCCTCTCATGTCTTTACAAAGCTCTTAATGTTAGCCTCAGTCGCACAAGTGTCAGCAGCTGTCAATCAGAGCAAAACCCGGAGGAAACGCTATGTATAGACAGGATTTTGAAGAGTTTTAACTGATGGCTTTGTGAGGGGAGGGGAAGGCGGGGAGTTAGTAAAAGCAACACAGACCTAGATATTTGCATGTACATCCACGATGGTGTGAGGAAAAATAAGTTAATTAATCGCACTTAAATAGTTGTATTTAGTAGAATGGCTTTGAGGCAGGGAGAGGAACAGCAAAGACCCCAGGAGGGGCAGAACACGGCAGCATCAGTGAGAAAACATTAGATGCTGATAAAGTCGGACAAAGCAAAAACAAAAGAAGGAGCTGTGAGGGAAGAAGCTAGAGTTACCGGGCTAAAGCACTTCAAACTGTACACCCTCTGTGATATTTGCTCATTAAAGGCAAGAGAGAATTGGCTAAGCTGTCAGCTGACAACGAGCAAAGTTATCCATTATGTTCCATTTCTAGCAAGCTGGCCCTGGTAGATGCTGTATCTTTAAAACACCCCAATAAAACAGTTTATACTGATACGAGAAATACAGTACCAAGTTTCAAGTATTTAAAAAAACGTACATTGTAAAGCATTTTTGGCGTCAACACCTTAAAATTAGTTTCCACTTTTTTCACCTCTGTACAAATCTGTACATTACTCACCATTCAACGCTTCAGTGCAGAACATTAAAACCGTATGTCAGTAGCCATTTTGGCGTCTGGCAAGACATTTTGTTCAGTAAATCTACTTGGAATTTTTAAAATCATGTTGCTGCTTTAGTCAGTGGATGTATTCCTCCTGCCAAAACTGTTGGCAGTCAGATGAGGGAGTTATCCACAAGTGGGCCTGCTTTTCCTCTGTGAATGGAAACTTGTTGCCTTCGGATTTCAACTTAATTTATCAGTCCATTCACCTCCAAAGATTTATATCTCAGACATTGTGCAAATAAATTAAAAGTCTTTTCATGGCTGAATACCACTGAATTAGATGAGACAATAGGAATGAGACAAACAGAAGATGAGAGAGTAGTGAAAAAAAATGAAAATCAGGTCAGGCTACAGAACAGAGAGGAATTAATCAAGCACCAGAAATGAAGAACTATTTTTTAACAATAAATCGTGGAGCCAAAGGAAACTTGGATGGACATGAGACTCTCTGGATAGTTTCTTTGTTTTTATATTCATTTTAATTAGAACAATAGTGGAAAAGAACGTGTGAAATATGAGTTTCGTTCTTTTTCACCCACATTGTTGGATAAAAATCAGGATTAACTGGGGAATACGTCTTTTAAGTTTTCGATGATGCACTGGTTCCATTGAGCCTCTGCAAGATTCACAATATTTTTCCTGTTATTTACTGCTTCACCACTTTAAACACGCAATACATCTGTGATCAAGATAGTAAAATTTATATTTGCATGTAGCTGCATTGTTGATCTTTATGACACAACCACAAACCCCATGCATCTCCGCCTGCAGATGTTAAGTATTGATCTGTGTCTCATTTTTTCCTTTAGAGTAGGTTGTTTTTCTTCATATTTTTGATCACATTACAATAAATGGCAATAACTTTTAGCTCTGCAAGGGGTCGAATGAGGCCAAACATATGCAGGAAAGACCATATTACCAAAAAGAAAATCTTAAATTAGGACCGTTAAAACAAAAGACCGTAAAATGTGCAGTGAGAACAGCCAAAAGATGGTCCAGATGTTCACCAGATGGGCCTATCTGGAGGGTTTTGAATGGCAGGAATGAAATATCGATAAGACAAGCAACCCTAAGCACGTAGCTTGACTCAAGATGTGGTAAAAAAAAAAAAGATGACATTCCAAATTTGTGTCTGCTTTTTTTTTTTTCTTTTGGACCACAGACTTTCTCCTTTTAATCCCTGCCCTCCTCACCCTGAGTGTGAGAAAGTGAGCCATAAACCCTCAGCGGCACAATTCACAATCCTCTGCTGCTTCCAGGGTCAATTCATGTTCATTACAAACAAGATTTATTCATCTGTTTTTCTAAATGGCTTTGTCGTTAGAGGCTATTTAGTGAGCCATTAAGCTTTTGCAGGGCTAATCGGAGCGATTTCAACAGTTGTGTTTTCTTTCTGGCATTTTCCTTAACAGCAGGATGTGTTTGACTCTGATTGAGGGGTCGTGAGTTTGAGAGCACCAAACAGAAACATCAGCGCGGTTCATCAGTTCAGTGTCAGTTACAAATGTGTCATAATGAGCCATTAACAAAATAAAAGCACCCAAATCCTGGATCCATGAGCCTTGGGGACTGATGAGCTCTGATTGGCTGAATTACTCACGGCCAGTTGGAGGGGCTTATCAATGAATCAGTAACCGGAGCTCTTAACAAAGCACACATCTCTGGATAATCCCTCTTTTCAGTGAGCTCCCCCACTTGTTTGCTTTCTTTATCCCCTTCTGGTGCATTATTGTGACTCTGCGGCCTGGCAGAGGTGAGGCATGGCACTGTTTACACAGAACGAGAGGAAAATAATATGTTGATAATACAACTAGAAGAGTGGAATACATGAGGGAGGTGAAGAAAAGAGGAGTGAAGTGACCAATTCAGGTAGAAAACAGACCTTTACAAGAAAAGGTGAAAGAAAGCGTGCAGAACAAGCAGCCAGTGTTGAAGTGCCCATTACAGCTCCTGCTGACATTTTCCTACTGTTCGGTGCACTAACAAGTGCATTAAAACTTTTACAAAGCTCTTACCAGGAAAAGAACTATTTGCAAATCATTGGCCTGTCCACTCTGTTTTCAATTCTCACTTTCTAGATGCTGTTTTTAAGGTTCTTCAAACACTTTCAAAGTGATTTTAACATTGTGGTGCGCAAAGACGGAACTACTTTTGTGGTTATTTTGTTGTGAGAAATGGCAAAGAGGGTGAAAAGAGAGGATTGAAAATGAAAGCTACAAGAAAAAGAATAAGAAACATGAGAGAAAGAGGTAAAAACAGAAACATTGATTCAGGAAAAGTTAATAGAAGTGATGAAGACCAACAAGGAGACAAAGATAAAGTTGTGACACTGATAAAAAAGTTCATAAAATCTGATTTTGACAGTTTGCACATTATCAAAGACTATTTTTAACTAATAGATGTGATTGTCTTCTGAAAACATGCACCCTTTTTATGTTTAACCCCAGCAACAGGTTAACATGTTAAAAGTCAGGGGGTTCTGGGAGTGGTTTTGAGACCATGTAGTGACATCCACTACAGAGTTATGTCTGAATTTTTAGTGAAGTGCTGCCTGAGGGCCACATATCCAGTATTTGTCTGTCATCCCTTTAGTTACAGAGATTTATGTGGATTGTCCAAATCTTCTAATGATGTGGTGCAGAAGAAAAAATCCCCAAATTCTGTGAATTTTTGAGAGGGACATTACTTTGAAATTGTTCATTTATGTTCTCACGCAATCTTTCGCAAAGCGGTAGAATTATTCCCATCTCTGGAGGGAGGGAGGGGCAGTATTTGCAACTTTTTCAGTGTTTTGTCATCCCAAACATTTTGGGTAGATACAACAAGATCTTTTAGTGTATACAAAGATTAAAATGGTGGCGACAGAGAGAACAAAGAAGGAGTAGAAAAGAGTTAAAGATAACGAGGAGAAGGAGCGGAAGGATAAATAGGCTGAGAAAGACAAAAGTTGCAGAAAAGTAAAGAAGAGGAGCAGAAAAAGATGGAGGGAGAAGAATTCAGAGGGAGTAAGAAAGAAGTGGGAAGGAGGAGAGGAGGATAAAGCCCCCCTGTTGTTTTCTTCATGAACACGGTTGGGTCAGGCGAGGGGCAGCTTCCCAGAGAGATCCACAAAGAACGCAAAGAGGAGATGCTTTTAGAGCGCGGAACACATGAAACTCTTATCTCAACACGCACACACACACACACACACACACACACACACACACACACACACACACACACACACACACACACACACACACACACAGACCACAGGGCTGGCTGCTCTACTTCAAGTCCCTCAATTTACTCCTACACAAACCACACCTTCAAAAGCTGCAGTTCCTCTTTACAGCCTCCAGGGGGAGCTATTTGAGGGGCCAAAAGGAGTCTAATGAGTCTGTGGTCATGTGACGTGATGTCACCAGATGGGGTCTGTCCGTGCTGCTGCCCTCGGGGTTGGGAGGTCTCGATCCCCCTCCCTCCACCTGTCCAATCAGTCAGAGCTTTTCGCCGTTGGGAAGTTAAAGCCATTATTACTTTTTTGGCTAATTATATACACACATCTGTCCATGGACTCACAAAAACACACACACACACACAGACATGCACGCACACAATGCATTTAAGTAATAATGTGTTTGCCAGGGGGGCTTGGGGCGTTGACAGCTTAGTGATGAGAAAATAGAGCCTGTTAAGTCAAGACAGTTCAGTGTTTCGGTGTTTTTTCTTTTCTGTTGGGAACAAAAGCAGAGGAGGTGAATAATTGGCCTCAGATTGAAAACACATTTCTGTTTGTGGGAAGCACCTCGAATCCTTAAACAGTAAAGCGGAGGCTAAAGAGAGGAAGCTGAGGCGGGAGGAGCGTCAGCCGACCGTCTGTTTACGGGGCCTGATGGTGGTCCTGACTGTGCCAATCACTCACTTGTACTTGGATGCAGCTGCAGCCCTGCTGTGTGCCAGGCTGACACGCACACACTCACACTCACACAAAGAAGAGGTGTTACGTAAAGCTTCATGTATATTCTAATCTCTGTCTGCTTGCTAATTAAGGTCTTGTTGTCTTTGTGCCAGAGCACAGGGAGTTCAGGTCCTCTGAAATATTAAAAACAACACAATCAGCTTTCTCATATCATTTTTTTTAACTTTAATTTGTGCTAACAGTGTTAGGAAGTTTCCTGGAAACAGCTTTGTAATTTAATTTGAATATTTTAAATATAGTGATCCAGAAATAGTCACAAGAGTCATATTTAAAAAGACAGCCAAAACTAGAGCAGAAAAGACTGAGACATCCTGATTTTTGTTCCCAAGTGGAGGGTCAAGCTACAGAGAAGCTGGAACCTACATTTCCCATGATGCAACCACAGTCTTTTATTACATCTTCTTCTCCTGGAATAAGCCAGCTTCTTTGGCGTTAAGTATTCTCTTTCCCCCTTAGAAAGTATCCAAGACCCGTCCAAAATCACTCTGAAGACATCTTAAAGCAGATGACCTCAGATCATCAGGTTTACTGCTGCAGACTTTAGATCTAAGAGAGCACTAAAGGACACGTGGTCACCTCTGCATAGCTAACTAACAATAACAGAGTTTACAAAGCTTAGTCACTGCAGTTACAGTTAATAATTTAGCATTATTTCATCACTCTGAATCCTGTACACGACTGTCTCCAACAGAGATAAGAAGGATTATATTTAATTCATTTGCTTCCATAACAAATAGATGCTCTGGCATGAGCCACAGCTTTGCCACCGAAGGTGATGGTGCTCATGGGAAACGCAATCATCAAAGAAAATCACTGAAGGTTTCCAAAAGGGGTCACTAGAATCAACAGAGTATGAAAACTCCTCACTGTACCTTTAAATAAAGGTAGTTATTATTATTATTATTGTTATTGCTGTTGTTATCATTTTAAAGGTTAATCTAAAGTTTTGTCATTAGTGTGGTATTTTTGTACTACTATTTTTTAGTTATAACTTATCTTTTCTTACTTCTTGTTATGTGTTTTTTTAGTTGTACACTATAATAATGTAAATCTTTTGGAAGAGTTTTTTTTTACTTTACAGTGTGTTATCATTTATTCTCATATAAGGCAAGTTGTGTTCTCTATATAAACCACAAAATCTGGGTTTTGTGAAAGTTTTTTTTTTTCATTTTGACACTTACTTATCGACACATATTTTAAAATTTGAAACTTCTGATTTAATAATGGCGTTCACATCATAATTTTTCACACTGATCTGCTTTTTCATTAATTGCAATAAGTTAAAGATTTTCTGTCAGTTGGGAGAATCTATTTTAAAAAAAACAAAAAACGATGTCAACTTTGGATTTTTCATGTATGTTTGCACAGGCAAAAGACTGAAAGGTTGAGTGGTGTGTTCCTTCAAGATGAATATTTGTGGTTCTGGTCCTCTCTGTCTGTCATGGACAGAGCAGGTTAATTACTGACAACGCTATTCTGGAGTCAGGGAGGTCAAAGCAGCAACAGCAGTATGGGGTTAGTGTCAGTCAACACACACATACACACACACACACACACACACACACACACACACACAGCAGGACTCTGTCATTCAGTCAGTGTTACACCCCATGGGGCCGACAGACTTAGTCATAAACCCCTGAAGTGTAGAACATGGTTGTTCAGGTTACCATGACGACAACTTACAACAATAAAATTTTCTGTGACCACTGAATCGATGCTTTCAACCAACACATAGCATTCATACCTGCACACATACACAAACACGCACACACACACACACACACACACACACACACACACACACACACACACACACACACACACACACACACACCCTAACCTCCTCTGGCAGCTTTAATGCCACATATAACTGCAGGAGGTCTGAAGCAGAACCTGATAGAAAAACCACACTAGAATGCATCCCGTCAGTCAGTAACAATCCTCAAAGCTTCAGATGTTCTGGATCTATTTTAGCACCTCTTGTTATAATCGTATGGCATACTGCACGAACATTATTATTAAAACATAAAAACACTGGAAACCCACGTTCACAAAGGAATTTCATTTTGCAAATTTGGGTCTTATGTACATAAATTAAGCAGCTGGGAAGTTTAAAATGATAAAACCTATGCTACAATAATTCCTGATACTACAGTTTGAATCAGATGTGACTTAAATCCAAATGATGGATTATGCATGTCGTTCTATAAACTAACTGTAAAAGTAAAAGCTCTGCAGTTTTTAACAAGTATAGGATACCCATGCTTCATTCGTCAGTGAGTGTTGACATTAGCAGGGGGGATACTTTTGTATTAAAACAGTGCAAACTATAACTGCACAGCCAAGTTAATACACTGATTTTTTAATCAAGATAAAGATGTATCACTACTAAGTTTTCATGTGTGATATCTATACTAACTCCCCTTTGCAACCCAAATTCCCAAAATTTAGGATGATGTGTAAAAGATTTTAAAAGCAGAATTTAAACACTATATTTGATTTTAAAAACAAAATAGTGTAAAGACAACATTTTAAATAGGAAAACTGGAAAATTTATTATTTTATGAAAAATATTTTCTCATGTCAAATTTGATGCCAATGGTACAGAGACATGTTGACTCTTCCTTAAATGGCCCATTATAAGATCATCAATAGCACCAAAAGACCATCAGCGTCAAAATGGATGAATTTAATATTGTAACTTTTAATGTCAGAAACAGGTGAGTGGGTAGGTGTCAACCAAACTGCTGTCAAGTTGGGACTGTAGGCAGGTCTGTTTAGCACCAGGACTATACTTTACTTCTGAGCACCATATTTAAAATGAGCATATACTTTTTGTTTTACTATTTAAATTGTGGCATTTGCACCTCCTTTCAACAAACATAGAGACAAAATCTGTTTCTAACAACATCTCACTAGTGTATGAGCTTTTTGGGGGGATCAGGGTTGTAAAAAAGGATTTTGTAGCTCATCACTTTGTGAAACTCTGACATGAACACTTTCCAATGGCAGAGCCTGGTTATAATTTCTGATGACTCAGCGTTGCTTAAGGCTGAGCAGCAGTGATTGGCACACGCGCCGTTACTGTGCGCACATCCATGTCAATAAATCTTGAGAAACTGAAACGTTTGAACTTTTACTGTTTCAAATCAAACTACTTTAAGAGTGATGTCCTTGTAGAGCACAGTCAGAGCGAGCAGTTGAAGGTATCCCAGGATGCCTTCCCCTGCAGAAGAGCAGCTCAGCGTGCTCGGCTGATATTGATCTGACACCTTAGACTCTGAGCTGAGGTCAGGGGTTAGTGACAGCCCATTATTCAGCCCCAGAGCCAGTGTTTGGTCAGTGTCTGAGTCCAGGTGACAGAGTGACCCCGTTGTCGTCTATCTTAGGAGCTGCTGAGGGACGGAGGGTGAAGTTTAAGAAGTCTCTTTGAAAAACTCAATTTCCCATGAAATGCTTCAAGCTTCATTCAATCCTGTATTTTCTTCTTGTTGACTTTGAGCTCTTCTTTGTGCTGAGGGTTATCTCCACCCTCTTTTTGCTCATTTATATCATATCTTTGGAGTTTATCGCTGCTGAGATTTGTGTCCCATTTTTACACCATGGCTTGTTTATAACTAATTTGGAAGAAGTCGTTGAAAGCTGTAGAAATTCCAACACTTCAACAAATTGTGAGAAATATTGCCTTTAGTGATCCAGTTTAACCAGACGTATTACACCTTTCTACCTTTAGGCTATGCAAATGAGCCAGTGTGCAAACATCAGGTGCTTTTAGTTTTTCAAATTAAGTCTCATCTGCACCTGAGTGTGAGCAAATACACTAAAGCAGGAAACACGCTCCAAGTGGATTTTGTTTCGGTTTGACCAAAGTCAGGAAAGGCCTGATTTTTAGATGTTTCTAAAGATTATCTGGTCCGATTTCTTCGTGGTGTGAGGTGTTTGACAATCTGCCCCAGAGATCATCGGGCCCCTACTGATCCGCCATTCTGACCCAGAAGACAGCCAAACATGTACTCAATGAGTTTATCAGTGAACAGGACAGGAAATTGATGCAACAATGAGGCCATGAAGGCAGCAGTAAACACAAAGAATAGATTTAGACGGGCGTCTGAAATACAAAAATCCTGAGTTTCCACCTGAAGCTGCTCCACAAACACAACCCTGATCCTCTCTCTGCAGGACCGAGACCCCAACCCCTGACCCTTCTCCCCAGGTTGATCCGAGCCCCCTGTGCTGCCCTATCACTTTACTGCACTCCAGGGAGCCCACAGCCCCGCCTACCCCCAACCCCAACACACTCTGAACCCACAACCATGGGAGGAGGGGGTTTGGCGGTGAGGAGAGGAACCCGCAACGTCTGGACTCAATCATTCGCCCCAAAACTGTCACACACACACACACATAAGCACATGCACACACACACACTCAAGAACACCAGCACTTATCCACCAGTGAGGTCTCACACACATCAAAGTGTGGTGGAGCTGACGTGGTGCAGTAATAGGCGTTCAGTGGGGAGATGGTGAAACGCCAAAAACTCAGACTTGGAAAAAATTTGTTGTGTTCTGAGAAGAGAGGCGGGAGAGAAGAAGGGATGAGAGAGGATTATGTTCAAGGTTTAAAACAGAGAACGAGGGAGAGGGGTAGAAAGTGGCAGAGAGTGATTGACTAGTGAGAGAAATGAAAGAAGAAGCCAAAATGGTTTGAGAAAATTTGAGGGATGTGGAGGAAGGGAGTGGGAGCGAGCACATCCTTGATTTAAACCTCCCTTAGGTCCTGTATCCCAGCAAGGAGGTCTGTGAGTGTGCTTGTTTGTGTGTGTGTGTGTGTGTGTGTGTGTGGGCGTCCTCAGTTATGAGACAGTTTATTTGTATGGCACAATATCACATACTTAGTCTCAATGGGTCCCATTAGGTTAACGGCTCCCAATGCAGTACCAGACTTAAAAAGAGAACCAAACAAAGCAGACATGAAAGAGCAAAAACTTCCAGATGTGAGAAATGCTTTTCATGTATCCTAATGGAAAAAAAAGGAAACCCAGAGCCACACACGGCAGGCGATCAGACCAGAGGGGAGTCTCTCAACAGGCTAATATGCCATATCAGGCAAGGGTCATGTGTTCAAGACAGGCAGCTGTGGGCATTTTCAGACTAATCCTGTAGCACAACGTCCAGAAAAACAGCATCTCATGGTGAAAAATTAGAGAAAGTCTGCTTAAACAACATGTCAGCTTTTCTCTACTTTTACCTCTATAATTTCTCTATAATTGCAGAGGTCGCTGTGACCAACATGTCACGGTGGTCCCTCAAGAATCTCCTGCAAAAACACTTGTTGTGTGAGTAGTTGGAGCTCTTTTTTAAACGGTGAATCACAAGAGATCTAAGGAAAAACAGACTTTGTTGGTACTTATTTTTTATTCCTCATTTCCATAGCATCCTCACTCACTGTGCTCTGTGCAAGAATAATAAAAATAAGTTGTAATATGTTCAGGGATGTTAAAATGTAAATATCAAATATTTAGCAGCGATCTCCGACTCAAAAAAAGATGAAACCAACATTTTAAACATGTTTTTGTCATGGTTAAAAGGACGGTATTGGTCTAAAAAGCAGTTTGTTCACATTGTAATGTTGAGGAAACATTGTTATAAGATAAGATCAGATAAAATGTTAGATTAATCTCTGTTTGTATGAAGCCTTTGCTGTGTTGTGATACCCCTGAGGAGAGGTCTGAGAGATCAGTCAGGAAACAATAAAAATATGGGATCAGCCACAAAAACGCTGCAGAAAATTGCCATAAAAATAAAATAAATCCGTAAGGAGGAAGCACTAAACCAGTCACACTCCAAAACAAATTCAAATTGGATTGGATAAAATTACATGTTCGTAAATCAATCTGCCTCATTAACTTTGAAACCAAAGCTGACTCAGTTGAATCCTCTGAATCGGGGAAAAATGCCTCTGTCAGATTCACAAAAGTCACTTTTGGTTTGCTCTCCATCTGCGCTCTCAGTTTGATAAGTCGGTTTCTAATTTAAAACATAAAAAATTATGACTGACTCTGCTGCCACTTTACGACAGAGCTGGTGACATTACATAAGGCTGCAGCCCGCTCTGTAACTTTGTTTAATTACAGCTTTTTATGGGGTAAGGGTCTTAGGTGGATACTAACCTTCAATGTGTTTCACATTGTTTTTATTACCATCAGAGGAAATAACCAAGACTAAGCTTAACGTGTATTAAAGACTCAGCGTATTAAACCACGAAGCACGCTCAGAAGTCTGTTAGTAAGCTGCTTTTTGATGATTTCACTGATCTCTGAGGAGGGAACTGAACTCAACATTTCAGGTCAAAAGACTGATTCAGGAAAATGCATGAGAAGTCTGAGTTTAACTTTGTTGAACTTAGATTTTTGTCTGTTACTTTGTAGGATTACAATATGTGTAATACATGAGCAGTGAATGGAAACATAGATCATAGAGCCAATAAAAGAGGTCTGAAGAGTCCAATATAAAAGGCTGCAGGAGGAGATCTACCCGCGAGGCACAGCTCTGTCCTAACATCCCGCTGCAGGCCCAGTAAAAACAGCACATGTAACATCATGTAAGGGCTAAACATAGAAGCGTCCTCGGAGTGCCCCGCATGCCAGCACCGAGCCGTACCACCTGGTTCCCTCAATCTGCCCTCACAGGGCCCCATCGCACCCCTCCGCCCCTCCCCTTGACACAGAACGTCTGTCAAAGACTCGTCCATCAGCCTGCAAACTATCGTGCTCGCTCAGATCTTCACATACCGCCTTAAGAGAGGCTCGGATTGGATTCACAACACGCCGCCTTTGTAAGTCCAGGGCTCAGATTCATATGCTCCACCTTAAGAGAGTGTATTTCTTATTCACACGCCTGTAGCATTCCAGTGTCAGCGCCGGCAGGAGCCGTGTTACTCCTTCACATACTCTGCGCAGTGCGAGGCGTTCACTGGCTGAAGAGATGCCTTGTCTTTTTCAGCTACACTTTCTCACTGCCACAGAGCTTATAGACCCACTCCGATGAAAATCATTTTTTTCTTGTTTTTTTATATGTTCATATGGCATTATTCTGATGCTACAGGACATATCATGAGAAAAAGAAGTGCAAGATTGCTTTTCTGAGTATTTTCTGGCAGACCTAAATGGCAGGTTCAGAAGCAGTGAGATTTCATATGTAACCAATCCAAGCTCCACCCCCGTAGCCGAGCTATGCACGCCACACTCTGCACATAGAGGAGAAATAGAGAGGATGATCGCAGAACAAGCGTGTGTGTTAGCGGATTGCAATGCTCGTAAGAAAGCTAATTATGATATTTACTTTCATCATGCCCCCAAAGATATTAGTGTCCTCCTGTGTTACTTGCCGCTTCTACTACACTGGCAACGTTAGGCTGTACTAATGTTAAGTGTACAGAGCTGCGCTGTCTCCCCCCATGACTCAGAGACGAGTTGCTAATGAGCAGATGAAGCTCTGATGAAGAAAAGTCCTTGAAAACGACACAGGTAATGCGATTTTTGGTAAAAACACAATTTAAAGACCAGTGAGAACATTGTAACTAGTAAAAAAAAAAGATCGGAGTGGAACTTTAAATGTACTTTACAGGTACTCCAAGATTACAAAACATTCACATCCATTCATCACCTGCAGACACACCCATCAACAAACTGTATGGAGAGAAAGAGACAGCAGGAGCTCAACATTTAAGGATGGTGACAGTGAGGGTTGTTCATTTGATTCCATGTCATCACCCATTCAACAGCGACTGAACTAAATATTTTAAACATTTTAACTAGTGTCCTTTGGGATGATAAAACTGTGGGCTGAACTATAACACTGGTAGACAGGTACATTATATAATATTAATCACCCAAGATAAGATCTCTAAGTTGTAGAGATTTTGCACATAATTTTGCACGATTAGCACAAACTGCTGAGTTATTATTTACTTGCTTATTTATGTTGGTTTTAAGCCTGTTTTTAACCTTGGTCTGTATCCAGAGGTTGTTTATTTGGGTTGTTTATTTGCATTTCTTTATGTATTGGCGTTTTTCTCCCTCTCTTGTGTCCTGACTGGGGAGCCTTGCGGTGCTTTTATCATGTGTTCTGTTCTGTGGTTGTTTTTATATTTGTACTGTAACTTGTATAAATGGACATCATCACTTTATTTCACTGCAGAACAAATCTACCTTCGGGTATTAACAAAATAACCTGAACCTGAACCTAATCTGAGGAAACCAAATAAAAGGAACACTGAAAAGTTAAAGCTGGTAAAAAAAAATCCTTCCTCCAGAGTGGAAACATCATTTTTAATCAGACTAGTGTTTTAGTGCCAGTAAAGCTTCGGCCTGTTAACATGCAGCTCTGTGTATTTGTAAAGGTTAGTCTTTCAATCACCTTAAGTGTGCAGTTTTCATCAGTTTTAGAGTGTTTTGTATCTTTAGCATTTACAAAATGATTCAACAGATACGCTTCTCTGACTTTCTTTCACTCTAAACGGCTCCAATAGTGATTCATCGATCATCCAGAGTAACGTAGATGTGTGTTTTTCCTGGACTTTATGATTCTCAGTAAAATATGTTTTCAGCACCTTGAAAGAAATTCCACCCCACCCACACATTGTACAAAATGAGAGGAACTAACCATGATCTGTGCACCGCTCATGCGTAGTTTCTGTGATTGTATCATCAGAACAAGTTGGTGATCGACATCTGAACTAGATCAATCTTTCTGGACTCAAACGGCATGCAACATTTGCAGTAGGGTTTAGAAGGCGGTAAAGTGGCTTAGCGAGGGTGTTGCACTTCCTGGATAAATAAAAGTTAAGAAAAAACGCACACATACAAACCCCTCCACTCTGCAGACACACACAGCCCACATTATTCTGAGCTAAAGGCCACAGAGACCTGCAGGTCTGCTCTGGGACAAAGCAGGCTGCTTGGACAGAGCGGACGAAGGCCAAAAGAAATACCACCAGCTGCTGTCCAACAGCTGATTAGCATTAAAGCAGAGCGAGCCCTCTCACATACAGAAACACAACGTCGAAATGTTCCAACAAAGTCACATCCACATTGAATCCATAATCGATGTTTTATCAACACCTGACACATATCCCCTCTCCTCTCTGAACTTCTCCGCTGACCCCAGATCAGCTATCAAGCCCCTTCTTTGCCGAGTGGAGCGTCACCTTGGCTGAGTCTGGGCCAGTTGTGAAATCATCAGATAGGAACCACATGTCAGCAGCTGCGTGTCAGTTTGAGGAAGGATTTACTGCCTGGATGTGATGATAGAGAGGGCCGTAAAGGAGGAATAGAGCCTCTGTTGATAGATCACCTAACCGCGGGCCGGTTTCCACCTCTATGAGAACACGACGGGCGGCTGCTTCGCCTCCACACCTCGCCAGAGAATAGTAGACATGAGACAGATGTGTATCTCTTTTCTGACGATCTTATAGTCTAGATTTTCTTTTTTATCACCATTCGGTCTGCAACGGTGCAGTTTTCACCTGGGTTAAATTAAGCTTTTTCTCTGCAACCCAATCCTCCCCTCTGCCCGTCATTATGGCCGTGTTTCAGGGAGCAGACTGCAGTGATTAGCCCCAGCCGCTGAACCGTGGGCCACCTCATTTAACACACCACTTGATGTAATTGTTATTGGAGTGGAGATACTAGCCTGCTGTTCAGACTTCAACACGCAACAACACTTCTCTCCTCACCGTCTCACCCTGACAGCTGCTGGCGACACTGTCAGCGCCTGTCCTTGTTTGTGGGTCAGAAGAAAAAAAAGAGAAATCAAGATCTGGCAAAAGAGACAGAGCTCTAACAGGGTATGAACTGTGTGGAAGGAGGCCAAAATACAGAACGAGTACAGGGTTTTCAGCCTGAAACAATCAGAGCAGTTCATCTGGGAATTTGACAAAATATGTGAGTGGTGAACATGGTCAGAAAGTAGATTTAGTTTTATATGTTCGACCTGGTTTAACTCGAATCACCGTATTTAACTTGTGGTCTGGAAACGGGGAGAAAGAGGGGAAAGTGATATGCAGGAGAGGAGCTGCAGGCTGGAATCAAACCCAGACTGCTGCCCGTTTGAGGCTTTACCTCCATGTATGGACAAGCGCTGTAAAACCGAAGAATACAAAGAATTCATTGAATGTACTCCTTTGGTTTCTAAATTAGTGACTTTTTTATTTGCTGATTAATGATCCCTGATAGCTTTGCCAACTATGACGCACGTTACTTCCTTAAAATTACCCATATTAATACTGATTTCATTACACTTGCAGATTAGCGGATCAGTGACAATGGGAGTTTAAAGACAAAGAGACAGAGAGAAAGAGAGAGAAATAAGGGTGAAAAAGAGAAAAGAGGGAGGGGAGAAAAAAATGTCAATGGTACATCTAAAGGAGGAAAGAGAGAAAGGAGCTCAAACAGTCAGAAATGTATTCAGTGGGAGTCAGTGGAGACGTAGTGGGGTGGAGGGTTGGATAAATATACTCCCCTTCACTGAATGACAGGCATCCTCATCTCTCATCTACCCCCTGGGGAGACAGAGGGAGCAGAGCAGGGCTGAACCTGCCATCTTAACCCTTCCTCTCTGCTCGTTTTACACTACCAACCGTCTATTCATCTCCCTGCCAGCTCTTCTTCCCTCGCTCTCGGGGCCACCACCCTAACCCTTCATCTGTAATCGCTTTAATACAACCCCTCACCTTCTGCCTCTCTCCGCTCTCTCCGTCCTTTCCCTGCTATTACTAACCTCTCCCCCCCTGCCCTAAATGGCATGTGACCGCCATTATTGCCCTGTGGAAAGAGCGGCGTCATCATGTGTGCCATCATTTTCATCCATAACCATTAGGAATGTTGTAAAAAGATACGACCACTCACACAGCGTCTTCAAATAATGGAGCGTAGGCACACTGCTGGACTGGAGCTGCTCGCCAGCATCAGCAGACGCTGTCATTACTTTTTACGACTTTGAGTACTTTGGCCCTTAATGTACATCCTTCCTGTCCTTCAGTGTTTGAGCGTGTGGAGGGAGGGCAGATTAGTGGTAGCAGAGACCGCTCAGTTATCAAAACAACCGCAGGTTCGATCTCTGCAATAATTAGCGGAGCGGCGTTTCACAGAGAAATCCAGGACCCGGTTATTTGAGCGGGGCGTGGCAGTAACTCAATCTACTGTGATCAGGTTTCAGCAGAATCACATCAGGGTGTAGTCCTGGTGTCCACTTGTCATGATGCACGAACCTCTTGTCAAATAGATCTAATAAAAGAAAAATGAACCTACCGTGTTTAACTGCATTTGTAAAGACTTTGGTTGGATCTGAAAGTGTGGAAGCTGAAAAGTTTCCTGAATGTAAACAGAGAAAAAAAATAACGGCAGCGCTTTTGAGAGTATATCTTTGTAATCTCTTTGAGCAGCAAAGTGTACTCAGAGGCTTTAAGGAGGTACAGCAGTCAGTTGAGCTGAATACTTACATCAGCAGCTTGCATTACCCACAATATTATGATGAAATACAGTGTTTACCGTGTTTAAAATCTTACTTCAGCAACTTTGCACAGCAGTATTTGCTGATAAGCACAACGAAAGCACAGCTGAGCTAGAGGAAGAGGAGGAGGAGGAGGAGGAAGAAGAGGAGGAGGGAAGTGTTGTTGGTTTTGGAGGGATAAAATCATTTCACCTGATGCTCATCGAGTTAGCTTTGAACACTGATGTAAAACATTCATTCATGAAAATTAAAACCCCTAAAAAGTATTGAAACTTGAATTCATTTGGCAGTTCTTGTTTTTGTCCTGCCTCACATGAATTATTACAACACTGTTTGCACCGTCATGTTTTTTTTTTTTTTTTACAGGGGTTTAATACACAGGTGATTTTGTGCCCATATTACCCAGCCTTTAAGCTTTTGGGTTTAACTCTAAAATATAGACCAAAATTGATCACAACTTTCTATGATATCCAAAAACAAACAAGAGTAATGATTTTTAGATTGTGACTATTGAAGCCTAAACCAGAGAGAGGTGTCAGCTGTGCAGCTGTAGAGACAGTCCTGTTTTATATTAAATGGATTATTCGACAGTCAAAAGTCAGCCTGATTACATTTTAATTTTTTTGTCTGAAGAAACCACTTGAGCATGTAAAGGACAAGATGAGCAAAGACTCTTTTGTCCACAGGAGGTGCCATAATCAAAACAAACCAAGAGTTCCTTACTGGAACTTTAAGTGCTTTCCAGATCCTGATCTAAACTATCAGATTAGCATTTTTGATCAGCTGGGAATCTGCAGTTTGAGTTGAGCATCTCACTCTGATCATGTAAACTGAACACAGTTCTCTGCAAACCAAGAGAAACCATGTATCTGGGATTCATCTGAATGTAACTGTAGTGTGATAAACAAGGCACAATGTGGGTCCCCAGCAGCAGCTTGAACTTTATTGCTGGAGTACAAACATGCACAGACAGCCAGAGAAACCACTACATACCAGTGTACAGTAAATCCTCAAAGTCAAAAGGGCAAAAACATAAACATTGGAAATTAGCAACCGCAATGTCAAAAGTCAGAAATGTGGAAGAAATTTTAAATTATAAAAGAGGAAGCAGTCCAACTTCCAATATTTGCAAAACAATCACTTGGCAAAGCAGAAGCAGTTAAGCTGCATTTGATTTGATATGACATCCAAAAAACTAAACATGCAAACACTACAGCCTTAGAGGAAAAGGCTGCTGCGCTGAAACCACAAACTCTGGACGTGAGAGTGAAAAAGCCAAAAAGATGACAGTGAAAGTGTTGAAGTCATCACTTTGGACCATCGGCCCATCGCCACGGTAAAGAACGTAGTTTTCTGCAGTTACGGGTCCTTTTTCCTGCTGTCTCAAAACACTTCATTTAAGACACTGCCCTGCCAGAGCTGTACAGGCAAGTGTTTGACAACACAGGAGCTGATTTAAAACATGATGTGACTTCTGTTAGTTTTATGACAGACATTTGGAGCTCTGGTGTTTGTCTCACTGCACGCTGGAATGATTCCTCTGCTTTTGAGTTTAAGCATGTAAAATTACATACACATCCGTTTTGTAGGCCTGCTGGACCAGGTTCAATGACAGAGGCTGCAGACATGTTGCAGTTATATACTTTACTTAAACTGACTGTAAAAAAAAAAAGGCTTGTACCTTCACTATCTTGACGAATAAAAGTTCATCAGTCTGAGCCATAACTACAAATATTTCATAAAGGCCATCCGTTTGACAATTTCAGAGTCTGAGGCAGCTGCAGCACCTTTCAAAAAGTATTACACATTGGAAGAAAGCTAAAACCTGCCTGTTAACATCAGCACAGTGAGTTGAAAGAGCACGGATGAATCATCTGCTAAAACTTGCCTCTGGGCTAAAATAGAGAACACTTGCGTGTTCCTCAGTCACCGATGGAGGAGGAACACACAAGTGTGACGAGTGATTCTGCTGATTGTCTGACCTTAAGACCAGCAACAAGCGAAAGAAGAACGTCTGCGTGTGTGAAATATCCAGTTTAGATTAGAGAGCCAGAGTTTAAAATCACCGTGAACATACTTCAATCAGGAAAAAAAGTACACACTAACACATGTTTAACACACACAGGACACATTCTGCCTTCAACGCCCACCTTGTGAGCACACACAGTCAACACTTCTCAGATAGTGTTTACCATCTGAACAGCCAATTACATGAACAGAGAGCTCTGAACAGCCAATTACATGACAAACACAGACACACAAACATTTAGACACATTTATTCTCACTCTTCGCTGCGCTGTCTGGATTAAATTAAGCAGAATCAAAGTCAACAACATAACTCAGATTTCTAAATTTGGCTCTTTAACTCTGTTAATAATCATTTATCAAATCCACTTGTAGAGCAGCTCTTTGGGGCCTCAGACTCTGTGAAAGTCCGACTGTGGTTTGGTTTTGCACACATCTGTCACTCAGAGCACATGCATTAATAACCCCTGAGGGTAAATTCATTTTTTACACCCTGTTACACATGCAGCACACATGGGGTAAAAATACATTAAAAAACAGGAACACGTGGACATGCACGACTACTAATAGAGAGACGTCATTGAGATGGCGGTGCACATGGACAGACCTGTGCAGCTCGGAGACTGGTGACTAATGTAAGGGGAGCTTGCACATTTCTAGCTATCGTCTCAATTTCCACTTTTGGTTCACAACAGAGTTTGATCTAGTGACCCTCTGGGGACATGTCCCTACAGAGTTCAGTCTGTGTTGATCAGACGTGTTCAGCCCCACAAGCCCCAACCTCTACGTTAGGGCTGGGCGATATGGCTTCAAATCAGTGTCATGATATATTGAACAGGTCATCTCAATAACGATAAATGGACGATAACTACTCCACAAGCTGCTCACCCCCTCCCACATTAACTTTGTCTACTTCAGCTGCTTTTTAACTTGAACTTTTGAACCGTCCTCCATCTCTTCACCTGTCTTCCCCTCTTTGTTACAGACTGGATCGGGTGGAGTCATGTCTCCGACATAGGACAGTGTGTTAAAGGAGTATGAGTCCATAGCCTTCCTACAAACATCCAAACCAACTTTTATTGATTCATTTATTTTTTGACACCGAATATAGTGACATGAGAAAAATGAGGTTAGTTACTGACGTAAATTTCAGTATCGGTACATTTTTGGTTTATCGCCCAGCCCTACTCTATGTCCCTGTATTACTTTTGTTTGGTAAAATAAAGTTGCTGAATCTTTATCGGCTTGTCCAAATGATGGGAAAACAGAGGTACTCCAAATGGTTCCTCATCCTTGGTGAGAAGTTCCTCAATGTCTAAAGATTTCCTCATTACAAGAGAGCTAGATGTCAACCTAGCATTTTAAAGGTTGAACTGAACCTAAATAATGATGCATGAAGAAGAAATGTGTTTACTTATTTCAGAGTAATCAAGCCAGATAAAGCAATTCTGCCTCTATCCCCACATTCATATTGGCTTTTGTATTCCAGTTTTGCTCGAAGGCGATGTAGGAAATCATCAGTGTGCTGAGAGTTAAGATGTCATCTCACACATTCAACCTGTCTGATGGCAGAGCCAGGTCATCTCAGCTGAGAAGAGGTCTCAGTTTAACACCTACAGGTCACAGAGTGCACCTTTAGCTGAATCTAACCCCACAGTAACCTGAACCTGGTCCTGCAGGCAGCTAATCCACCTTAACAAAGGCTCTGTGCTGTTCTGACAGGCTGAGTGATCATCAGTCAGGTAAAGCAAACTGCTCCAGCCTGACCGCTATACACACACAGGTGGCTTTACCGACCGTTCGCTGTGTTTGAGTAGGTGTGTATTTGTCTTTGGAGGTGGGATGAGGTCTCTGGAAACCCTTTTTATAAACAGCGTCTGACTGCATGGGTGTGTGTGGTAAAAGCGTGACATGTCCAGACCTGTTGGGTTTCATACGACGAGACGATCTGACAGTGAAACCGAGGCTGCGTCTGTCACACATAGACAGACCGATTAGGTCACCTTTTCTCTTTCAGACTCAAATCCCCATAATCCCTCAGATGATTAGGCTCAGGTTATGAGTGACAATACACACAGGGACAAAACTCCAAACAAAAAAAACATCATTTATGTAACATGTTATTCATTTTCAGAAAAGTGTCCTACTTCACAACAGTCAATAAACAAAACCAAACTAACATCAGAAAACGGGTCTAACTGCCAAAAGAGTAAAGTCAAAACTGTGATGCATCCTGGTATCAACATTTCTACCAATTACTGGTTCAACCTTCTTCCCCACAGGTTAAACTGACATGTACACAGCTGAAATTTTCCTCAAATAACACAAGTAACTAGACTTTTACAGCCAAAGCCAAAAGGCACTCGAGGAAGTTACGGTAAGTGTTCAAAGTGTGGGATCAGTAAAGGGTGAAATGGAAAGAGTACACAGCACAGGGTGTCGACTGTAAAACACAGTTAGCCTGAAGCACTTCAACCAAAAACATCCAGTCTATGTATCCAGTCCACAGAGAGCATGAGTGTTTTGGTTAAATGTGTGACCGTGTAAAATGGTAACTTCTACAAAGAGGCATTGGTGGCTGAATGCATGAAGTAGCAGTTTCGTTGTACTATGACAACCACTGATGCATTTGGTAGTAAACAGGGTTACAGGTTAAAACAAAACACCGGACATGACAAGATATTGTTGGCAGTACCCTTGCAGTAGCATTTAACATAAAATCATGTGTTTCCTATATCAACAGAATATTTAACAGCCTGTAAAAAAGACCTTCAATCAGTGTGGCTGCTTTGAGTTCTTACATGTCTAAGTTTGATAAAGTTTTTCTGTATATAGTCATTTAAACCTAACAGTCCTGAGCAGACCTATACAAAGCTGTAGTGTTGGCTGTCCACACTAAATGACCATGCTGCCCTCCAAAAATCTCCACCTCAAGCATGTTTTCAAAAACCTTCATTTGCAGCGACCTAAAGTTTACATGCGAACTCTGTTTACACTGAAGAAAAAAAAAAGTTAGAGTGGCCGGAGAAAAGTGTGTGCAGAGTAGGGGTGTCCTGATATGATATTGATATTGGATATCGGTCCCATGTCAGCAAAAAAAACACAAATATCGGATTATATCGGACTGCATCTAAAAATCTGTGATATCAGCACTCTGATACAAGCAGTCCATTCCAGACTCCGCTCCAGCACATCTATCTAGCAGGGCCCTGATCCAGCAAGTTGAGCCCACAAAATCACAACAACAGTGTGTACTAAGGTACTAAAAAAGTGGTAAGTAGTGACCATGTGGCAGCATTTTTTGTTGAATTCCGAAAAAGACATAGCAGCTGAGTGAAAAACTTGTGCCAATATCTGAACAATATCTGTATCGGTCAATACTGAAGGCTACAATATCGGTATCGTATTGGAAGTAAAAAGTTGTATCGGGACACCCCTAGTGCAGGGTATTTGTTCATGGTTATTCAGGACAACAAAGAGTACTCTGGGGCCTCATTTTTGGAACAAAATAACAGCGAATGTGTTTTTTTTTTTTAATCCTGTGGCAGGTGTCCACGATGTTCATTCATAATAAACAGAAGCTTTATTTGAGTGCATTGTTTCTGACTCTCACTACATTTAACGTGAAGAATATCTTACAAGAGGTCAAAGTCTTCCTCTACATATACCTAGAGGGTTTTACCAGGACCAAAGAGACACTAATGAACAAGTCAGAAATAAAGTCTCTGCGTGATAAATAATAATTTGGACTCTTAAGGAGGAGAGAGCCACGGGGCAGCTGGTGTGACATAAAAAGAAGTGAAGGGCCTTTTTTTCAGCAGGCTTGTTGAGATTCTCAAAGAGACACAGGTTAGCCAGAGGCAAACAAGCTAAGAAAACAACCAGAACAGACTTCAACAACCTACTGAGTGCAGAGCTTCTTTTCTTAACCTGTTTGAGGAATGGAAATGACACTCTCACACACACTCACACATGCACTGAGTGTCTGTGGCATTCCTGTGTGCCTGCTGGCTCTCGTCCCTCCACACTTGTCACCGGGCAGCGCAGCAGGGCTCTGCAGAGTGTGCCGGCCAGCCTGAAGAGCCTCTCACAGGCCTGTTAGCATGCAGATGGTGTCAGGTGACAAGAGCCCGAGCTGCAGGACACAGATGGAGGTTGGTGGCTGCTGCAGCCTGGAGACTCGAGGGTTTATTTCCAAAATGCTTCACGAACATCTTGACTCACTGGAGCTTTAAATATGACATACAGGATCCAGGCTTGGTGTCAAAGTGTTTTGTGTTCAACCACAACAGCCTGGAATAAATTATATATTTTTGTGCATTAAAATCTGAACAAAATAGCAATAAAATGTATTCAGTATTTATCCTTTAAAACATTTGCCCATTAAGGGTTTTGCGCAAAATCTGTGAAGCGTGGGACACATTTTTATACCGTCTGTTTTTACATAACCACTGATGGTGTGGCATATATCACACAAGCTGAATGAAAACAATCATCTGTGCATCCTCAGAGACAAAAAAGTAACACAATCATGAAGGAAGAATAAAAATTAACAGCCATAAAATTGAAAAGCTAAACGGGTTTACAATCACAGTTCAGTCTGTGTAATTGAAAAATCTTAATTTAGGGTTTGATAATTGTGCTGGTGCAAAATGTGGAAGTAATAATAACTGAGTATTCATGCTGTCTAATAATAATACAGACGGACAAACGGGGACACCTTGGAGGACAGAGCAACAGGAAGACAGACAGAAAGCAGCAGGAGAGTTGATGTGTGTGTGTGTGTGTGTGTGTGTGTGTGTGTGTGTGTGTGTGTGTGTGTGTGTGTGTGTGTGTGTCTTAATTGGAAGAAACAACATTGCTCTTTTCAGCCCGGCAGCAGATGCGGAGCAGGTTTTAGACAGACTGCACATGAGAGGAATGTAAATGACCCCCTGACCTTTCTACCTATGAGAGCGGGGTCCCTGCCTCCTCCCTCTGATCCTGTGATCATATCTGAAAAAACTACAGCATCATAATCCTCACTGTTTTGGTATCAGCACTGAATGCCAGCTATTGCAGTGACCCTGAAAGAACTTCACTACCCAGTTTGACTTTCTACAAAACATGATTACTCTCAATTTAGTCAGCCCCTGAACATTTCAAACTGTGACACTCCTCTATATTTTACCTCCTGCACCTGTTTCCTTTTAGCAGGGTGAGTAAAAATAAAAGCAACAAATATGAAAAATCCATTCAGACCTTTAAAATAAATGTATTATAATCACGAATGCACAACCTTCAGTAAGATTTGAAAAATGAAGTGCAGAACTTTGCAGTATTTTACCAGCACCCTTCGGTCATCAGACAGAAACTTCACACACTAAGTCTGGTGCATTTGATTTTGTTTTAACTGCAAATATAAACAATTGGTAACAAAGAGTCATCAAGGATGATGTGATAGTTTTTCAACCACTGAAAAAAGAAAAACTGTAAATCAAAGCAGTTTTACCAACAAATAAATGAGCTAAGGAGTTTTACAGACTACTGAAATGTGCTTTTCAGGAGGTCAGGATGTGAGGGTCTAGTTTGAGCCACATATCACAAAGAATGGCAGTATTTTAGAGGAAGGGTGACTTACTCTTACACATTAACAATTAATCCAAAATGTGCAATTGGAAAAGTGTGAGAAGGCTTCAAGAACCGCAGATATTCAGGAAAGATCCAACCAACCAGAGCACATGCAGTGAACGGATGTGAAAAACAGATATAATGACCGTCCAGAGTTTAAGAATCAGTCTTCAAATATAACTGTCAAAGATTGAATTCTGTTTTAAATGTGCTGAAGAAATGAAGATGGATCAAGAAGAGTACAAAGACTTTGAGAAATTTACAAAAGCAGAGAGGAAGTGTGAAGGTACGGTTCCGTAGAGAGGTTGGCATACCAAAGTCAAGAAATAGACTCTCACCCAGTGCTGTGAAGGACAGAAGTCCAGTTCAATTTCCTAATCAAACTGTTGGAGCAGCTCAGCTTTACTGTTAAGGCACTGTTTCATGCCATCTACACCTTAAAATATATAGACTGTCCCAGATTGAGGCAGTTTTACCAGTAAGTTAAATGTGTTTTGGTAAGTAGGAGAGGCAAGATGTCAGTACAGTAACTCCACAGCATAGACTCCACAAGCTCCATCGCCAGCTGACATTTCAGAGCTTCACTATTTGTAAGTTGAGGATACAGGGATACATCATTCATCCTGGTGTACAGTAAGCCGTTGTGATATATATTGACATAACAAATGTACATCAAAAAGCATAAAAAGGTAACCCAGTAAAAGAAGTCCAAACCATCTGTTTGACAATGACCTTCGACTCCACTGATCTCATCTACTAACTCTTCAGACCACATTCTCAGACTGGGATGTTGAAGCAATCATCAAAAAGAGCAGCATCCAGATGTAATGCTAGAGGGATACCTACAGTGTAATATTTATTTATGAGTTTGGCCACCGAACAAGCCGGGCCTGAGAATAAACCGGTTCCTGCGCTATCAAAGTCATATCACATATTTAAGAGATTAAACTTCCTCTTGAAAACCAAAGTCCAGATTCTGGCACCTGCACTCGAGTGTCTGCTTTCGTGTCCAAGTGCCGCACTCGCTCTCAGATGGGCTCCCCGGCTGAGCAGAGGCACAAAGTGGATCCAAGAGGAGGCTGAGACCCCTCCTCTGAAGGGTCACAAAGCAGCTGTGCTCGGCTGGCTTCATCACTCAAGGAGAGAACAGAGGAAAGGAAGAAAGAAGGAAAGGAGGGAGGAGATAATAGACGAAGGAACAGAGGTAATCGACTTCTTGGTGGCTCATGCACGAAAACATTTGTCAACTTTATGTTTATGTCTTATGTATTAAGCACAGAATTTACACTCTTACAGTATATTGAATATGTATACGGAGCAGTGTATGTATAGTCTACTCTGCATGGCACAGTACGTCTTGTCATGCCTTTGTATATTGTATGCAGGCTCCTGTTTAGATTACGCCATATGTTTCAGCGTAAACTGTTGTCAGAGAGTCCCTGTGGCACAGTCATTAAGACAAATTCTTGCCCATTTCATGTTTCCTGGTGATAAAGTGATTCTTTAATCATTCGATCCCCGCTGCTCTGGCACTTTGTATACATTTCATTGTTCTCAAAAGTAACGCAGATCAAAAAAGATGGAATATCACGGCGTAGATAATTAAATCTGGAAAAGCTGTACGTCTTACTAACGCTTAATGAATCTGTGAGACGCTCTCGAATTCAGAAATTCTTCTCGGCACTGTCTCAGCCTGTATTTGTCTTCATAAAGAGGAATTTCCCCTGTTTAGAATAAATATTCACCTCTCTGCTTCCTCTCTGTGCGGCGATGATCTGACACCGGAGATGAAAGCTCATACTCACATTCACACACACACACAATCACGCGCTCACATAGCTCCGGGCTGTTCTGCTTCTCATTAACACTGCAGTAAAGTTCACAGATGTATGCATACAAAGGGACACACACACACACACATCCTGAGACACTTGTGCACACACACACACACACACACACACACACACAAACCAAATACTGGCAAAGCGAGGCTTCGTTCGGCAGGCTCAGACAGCATGCATATCACACAGTATCTGACACAATTCTCTGCTTCTGACACACATTACAGAGGGCTGCGTTCAATCACTCACTAACCCCCTCTCACAAACACTCGCAGGCTCTGCCAGTTCTGCCTCTGGGCCTCTCGTCATGACTGAAACACTCACTGCCTCGCCGTAAATGGATGAGAGCATCAGGGTGGCCCTGCGGTCAGTGGGACCGCCCCACAAATGACAAGTCACACATTTGGTGCCAACAACGGCCGATATGTGCATCTGTGGCTGCGTTAAGTGGATGGTGTTGACAGTGAACGCGGCACAATAGGATGATATTACAGTCGATGAGTTTTTAAACGGCCCCGGGTGGATTTCTGCAGCAGAGAGTCACCGTTTGTCTCAAGGATGCTCTGAAACAGCAGATAGAAGAAAGGAAATGTGCCTTAAAGGCTTCAAGTGTAATTAAAACCAATGATTCAGCACCATGTGGATGACAACACACACACGGATTCATGGACTGAGATGTACACAAAAGTAGAAAAATACTTAAAGGGGATGAAATCATAGACTGTATATATTATGGACAACTTGGTTCTGCCAAGGATTTGAAGCCAAAAAGCTCTCGGTAATTCCGCGTTTCCTCTCCATTTCCTGAAACCAACATTGCGCAGTAGCATTGTACGCATTCGGCGGGAGAGTCGCCGAGAGTCTCTGTGATGACGCTCCGCTCAAACAGCATATCCCCCAGGTGAGCTACACAATCTTTGTACGCCCATAGGCTGTATCAGGTGTCAATCACAGAAAATATGAACCTCCTAATAACTTTTAAAAATGGAGCTGTACAGAAAAAAAAGAGGACTTGAGCACAAACCAGTCTTACAATAACTACATGTCAACATCGCAAACAGGGTGGAAAAAAATGTATGTTCTATGTAATATATTTCTAAAGTTTGTCTACAGTTCCATAAGTTTTGCTGGCAGAGGGACCAGACTGTGCTGTTCTCGGAGCGAGGAGGTAGATGGCGTCCATTCTATTACAGTCTATGGATGAAATGCACAAAAGAATGTGACAAAGCGAAGTTACAAATGTTGTTTGGCGCAACAACAAAGCTCAGTGAGATCAGTTTGGTTGAAACGTAATCCCTGTTTGATGTCGCTCCCACAGAAAACAAGAGGTTGGATCGAGAAATATCTTGACTTTATCAAATCTGTAAAGCACATAAACTGGACAATTATGAACACAACTTAAGTTTTCATGCTAAATTTACTTCTTCTAGATTACTCTCCAAAACAGACCGCATCTTTAAGCTTGAGCGACTTTTATTGGGGTATTAATAACAACTTTATATGATTATCAAAAATTTAAGGAGAACATGAAACACAGAATGCTTTTTCTGGGGGGTCTGCTGCTCTGCGAAGTGTAACTCAATAACCAAGTCAAAAATAGTATTTTTGGCATCCCTCCTCCGGCCTGTCTCTGGCATTTTTGGGGCAGGAAACTTGCTGCACCATCTCTAATTTAATCCATGAGGAGCCAGCTTCCGTTTCCATTCGGCTGAAAATCACCAAAGTGCCAAGCATAAGGTTTTTTTTAGTGTGACAGCTGCGATACGTCTGACTGTACCCCCTTGGAGTATAGGACAGTAGCGAGTTAAAGGCAGAGGAGAAGGAGGGAGGGCTGGCGAGGGATGATGGGTGGATTCTTCACTGAGGCTCTAATCCGCCTGGGCTCAGAAGAAGGTGTCGGCCTGGAGAGAGGGCCTGTCAGCACCCTGGGACTCCTTCCTTTCCCCTTTATCCCTCTTTGTCTTTCCCTCCATCCCTGTCTCTTCTGCATTCCCACATTCCTCTGATAAAATGGCAGGTAGAGAGGAAGAAGAGGCAGGGAGAGAGCTGAAGGGGCAGCTGTGGCTCGGGGCAGCAGAGGTGCGCTGGGTAAAGCCCACCGCTGAAGCCCTGATAAGCGTATCTCCCTCCCTCATGTGTGCCAGACAAAACCCATTTGTTTCCCATCTGTTCCCCTGATTTGGGCCTGACAGCCTGGGGTGAGCTGTGGAGGACCTGCGACAGAGTGATGGTGAAGATGGAGGGGGAAAAAGCAGGATAAAGGCGGAGAAGAGGGGATCATGCCTTTCATTTCTAACACCTTGTTTGGCACGAGGCTTTTCGTCCATCCATCACACGCAATATCAGACACCATGAACTTTGATGGGGTCAAAGGTGTCTGCTCTGAGTTTTTTAACTGCACCTCACAAGTACTCATCTGGTGTCCCAAAGCTACTTCAAGGTGAAAGATCTGAAAGTGCAAATTACTTTAGATTGATTTGACCTAGCATGGCCTACACGAACCATGATTTGTTTGAAGACAACTGTCTTTGCCTATAGTGAACCCCTTTCCACCTATGGGACGCAAAAACATAAAAGATAAACAACTGTATTGGCAACTTTAAAAACCAGTCATGAGCCAATTTGGACAGGGATTTTAGAGTTGTTTACTGTAAAATTTGGTGAGTTGGAGACACATTAAAGAGCATTTTTGTTGTCTAAAGCTGAGATCTATCCAAAACTGCTGTAAAGCATGCAGCTGCCCTTGTGCATAAACAAGACAGGGTGAGGCAGACCAGTCTAGCAGCACCCCTTTTTACAGATTTTTTCCCTCATAAGATTTAAACCATGAATTTAAAGACACAAATGTCACACTTTTCAGTTAAGTAAGCATTTTCAATGGATGGTTGGATTCTCCATTTAATGACAAGTGCCATTAGAGAGAGAGGGAGGGAATGAAGACAGTGAAGTTGGGGCTGAAGTTCACCTCCAAGTAAATTTTAAGAGACTGCCTGTTGCTCAGATGAAGTGAGTTTGCAGGTCAATATTTTTCATCATAGAGCAGTTCTGCAGAGGACTTAGTGTAACTGTAGCCGAGGCAACTTTCAAAAGAACCAAGACCTCTTTAATGTCTTACAGGAGTGACTGCAGGGTACAAGGACTAATAAGGAGGAAAGAAGTGTGTGGTCCTGCATTAGCTCCACTGGCAGAGCGTAGCACTGCTTCAGCCAGGGTGGCGGTGCTGAGAGTTGTGCGCTGGCGTTGTCTCCCAAGTGGAACTACCGGCGCTAAAAATGTATGCACGCATGATACGGTGAGGCACTTTGGATAAAAGCACTCGCTAAATGGTGCAGAGGAACAAAAGAGAAAGAAGAGACAGGAGAGCACGCCTGCAGTTTGTAAATGAACTCTTTCTCTCAGTGTTCCTCCTTCATCCTGTTGTGTGTGGATGTAGGTCTCTCATCCCTCATAATCCCTTCCCCAAACACCGATGAGTAAGTCCTGACACACAGCCCCACTGCCTGCTGCTGGGGATTTACTACCTAAATAAACACTGCACACACACACACACAAAAACAGAGAGGCATAAAAAATAAATTGAAGCAATAAATTTACTCTGTCATACTTTACCAGGGCTGGGTATTGGACATTTTCAGATTCTAGTGCTTATACAAACCTGAGGATCAGTTTGCAGTCGAGAGGTGAGACTTTTTGTTATTATCTTGAGAAAAACAAAAAACTTGTTTTTCTAGAAATATCTTTCCTACTATTTACCGAGTTCTGATAATAACGAAAGTGTAAACCTTCCAGCCTATTTACTTTTTTTGTATCCCTAAAGATGAAGTACATTACACCGATACTGTCACTATAACAATTAGCACTAGAAGTAGATAAAATGACTTTACTGTAAGTTTGTGATGTTTCAGAGTAGGTCAGTGTAGCTAATATATTACTTTGTTTTACCATTAGCATTAACAGTCGACAAATGCATGTGAAAACCTCTGCCGTTGAAAATGAGCCCATTTGGAAGTGCAAGATCAGCAGTTCCTGAAGTGTCCACTTGAGGCTGGCACCAAAAACCCTGGAAGCCTCATACACACTTATTCTAAACGGCTCACCTATACAACAAAAACAATTGTATTCACAGGCCGCAGCAGAGACAATTTTGATATGAGTGGCTCATTTTTATATCCACACACTTAGCAGGGGGTGAATTTTATCATAAAAATTAGTTTTTAAGATGTTAAGCTAAAGTTTTACTAAATTAAAGACACAGCTGACTTGAAAGACACTGTAGCTGTTAGCAGCGAGGCTAAAGGCTACCTCAACTTCATCTCTATGTACCTGCATGGTTGACCAAAAATAAGGTTGGATCAGCATTCAAAACTCAGCGCTGTTTGAAAGCTAGTAAGAGTCTGCATTTCAAGAATGATATCATAATAGCATTCCTTTCAAAGAGGTTTTAAAACTTATTAACCGTGTTATAGAGACCACATTCATGGTTTGTACAGTCTATGGTCAGGCTAATGCTAACATCACTGGCAGCAGATTAAAGCAGCAGTAGCTGTTTAGCGTCATAGCTGCAATGGTCAGTGTGTCGGTATTACTAATCAGCATCTCTGAAGATGTGTTCCTTAAATGTTTTTTTACCTTTGACCAGTAATATGCACTCTTATGCTAACGAAGGCAATTTGTGCAATTTGTGTTAGCTCAAACTCTCACTAAAGCAATGGCATTTGTCGTCAAACCACATCCTCTACTGTACAACTACAGTGTTTCACCTCTTTACAGAGCAGATAACTGACTGTAAAACTGAAGTCGTTCATAATCTCTTGCAAACAGCTAAATCCAATTTGATTTCATAAGAGGATTTTGTTTCAATAAGTGGAAACTGATGCTGGATGTGATAAATGATAAAACCTTGATAAACCTAAATCCTACATAAAAACTGACGGAGAAATCGCACATCTGACAGGATGTTTGTAGCCAGCTTTGCATACGAGTGGGATAATCTGTTGAGTAATCTGTACTACAGACATATTTATCTGCACCGAAAAAAGAAGTGAAGCGAATACTTTCCATTATTCCCGCAGAAAAGTAGCTGTTGGCAGCAAACCTACATTCACTCAAGCATCCCTCAGCCTTTCTGCACCTGAGATGTCACACCGCGTTAAAGAACTTAATTAGCTTCAGTCTCAGTGGATTCTGAATGGTGCATCAGCTCAATGCTTGTCTAGAGGCCAACATTAATTCAAGGGTGAGACCGGGTCTAAAACAAAGTTAAAATCTAATCTAAGACTATAAAAAGTTTTATGTTCCTCATAATGTGATACAAGGAGCCTGAGAGACGAAGCGATCCCAGGAGGTTAGGGTTTCCTCTTGCACTTTTACTTCCTTCTTCCTCTGTAGTCTTTCCTCCTCGCCTACTTTCCTCTAATGACCATGCTGTTTGCTGGCACATAGCCCATGTTGATCTATAACCGTCCATCTGGCCTTTGCATGTGTAAGTGTGTGTGTGTGCCTCTGATGAGGCTATGATGAATCTATAGTCGCACATGAGGAATGCATTTATGTGTAAGCCTGTACAAGCATCTGAGTGTGTTTTCTGTTTTTCCGGCACACCTGCTCCTCATTCAACAGTGCACGGCCTGTTAGCTCCTCTCAACACTGTGTTGTGCTGTTAGCCAGCGTGGCGTTGCTAATCAGCAGTGTTTCAGGGTTAGCTGGAGGCTACCGTGCTGCTGTCTCTGCATTTGTGTGGGGCTGAGAGGAATGTGGCACAGATGTTCACTGTGTGGACTTCGGTGTTGGACTGCATGTGCATTTGGCTCAGACTGTCACTGAACTAACCTGTGCTACCATGTGAAAGTCTAATGAGTGTGTGAGATTCAATTGATGTTACACCTATTTGCTTGTTAGTCATACTTTTGATGTACTGTAAGACAAATTTTATGCGGCTTTCAGAATTGATACTAAATAGTCATTTTTAATTAACTTAATTTTATAAATTTGTGCTGAAAAGTACTTGTTTTTTTGTTTCCTTAAAAGGGATATTCTGGCGTAAAATTAATTTAGGGTCAAACACATCGTAACACCGAGTTGGACAACCCTTTGAGAGATGAATGTTGCTGACTGCTTGTTTCTTCAGTTATTCCAACTTCAGTAACGACCGCACGACAGCAATACACAGTGGTCTGAGGAGCCATACACAAACGTTAACCGAAACGCCACTCTATAGCCACAAATAATGCTCAGAACAGCACCTAACTTCATCAACAGTACATACAGGGTCCCAGCCATAGTACTAGCCACCAAAAATCTTTTTAGCTTTGCCTGATTTCTATAGCAAAGAGACCAAACACAACTCACCCAGTCTCTTCCAGCAGCCGCTTGTTTGTACGGAGACCTCATATGAGTCCATCACGGACGAAAGTGGGGTGGCGCAGCTCAAGGAAGAACATTTATGATCAATAAGTAATAGTCATCATATTAATCATTTTGCACTGCAGACGCGGTAGTTTTTTTCGCCTCAGCGTCTGATTGTATTTTCATGAAGAGATGTGTTATGGTGTGTTTGACTAACTTAATTTTACGCCGGAATATCCCTTTAAATGTTGAAAGACAGTGGTTTTTGTGCCTGTGCAGTAATTTCCACAACACCACTGGTCTTCATCAGTGACTGTTTAAGTCTAACTTTTTCCATTACAACCGAACATCAAACTTACAAAGACTGAAATGTTAAACACATCAGTGTGCGGTTGCTTCAATTTGAAGTTTGGTGTCAATAGCTGTCTTCAAGTTGTCCCCCCAGCCAATGTGAGTCACTTAGCTTGGCATCTCTGCGTCCGCCCTCTTGCCAAAAGTTGTCAAATTAGGCTCCAAAATATCACAACGGCATTGGCAAAAATGCCAAACTCAGAGGCCTCAAGCCTGTAGTCTGACAAAAAGAAAGTACTTCATGATTTTACATCCACTTACTGTTCAGGCTGGGTCTTTGACTGGGAAGGAACAGACCAATTAAACAACTATAATCTAAAATAATCTCTCGGGTATGTTAATTTTGGTTGATTGTTTTTGAAAGTATATTTTATAATTACTTTCATGTGTGTCTTGAAAAGTGGGAAATTTTGACTTACTTATTTCCACGTAAATCAAAACCAAGTGTAATTTTTAACCACTCCTCCACATCTTCTACATTTTTAGGACTCAAAACCTTGCTGTATAACAGGAATCAGAACACCAGGGTCTACTCTCGTAAGCCCACCCACTCACCCTTGCCTGTCATCTTGGTTTGTCATTCGACGGTGTTGCTCCAATCAGAGGTTGATGATCTGGAAAACGCTGCAGTTTAATCACATTCAGGGCATGCTGCTGCTGTAGTTCGTATGATGAATGGCACATCTGGTGTGTGCTACAGGCGTCGAATGACATGACACAAGGTGACACGGCTGGTGTGTGTTGCCCTTTAGCTAGTGGCATGTTTTGAAAGCCTTAAGGGACCTGTTGAATGGTTACGAAATAGAAGCGCTCTTCCTGGTGCACAAGGTAAGCTGCATACTCACTCCTCTCCAATACGGTCACAAATATATTGACGAAGAATGCTTCATGCTTGAGTTGAGGGACTAAGACAGAAACTCTTTTTTAGAAAATGTGTTTGCACTGGCAGGATGACAGAGCTGGTAGGATTTTGACTCTGCATGTGGAAAGAGTGATGATTTTTTGCTGATGGAGGGTTTACATGACCACTTAAAATCAGATTAGGTTTGCAAAAAATGGCCCATTAGGGATTAAAAGAACTCATATAAACACTTTGATCAGAATTAAACAGCCAGGGCGCCAGCTTGGCCTGTTACACCCTCGATGGTTATAGTCCTCGGGCAGGCGGCCTGGGTTCAGTTCCGACCAGTGGCTCTTTTTCTCTTTCGTGGTTTCCTCTCTATGGATGCCACTATCTCCTCTAAATAAATGCAATAAAGACTAAAAATGCTGAACTTGACTATCTAATCAGTTAAAGTTGTTATGTTATTCCATGTTAGTCGGTACTGTGTCTTCAGTGTCTTGGTCATGGGGCAGGAATCAAACAACGAGAAGTGACATTGAAGCCACAGGCCACTGCTTACACAAGCTGCAGCTCGCTCAGCTTTCCAAGAAGGGAGCACACAACCCACTTCAGCAGAGAGACAATGGGGGCCATAACTCATCCTCCCTGAAAGGATACTTATTATGACAGCAGACCCATTAGCTAAATGGAGAAAGAGCATGTGCAGCATGTAGCTCCGGCTATATAAATCTGCATCTCTCACCCTGACCTCTAGCAGTCATTCCCCGGAGGAGTCAACCTGGGATAATTCCAGACGCCCCGATGATGGCCTTACCCGGGTCAGGTCACCGTAAATCTCAGGCTCATCAAGACCGAGTGACACTTGGGAACGTCCCTTTTCTTTCCTGCAACATGGTGTCAGTGTTCGAGAGGTGTGTCAAGGACTTTGTCATGACCAAAAAGTGCTTAGCATGGCAGCTGGTGAGCAGGAAGTGACCGCAGTCACGTGTCCACACTTCTAGTTTTCCACTCAGGATATTTATGTGTCTCTCAGTGGGCCTTCAGCAAACAGACAGAAAGGGATTAACTGCTGTGGCTAATAGCCGTGTTAGCTAACGAGTCACACGTGCAGGAGGGTTACAGAGTGACTTCCCCTCCATGCTTGAAAACAGATGAGAGCTGTGACCACACAGCAAACACCAGGATGGAAATGAAGGCCTTCTGCTAGGCTTGGGGAGAAGTGTTGGTCGAATATAACGGTCTTAAATCAAACTCTGCAGCAGACTTGATCCGGCTCTAAGAAGTTAGACCACAACAATCCGAAAATTATGGCCCAGAGATGAACAGACATGAGCTAGAAGCTTATCCTGACGCAGTGATGATGGAAACAGATCTGAAAAAGTGTAGACTGAGGAGGGTTTGAGATGGGAAAAGGCTGCGCTAAAAGTGTGTACACTGACTTCTGTTCATTTCATCTATTTAAACGACTCAGACAGGAACTTGCAGATGTTTGCACAGCACTTCACAGCTCAGGCCCTTTATTTGCTCAGTGACAGGAGGATTTTAATTGACTGTAACCATTAGACCGAAGAGCGGTTTGATTTAAATCACCTCAGCAAATATTAAGTTGAACCTCATGTTTAAAATATGATTTGATAGATTTACCTGCGGTCATGATTGAAGATGGTAAAAAAAAACTGTTATGAAGTACTTTCAAATATGTGACATAGAAAATGAAAAACCGACTTAATGTTATCTTAAATGGAAAATACAATAAAACTGAGACAATGAACCAACATTTTCACTCTGGCTTTACAATAATTTATTATCCACAGTCCTCCTAGACATGTGACTTGTCATAAGTGTGACTTTTTTTTACTTTACTGATCATGAAGAACAGCCAAAATCTTATTATCCCATCAGTAAGCCAAATGTAAAAAATCCTCTTAATCCAATATTACTTGAAATCACCTCTGCTAGCAGATTTTCAACACTGCCCACATGTCCTATTACAAGCAGAGACATCAGAGGGGCATTAACCTCAGCAAATTAAGTACAACACAGTGTTTTTAAAAAAATAACAATTAGATCATTTTACACAGTTTTTAACATTATCAACAAAACCTGCTTTTTAATCTTTGTGATGTTAAATGTTGTTGAAAATATGCGTGTTGCTGGGCTTAACTCCTGTTGATGTGGATCAGCTTGGTTGGAAATGTGTTGTAATGTGTAAATTTGTGTAATGGTTGAAAATGTCACAAGCAACACTAGTCTTTATGAGGTATAGCTATTACGCACCAGAGAGTGATGTTTCGGACCATTACTGACTAAAATTACCCAGAATTATATGCTAGACGTTTATTTATGACTTAACGGTATAAAAAAAGAGGTGTCTTGAGACTGTTGTGTAGTTGGGAGGATGATAGGACAATCAAGTGTATCATACTGTATTATATAGGGCCAAGATTAGTAGACTAGTCACGATGACGTCGACTATCAACATCATCAGTGACTTATTTAATGATCATTGCCAGGTTTTTTTTTTTTTTTTTTTTTTTTTAAAGCTTTGTTTTTCTCTCAAAACCGCCGCTGTACCTTCTGCTGTCTTGTCTCACTTGTCTCTGTCTGTCCTTCATGCACATGAGCAGTAGTGGTAATCCAGGTCAGCCAGAAAAGATATGCCCAAACAGAATCATAGCTAGGCAACAACAGAGCTGAAAAGTTTGGGAGAGAGAAGCATGTGCAATGCAAAATCTGCAACACAGATCTTGCCTTCCGACGGCAATAAAAAAACACGTTGTGGCTGATTCAGTTTCTGATGAAGAGGGACAGTCGTATCTGTAAGCTAATTGGCTAGTTGGCTGCTAACATCAACGTCAACAGTGAGCTTCTCACAGGATTAGAGCGGCTACATACCGGTCCAATAAGCTGCAATTCGTGCATGATCTGATAATGACTAATAAAAATAATAATTGGTGACTCGTCGATTATCAATATAGGTTTGGGACTGATTGTGTTGTTTGGTGTATTATCTAATTCTCAGAGTCATCACAGACACTGTGCAGACATGCTACCATCAGTCTCTACAGAACCACTAACGACCCACAAACAAACAACCCTTGTGTGACCACAGGTCAATGATGGGACCATCCTGCTCCGCCTCCTTATTGATGTCCAGTGTTTTATCGATATCAGCTGTCTGGACAAGTCACCAACACTGGCAGGAATCCTGTCCCTTCAAAGAGCGTCATTGACGGATGTATTGAACTGTTTGGGGGCGTTTCCTCTGATCTGCTTTGTTTGGGTGTGTGTGTTTGTTCATGTGTGTGTTTGTACTGGTGATCTTAAGAGCACAAGGGGAGGATGGGATACAGGAGGAGGCAGAGACACTGTGATAAGGTCAGGCCCCTCTCACATCTCAGTGTGCTGATAAAGCAGGACACACACTCACGCACACTCTCACACACAATCAGACAGCCGTACCGAGGCATCAAAGACTGATAACACACCTCTGCATTATCTTCCTGTGGCTTTGTCTCGGGGTACGCCGTACTCCTAACACAGGACAGCGTGAGGCTTCAAAAAGCAAATCCATCTTTGACCTTTTACAAAAGATCAGACACATTCTCCTGATGAAAAGTTTTGCTTAAAAACAAGATTTTTATCATCTGACTTACATGGAATCAAACGGATCGCTAATATAAACACCAGGAAATCCACGTAAAGCTGATTTTCAAAGAATTTTAATCATCTTTTCTCATTTAATTCTTTTTTTGCCTTCAGATCTTCTGAGGCATCTTATCCTGAAATTTACCTGAAAGCTTAAACATGTGTGAAATGAAACGATGCATGACATACACAACAGCGTGCCTCATTTTGAATTCAGTCTTCAGCCTTTATATGTTGGAAATGTTGTTTTCTTCTCCCCATATTGGGTTTTTAGTCAGCAAACAAACTTTTTCCAATGCAATGTTTGCACTAAAAGAAGATTACAGAAACTAAGTCAGACTATTTGTCTCCGTGGTGCAAACCCAGCAACAGAAACACAGACGAGGTAAACTGAAAAATCCAGACAATAGTCTTATCCCTCATCCAGTACAAAGCCCATTCAGTGAACTCTTTCATCTGTGCAAACAGGGCAGGAGGGAACAGAAAACATTTGATCAAGTCAAAGTTAATCTTCCAACAGTTTGAACTCACCGCATTTTCTAACAAAGGGACCCCACAGAGGACCGGGCCTGAAAGTCACACATTTTCTGGTGTCTCTTGGTGTTTAATCCATCTTTTTTTAGCAGTTACATAGAAGTCTCCTTTTCCCCTCTGTTTCCTTTCATTACCTACGGATGATCAGAAACTAGCGTGAAAACTCCATTTATCAAAAACGGTTAGCACAGTTTTTTGGAGTAATGTTGAACCAGGAGTATCAAGTAATGTAGTTGTGCGCTTGGTCCAACAATCACATATGAACTTCATGTGAGGAGCTTCAGATTTCCTCAGACTGCAGAAGACATGTTAGATCCTTTAGTGCTGGCTTAAGTTGTCAGCACATCTCTAAACAGACAGGAAAAGAAATTCCTCTGGACTCAAATTCATCTCTGGGACAGCCAAGAGGGTTTTTATTCTGGAAATCAATACTTTTGAAAAACCAATTGAGTCAAAAAGATTATCTTAAAAAGTGTAATCTGTGAAAACTGCACTGTACAACCAGCTTTTTTTTGTGCTTTTTTTTGTTTGTATTTTGGTTGATGCAGCTGTTGTCTGACACTCATTCTTAGATAAGGTTTAAAGAGCCTCTCAAGTGCCTTTGGGGAAACCTTACCCGGAGGAAAAGTACTCGCCCTGGATGTGTCGATAAGGACATAAGCTTTAGTTTTTAAAGGGCATAAAGTAAACAACAGCACTGAGCTCGACCCCTCTGGGCCCCGACTGGCACACTGGGCAGCAGAGCCACCCGATCCTGGAGCCTGGCGGGGCCTCACCGCCGTAAATCAAGAGGCATCGGAGACGCTGAGCTCGCGGGTGAAACGAAGACGAGACCACAACGAGACAGACAGGAACGCTGATGTGTGTCTCTGATAACACACACACACACACACACGGATCTCTGCGTTTCCCTCAGCGTTCACACTCAGCTCACAATAGAGCCCCACAAACAGTCGAACAAGAGGAGATCACAGGACGGCTGACATAGTTGTGTACACACTAATTAGGCACACTCGCACAACCACAATGGGCTTTTTCACAGCCTGCATGCACAAATCACACACTCGCTCACACACACACACACAGTATGAGTATCAGGGTCGGGATCCCTGCCATGTTTGCTATGATACTCTCTCTGATCTGGGGTGAGGAGTTCTCTGCCCCCGCTAATATAAAAGAAAGGAGACAGGCAGGTTTTTGAGAAGGTGGCAGCCCTTCTTGGACTGTTTGACAGTCGCAGTGTGAATGAAGGATGCTGTGTTTTGTTCCGGCTCTGTATGAACAGGCGTTTTGTTTGCCAGATGACATTTAGACAATGGCTGCGAGACGGGTGGGAGGAGGGAAGGGGTGGTGGGTGTTGGCAGCGATCATATGAGCGACGTCTGAAGCTTTTGTGGACAGTTGAAGAAGAGAAGAGGTCAAGAGGTCAGGACCGAGTGACCTTTGCTGACATGAAGGCAGAAAATAATGAGAGGATGGTGGCAGAGATGAAGCCTCTGCTGGTTTTTTTTGTGATTTTTACTTCAACATTGTTTGGCCATCAATCAGCTGGGTAGCCTGCAGTCCTGCTGCGCCGATCTGCTGCTAAATGTCTGTTTTGTAAAGTTTGTTGTGACTCCGCTGGGCAGAAGTTGCTGCACAAAGCTCAAGTTTGGAGGAAAAATGCAACGAACATCGAGAGCTGTCCTACTTGCAGACAAAGAAGCCTCATCGTGCATCGGGTTGACCTTTCTCATAGTTGAACGATCACAATTACCACTGTTTTACATACATGATGTGTTCGATAAGTCATTATTATTTTGACACTTTTGCTACTGACAAGATGAGCCAAATCCCTGCAGGAATAACAGATGGAAAAGACGCATAAAAATACATTTATTTTCCCTGTGCCCCTCATGGGAGTGAAACCGTTCAATAATAATTCTCTCTGCTGGCAATTTTAGCATTAAACTACAGGACAATTTAGGCGCAAAGCATGATTTTGTAGGAGATGCTGTCAAGCCATGTTGAAAGGTGAAAGTCTTCAGCTTCACTCTGAGGTTAGGAGAAAAGTCGGTCATCATAGTGAGAGCTGAGACGTGATAATCATTCCAATATGGGGATAATGGCACACATTTCAGACAGCCACTCCTGGAAGGCATTCATATTTTTTGCACTTGGTTGCACACATGAAATGACGTACTGCATGAAGAAATGAAGAGGTGAGCAGCTTGGAAAGAGTGTTGGAGGGGACAGGGGTGTTGAAGAGAGAGAGGGAAGGAAGGGGGGGAGACAGGTAGAGCAGCACCTGGAGATAAAGGAGAGACTACACTCTGATCCTCGTCTTTATCTCTGTGTGGATGTTTTGACTGAGATGCTGAGTGGGGTCCGAGCTCCAGCCATGTGCATCAAATCAAGACCTAATCTGACATCCATCGCCACTTCACATGTACTGTTCAGACTGTGTGAGTGTGTGTGTGTGTGTGTGTGTGTTTGATGATCTCAAGTATGTTTGTCTACCTGAGTCATCACCTGTGGCGGCTACCCGGGACACAACAAAATTGGCCTGATTGGAATAACCTGTGTGTTTGCACTGTGCAGAAGTAAGTGTGTCTATGTGTGTTAGTGTGATGACCCTGTGTGTGTGTGTTCATCTCGGTGATTACCCTCTGGTTCAGAGATAAGAGGACAAACAGCCAGCAGGAATTCACTCAACACACTCAGCCAGAGACTGACGCCTCTGCACAGAGGAGGGGCTGCAATCAGCTGTGAAACTGCGTGAGATGAACTTCAGGATTAAAACAGTTTTTTGTAAAACGAAGAACACATAATGAGACAAATATGTGGAAAAAAAAGTTGAAAAAGTTGCTTATTTCTGGAATTGAAGTGTGAGGATTGCAAATAGAAGACACAAATAGCCTGGTTTTACTTAACAACACCTGCACCCTCTCAACTCTGACAGAGCTGTTCGTCATACTTTAAAATGTTTGTTAAACCTGTTCAAAAAAGTTATTTCCTAATAACCAGTTTGTCTTTAGCTGAACTATTTCCAAAAAAAGATGCTCTTAAATTTATTGAAGTTACAGGTTGTTAATTATTCGTGTGTTGGGAAGCATTAGAGCACATTCCAAGGTAAAACAGCATAATTTGTAGCCTATTAGCTAAATTGCTTCTGGTGCAGCTGAGCACAAATCTTCAAGTAATGAATCTATCGAGGATCACAGATTAGATCATTTGTTGCATACGGTATTTGCCGAAAAAAGATCCCGGTGCGTTTCTCTGCATCACAACAACAGTGACTCAACACAAACCTGATTCAACAAAAGATGAAGGGGTAACACTTTAATTGACGCCTATCTCTATAACGCATTATAAATGTATGTATAATGTGTTATAATCATGTTATAGCACTGTATAACTATAGTTATAAATGATCATAATGCTTTATAGCAATAATCATAACACATCATAAATCATTTCATCATGACTTACAAGGTCAGGTATTATAATGTGTTATAACTGTTAACAACTCACTGATAATGTCCACATAGATAATAATGCATTATACATATATTTATGACGTGTTATAATTTGCTTATTAACTTGTATAACTATCATTATAAACACTCATTAATTATCATAAGGCTTTATAACAATAAGCATAACACATAATAATACCTGACCTTGCTTTATAATGTGTTATGATTACTGTTATCAAGCATTATGATCATTTATGAGTGTTTATAAATATAGTTATACAGTGCTATAACGTGATTATAACGCATTTTATATATATCTATAATGCGTTATAGAGATAGCCGTCAATTTAAGTGTTTCCGAAGTATATACTTAGTACAAGAGTGAGGTTATTTTAAAACAGTTAAAAACTTCTCACAGTGCCTTTAAAATCCACACCGCCTCAGCGCTGCATTACTCTTTAATTCGTCCCCTATCTGAAGCCTCTGCCCTGCACATGTACCCGTGAAACAAGCCCATAAGAAGTCTCTCTCGTACAGTACAAATGTGACTGCTTGCACTCACTCTGACCTCTCTCTTCATTCTTTCGTTCTCCCTAAAGGGGGAAAAGTTAAACCCTGTCCATCAAAAAGGGTCCAGAGCAGCCCACACAGAGCATAAAGCTTGGCCTTCATCCCCCCCCTGATTTAAACACCTCATCAAGCCGGCCTTACACCTCACCCTGAAATAGACGCCTTCTATAGATAGTAAATAAAATAAACAGTTGTGTCTCCGTCTGCCTCTGCTGCTGCTGCCCGCTCAAAGAGAAGACTTCAGAGCTATCAGCTGCTGCGAGGCTGCGGTTAAAGGGAATCACATGTTTGGCCTGACATTAGAAAGCTCTGTCAGATGAGGAGAAAGAAAGACGTGAAGGAATAAGTGAGAGAGTGGAGGGGGGGGACTGGTTGCACTGGTTACCTTCCAGCTTGACTTCAGCTTCCTGCAGGGGTGAGCTCAGAGCAGCTACATGAGGTAAAGAGAAACAGATCTTTATGACAGGTTTTACAGTGTGTAAAATATGGGCTGCTGATAAGGCGCCCTGTGGTTGCAAACCGAAGAAAAAGAGCAGAAAAGAAAAGAGGCCGGTTTTATTTTGGGGTTAGTTTACCCATTAATTTCACTCCAGTCTCTTAAAGGTCCATTAAGGCAAGAGGAGTAGAGCAGGCTGACATCCATCACCTCTGCTGCTTCAGAGCCCAGAGAAACACACCCTAAAGAAGGCTAATGAAAGACCTGCTAATGCTGTGTGTTGGTGCACGCACGAGCCCTGCACCTTCTTTTGTGTACAATCCTATCAATGTCACAAAGGTTACGCTCCCTCAAGATAACCCGCCGAGATCGCTGTGTGCTCCGGCTGATCTTTTTTCACTCCTCTCTTTTTGTGATTAGGTGTCAGCAGAATTTCCTTGGTGTGCAGACGACGGCTTTCATGTTAGGGGTTTCTCATGGTCTCATGCCCCAGCGAGCCGCCCATTTAAACGCCATGTAAAGCGGCTGCATTGCAAAGTACACAATGTGTGTTTGTAGTCCAGTGGCACAAGCATGAATCCATAGTTATCGGAGTACAATGACATTCACGCCTGCGTTTTCTCGTATCTCTGTGCAGAGAGTAAAAGCCTTTTGTCTTTCGGTTTTAGAGGTTTTAAGTGTGGATCATGAATAGTTTAATGTGGAAGGCTTATTTTCTCACTTACAGTAGCCCGATAACTCAAGTTGGATTTGAGAGCTTGTAAAAATCTCTGCTTAAACAGATCGAGCAGTAAAATAATTTCAAAAATCTGGTCTCACTGTCTTTCAGCTCCTCTGATTGAAAACATGTCTTTGTATTTTGGGAGAATAGAGTGAAAAAAGCTTGAGTGGGGACAGATGTGATAGAACTGGCAGGGTGCAGTTTGGAAATGACAAAGAGTCTCTGGAAATGGGATTTGTCTTGGGTTGACTGCGGTTTGGTTGGTATGTACTTTCCGTTTTACACAAACTTGCCATTTAGTGGCGTAAACATCCTGAAAAGATCTGTGCCACTGTGGGGCTCCGGGGACCGCGCTCAGTGTCTATCATGCTCCACCTGCACTTGCAGTTCTTGTTTTTTAAGTTACTCGGTCGTTCACCTGGGCATTTTTGAAATCAGCTGCAAATCATAGAAGACCAAAGTTAACCAATCTGCAGGGACCCGTATCCGAAAAACCAAACTACAAAAAACACCAACGACCCTTTTTTAAGATCGTATTTGAGGCATGCACGAGGGTTTATGAGCACCAAATCATATCAGGACCAGGAATCAGACTTTGACTGGTATAATGAGAAGTGAATTGTAAAAGATGATCATGTAAAATAGTTTTTGAGCCACAACCTACACAAGCAATATCATTGGCATTTCTGGCCTCACGTTCCTGTCGCTCAAGTAGCAAAACATACTTGCCAGTTTAAAATAGCTCAGAGCAAATTATTGCACAAACAAAAGGTCAAATTTGAGAAATCCACAATCATCTGGTGACACCCAGGGGTTATTTCATGATACCTTTTGGGGTGGAGACCTTAGTCTTTGGATCTGTTTTGAAATGATCCACGTATCCTTCGACAATCTAACCTATAAAGAGTCAGTTTGACCCAGATTGAAAGGCAAGTGTGTAGACCTCTCGTCCTTTGTCCAAAACTTACTAAACTGTCCTTATTTTCACTTTCTTTTCTCATCAGATGTCTCTCTTCTTGGGAAACACTTAGACGATATTAAAAAAAAATGTAGATCTGTTCAAATGTGCAATAATTCAACACATTTTCTTCCAAGTAGCTGACTTATTAAAGAGCGTCTGTCAGCGTCTGTCTCAAAAAACAGAGCACTAATTCAGTGTAAAAGTTTTTGTGCTAAATCTCTAGGTTTGGATGTAGTTACTGGTACTTTTTCCCTGAATTGTTGTTTTATCTCTAAACGGGTTTGCCAGAATAATCATTTTGCAAGAGTCAATGAAAATAAAGCTCTCTAGTTCTGTTTATCTCTAAAACAAAGAGAGGAATGAGGGGAAAGAACCGTTTCCATATCCTTCCAGAGTTGTAAAAATCTTGCCTCAGAGGAGTGTAAACAGCTGTAAAATGTGTCGGCATGAGATATAATCAAACTGTTCGGCGTGGTTTGTTTTCACACCAGTACAGGCTTTTATGGTTTTTTAATGCAGTGCCATTGTGGGTCTGAACACAGCCTCTCCCATAGTATTCGTGGCATTCTGGATGAGGCCTAAAATGTAAATGTGATTGTGATTTACCATGGGAACTTCGTGGCATTCTTCTTGTTTTGGAGGACTGTGAAAGGAACCGGACTTGAGCCAGCTGAAAAGAACAGTGAGCTCTAACAGCCAAAGAAGCGGTTGCAGTGAAGCTACACTGAAAACGCCATATAAATCTTAGCTTTTTAGAGTCCAACTTAAACCCTGAATGCACACACACACCAAACACACACACACAGACACACACATGCACAGCAGCTGTTTGAAACTGATATGTAAATGGTTCAAACGGGGTCGGTTTAGTGCCAGAGTGCGCACACTGTCCTCTGAAAAAAAAAAGCTGTTTCTAATGAAGACCAGCTCAGAAAACTCATTTATGTCTCCAAAACTGTAAGTGAACACCAGCCTGCCAGCTTCACAGTGTGTGTGCAGTGTGTGTGAAATGTGTGTGTGTAGCATGTGTGAAAGAGAGAGAGGAGGGAGGTGGTGGTGCACAGTGAAAGACAATAAATAAGAGAGAGAGAGAGAGAGAGGGACAAGTCTAACTGTCAAAGGCAAAAAGCCGTACCAGCGCTAAAACACACTTTGGGCGAAAACGTCAGAGAGAAAACAGGAGGAAGGGGAACTGAGGAAGACTGTCGGGGAGCGTTACAGGCAGCGCACGAGTGAAAATGGACTAAGAGACGTGAACAGACCGAACCTGCAGCAGCAGAGGAGACAGAAGCTCATCTACTGTAGCAGCAGCTTGGAGATGATGGTGTCAAGGGGGTGAGAGCGGGATTTCCTGGGATGTGATGCCACAGGGTGGAGACCTCCACAACAGAGCTGACCCCTGTCCGCCCAAACCTTCCTGATCCTTATCATGGTCCAGACTTGAAGTAGCTCACTGGTGAATAATTGTTTAAGTCCCACTCCGATCGTCTTTTATACTACTACAAGTGTTCTCAGTGGTCTTTAAATTGTGATTATTAAGTTTTTACCAAAAATCACATTACCAAGGGCTTTTCTTCTGCAGAGCTCCAGTAGATCATTAGCAATTCGCCTCTGAGTTGTGGGCAGAGACAGTGCTTCTCCGCACACTCGTCTTCACGTTAGCTTGTAGCCTAACATTGCCGGTGCAGTAGAAGTAGCAGGTAACATAGACGCTATTCAGCTCTCAGACACTAATGTCTTTAGGGACACGATAAAAGCTAATATCATACCTAGCTTTCTTACGAGCATTGGGAACTGCTAACGCACACGCTTGTTCTGTGATCGTCCTCTGTGTTTCTCCTCTAGATGCTGAGTGTTGCCTGCATAGCGCGGCCCCGGGGGTGGAGCTTGGATTGGTTACGTATAAAATCTCACTGTTTCCGAGCCTGCTGTTTGGGTCTGCCAGAGATTCACAGAGATTTGAATGAAGAAATACTCTGAAAAGCAATTTCACATTTAGTTTTCTCATGATATGTCCTGAAGCATCAGAAAAATGCTATAAGAACATATTAAAAAAAACAAGAAAAACATGATTTTCATCAAAGTGGGTCTTTAAACAAACCTCAGAGTCAGACTTACACACAAACACACACACACACGAGTCTAGAGAGAAACTGCTCAATCTTTCTGCCTCTTAATTAGACCGATTAGTGACATTTTGACAAAACCGGCACCTTATCAAAATCAGCCCACACAACGCCGATATCACCATTGACTTTCCTTCATGAAGCCTGAATGACAGCAAATCAAATTTCACAGAGTCAGTAGCTGGTGTTTAAATACTAAAAACTCTGTTATGATGTGAAAAATTCTGCAGTTTTATACTGCCTCTGACAGAAATATCAGCAAGATCTTCAGGCGAATCCGAGCAGACGTTTATGTGTGCCATCTTGTGTAGCAGGCATAACTGCGGTAGCAACTCAGCGTCTCCTGATGTCTGCAGACTGAAATCTACAGCAGCTCACATTAAGACTTCCATAATAAAAACACAGTCAAGTCAACTGCTTATTTACATGATTGGTACCTTACAGGCTCGAATAACCTTTTCACCCACTTGGCCGTCTACTTGGTGCTCTTTGGGTCACTCTATGCCATGTTGTAAAAAAGGTTATGCTGAAATGCCGTGTGGATGGCCTCATGTTTAAGGTCAGCGGCTGTTATTTTACCATTTTCACAATCTGCTATTATGTTGAGAAAGCTGACTCTCAGAAAGAAAAGAAGTGAAAGCAGACCTCTCCAGCAGTATGAGGCTGAGAACAACACTTTTCGAGCGAAGTTTACAGATCTTTTCCTCCTCCATTAACATATTTTTGTGTTTACTTCATTGGATCAGGAGGGTTTCGTGTTTGAAACTCTAAGGCTGCCGTAACAACCAAACACAAACATGTGAAGCTCTGCTGCTACTTGTTTATTTATCTCCTTCTCTTGGTTTTCCTGCATGCTCCAGCTCAGTCAGCACATGCTAAGTGTAGGCCGAGGCCAAACACCCGCAGGGAGCAACCCTGTCCTCGACATGGCCGCCTTACACATCATGTGGCCTCTTTTCCACCTCCCACTTAACCCTCACCACACACACAAATATGCTCCCTGCCGCCCCAAACACACAAAATAGGCTGAAACCAAACAAACATGCCGAGCTTGTGAGGAAATGTGAATAAATGCTGAGAAGTCGGACAAAAATGGTCGGAACGCTGAAGCCGAAGCAGGCCGAGGAGATGCTGGCAACACACCAAGGCGCGCACACTCACACACACCCTCAGGTCTGCAGCAGAGCGAGGTGTCAGAGCCCGTTAGAGGCCTTTGGCTGGACGCAGCTCCAGAACAAGCTGGACAAAAGCGTTGCCTGTCTCCCCTCATTAAGTGATTTAAGATCCCGTGTTCCCCCGACTCCTTTCATCGCCGTCCAAAGTGAACACACTCAAAAAAGCCCAACAAGACTGCCAGGACCTGCTGACATGAATGGGGTGAAGAGGGGCAGGAAAGCCAAGTTCATGGCGGAGGACCAGGGTCTAAAGCTGAGCTACACTAGCCATGCCTATTAGTCCTGCACACAGATGGAGGAGGGGGGGGGGCTTGAATGAGCCGGGGTACGAGCGAGGCCTGGTCCTCGGGTGGGAAACAGCAGCTACTTAATCCATTAACAGTTCTTCCTCTGCAGACACAGAAGAAGCAACGTTTTCCCATGAAGCTTCAGTTTAGCAGAAATGTGCCGTTTCCACATTCCTGGCTAACAAGGCAGCGCTATCGAGGGAGGCGGGAGACGACAGAAAGATGGAGGAGCTGGATGGAACATTAGAGCTGCATCCAAAATCAACCTCATGAGAGCGCCGCTTTGGTTGAGTCGTGTCATAATAATGAGTGATTAAAGCAGGCTATCATATATCGCACAGTTACAAGGATTTGCTATGAAAACTCCATCACTGCCTGCGGTCAGGCTCTGGATTTGTCAGCAGTACAGAGGAGAACCTCAGGTTTCAGCAGCTGCTGCTGAAAAAAAACTCTGAACAGTAACATTTTCAATTTAAAAAGAGAAATTATCCTGAAATTTCTCCTGTGACAAACTATCAGGTTTCTCTTGAAACACGGGATCAAAAGGTGGTATCATAAAGTGGGTTTTACCCTATTTTGTGCCGAATTCTGATGTCTTAAACCAGGTGAAAGTAGCTTTCACACTGTTGAGTCACTTGATTTAATAAAAAACATCAGCTTAAAGTAATAAGACGGTAAAAAGCTGCTTCAAGGCGCAATGTACTGTAGGATTTTGCATTTTTTGTCAAAAATCTGTCTTTTAGCGAGTCAGTTTGTGTTTTAATCCCTAAAAGTGTCTTTTTAAGTTGCATTACATGTCTGTTTTTGTTACTTGCTTCGGGACTAGAGCTAAAATCAGCATTCTTGCTCACTCCCACATATTTGCATCCAGTATTTTTGCACTACTGCTCGTAAAAGGCTCTGTATCAGTGCAATCTGGAATATCTGCTAGAGGAAGGTAGAGATTTCTGTAAAAGCATCTATCTTAGTCTAGTGTTAAGTAATCTAAATATAAGTACACCTTTTGGTACTTTGTAATGCTGTGCTGTCACTTTTAGTACATAAAACCATGCTCTGCAGACTTGAGACTTTGACATTCTCCTGTGACAAACTATCAGGTTTCTCTTGAAACGTGGAATCAAAAGGTGGTATCACAACGTGGGTTTTACCCTATTTTGTGCCGAATTCTGATGTCTAAAACCAGGTGAAAGTAGCTCTCACACTGTTGAGTCACTTGATTTAATAAATAACATCGGCTTAAAGTAATAAGACAGTAAAAAGCTGCTTCAAGGCTCAATGTACTGTAGGATTTTGCATTTATTGTCAAAAATCTGTCTTTTAGCGAGTCAATTTGCGTTTTAATCCCTGAAAGTGTCTTTTTAAGGTGCATTACATGTGCGTTTTTGTTACTTGCTTCAGAACTAGAGCTAAAATCAGCATTCTTGCTCACTCCCACATAAACGTCCAGTATTTTTGCACTACTGCTCGTAAAAAAGCTCTGTATCGGTGCAATCTGGAATATCTGCTAGAGGAAGGTAGAGATTTCTGTAAAAGCATCTATCTTAGTCTAGTGTTAAATAATCTAAATATAAGTACACCTTTTGGTACTTTGTAATGCTGTGCTGTCACTTTTAGTACATAAAACCACGCTCTGCAGACTTTAGACTTTGAAATTTTTCCTGTGACAAACTATCAGGTTTCTCTTGAAATGTGGGATCAAAAGGTGGGATCACAAAGTGGGTTTTACCCTATTTTGTGCCGAATTCTGGTGTCTAAAACCAGGTGAAAGTAGCTTTCACACTGTTGAGTCACTTGATTTAATAAATAACATCGGCTTAAAGTAATAAGACAGTAAAAAGCTGCTTCAAGGCTCAATGTACTGTAGGATTTTGCATTTATTGTCAAAAATCTGTCTTTTAGCGAGTCACTTTGTGTTTTAATCCCTAAAAGTGTCTTTTTAAGTTGCATTACATGTCTGTTTTTGTTACTTGAGCTAAAATCAGCATTCTTGCTCACTCTCACATATTTGCGTCCAGTATTTTTGCACCACTGCTCGTAAAAGCGCTCTGTATCAGTGCAAGAAATGATCACTAAGCCAAATAAAGTGTCTGGTGCAGAAAGAGTAAAGCAGACTGCCAAAATTTTTACCTGAAGCCACTGAAAACATGATACTTTAAAAACACTTTCAGGTTCAAATCCCACAAAAAAATTCAGGCTCCTCATCTTCTGTGTTGATGAGGATCCGAAATTAGTGACACTTGTACTCGTAAATGTACATCTCACAGCTTAGAAATGCTCCTTTTCTGGGTCATTATGTCATCTGGAAGTGTTCAGAGTGAAGCTTAAAGGACGCCTGCTCAGATCTGCCACCGAGCATGATCTGCACGTTCAGAAAGACTCTCTGCTGCCGCTTTGATGAGCAAAAAAAAAATGTGTTTGATGTCAGTCAACTCTCTTAAACAGGCGGAGGGGATCCCCTTACTGTTAAGAAACCTGTAATTCAAACTACTCTGATAAAGTGCAGCGCCGCAGAGGCCAAGACATCTCAAACTGGTCCCTTAAGAGAAGGAGCCTAATTGGGGAGTGAGTGTTGTGATGTGAACAGTATAGGGGATGCAGAAAATGGACTTTCTGGATTTGAGTTAAAAAAAAAGGAGACTTTAAAAGCAGCCAAGGTCCAATTAGTGCGGTATACGGTGTGGGATCCAAACATTTGTTTACAAGAGGCTGTTTTTTTTCCTCAAACTCCCTCTCAGGGACGGGGAACCCTGGTCGGGTTCCACGGCGGCTCCACAACAGAGTGGGTGTGGCTACACCGCACAAACCTCGGGGCCTTTTGACATTACACTGCGTAACCATGAGGTCAGAGGAAGGCTCTTTCTTCCAAGGCACAAAGGAGTGATTTTTCACTCACCCCGTGAGAACAGCGGCGAATAATGAACCCTCGGGCCCCTGGTATCACGTTCGGTTTCACACGCGTCAACTCCATTCTGGAGCGGAACAAAGGGGGCAGTAGGAGAAACATTTGTGGGGAGGGAACAGTGCGCCCAGGGCATGGCATGCAGGGTGAGTCTGATGCATTTTATAGGTATTTCATTTGCATCGATACTCGTGAGATTAGCAGGCGATTGTTTCTTTTAGTCATGCGGAGAACAGAACAATGAAAGCTACCAAGCAAGCATGTGCAGATAAATGTGAAGGCATTGTTTAGGCTGAAACTTATCTGAATTTTATGGTGAGGAAAGTCTTTAGACTTGGTATGAGCAATTTTATTGTCCTAACTGTGGCTTGATGCTCTGCCAGAGGAAAGAGCTTTCAAACCAGTGGAGGAACAAAGTCTCTACATGAGAACATGTCCACTCATGGAAAGAGTCATCTAAGAAATCAGGGAATGAAACATTATGTTGATAACAAGAGCAGAATTAATCTCAAGGCAAATTTAATAACTTTATAGCTGAAGATACATTAATATAACCTCTACCTTACATCAATATTACACCCTGTACCACAATACTTAATCACAGACACAGTTTTGTTGCGGCAAGGTCGCATTAATATCAAGATTCAGCAACAAAGATTCCGTTTTTTTTTAATTCTGAGCATTAAGATTAAGAAAATATAAATAAGTTAAAGTAAACAACACTGGGCCCGATATTACAGGTATGAAGACTAAAGCTGAAGTCAGCTCCGTCTCTGAACATGCAGTGACGGCTGCGTAATCCCTGTCTGGGTAGGTATTGATGGCTGTCAGTGTATTTTAATCCACCATTTTTTAATGCTAACTCTGGACTGAGTGGACTTCTTTACTTCGGTCTAAATTAAGGCTGAAAACCGTTCCGAGTTCAGCCAGTTTAAGGTTTCAGATCTTGTCAGATTTGAATAAAATACTTAAAATACTTTAAATACCTGTACCAAGAGTGTTCAAAGTTGCATAAATTGGCAAAAAATGACAACAATCCTTCTAACAGGTCAAGTATCAACTTGTATAATTAACTGGTCAAAATTAACTTTGATTAACATCTTGTTTCTATTTAAAATGTATTGAAACTGTTTGAATAGAAACCATATTTTTCAAAGGTAAGGCTGTTAATTTTAAACGCAAAGTGACTTTTATGTTCTAACTGTTAAGTCATGTTAGCAAGATGTCTGCGCTTCAAGTAAGTGGACTTCTGCTTTACATAGATCTGGAATATCTGCTAGAGGAAAGTAGAGATTTCTCTAAAAGCATCTATCTTAGTCTAGTGTAAAATAATCTAAATATAAGTACACCTTTTGATACTTTGTAATGCTGTGCTGTCACTTTTAGTACATAAAACCATGCTCTGCAGACTTTAGCATCTTCATGAAAGCCTTTTTTTTCACTTCTGCACCTTTTGGTCTACTGCTGCTGCAAAACCTTTGAACTTCCACACACGAGACCTTTTTTTGAGTCAAAGAGAGAGCAGATTCCTCGCCTACTCAGAATTCATCTAGATTATGAACAGTCTGAATCGGAAAAAAAATAAATAAACATCTAAGATGCACATTTCATTGGTAATGCATGAATTTATTGCTGGACTGGGACTAAACCTGCAACTTTCCAGTTCTAAGACACTTTGTAACCAGCACCGGGCCGCCCGCTCTGTGTCATCTGCTCCGTTAAACTATAAAGCTGTTGGGAAAGGCCAGACGGATTAGGCTGCAGTTACACTGACATGAAAAGCTGCTCTTAATTCAAAAGCTCTCATGGCTGATTAATCACAAATTATGATCAAACAGCTGACTTACAGGATAAACATATGACACCCCACTCACAAGCCTGCGTCTGCATCTGTGTGAGTGACTGTATATGTGTGTGTGTGTGTGATCACACTGTCTCCCCAAAGTCTGCAGACTCATTTTCCACAGTAGATTAAATGTGTGTCTGCGCCCACAAAGCACACCGCCAAATTAAAGTCACCAAAGTGCTGACATTCATCTGAGCAGGATCACCAGCAACAAAATATTTGAAGAAGTAAGTCCACACTCACAAAAAAAACTGTCCAAATTCAGGGGAAAGACCCAACACATTTGTCCTGTTCAGAAGACTGACTCAACACGCCAGTTCGTAATCAAGTGCAGACAGGGAAGTGGCACTGCAGTTCTGTAAACTTAGAACAAAGGCCTGCTGGTTGTATATTTGCATGTTAGGGGTTAGTTGAGTGATCACATGTGAGAGTGGAGAGATAGATTTTACAGGGTGCAGGACAAAGAATAAAAGTCAGAGTGGCTTTAATCACTTTTCCTTAATCTGATAGCGAAGCAGCGTGAGCGGGCGGCCGGATGAAAACCATCTGGACGGTGAAGTTTGCAGAGCTGAACCAGGGAGCAGTTCACCTGACGTGACGAGGTCGGTTTGCAAGTGAGAAATTATTTTAAAAATAGCACAATTTTTTTTTTTTCATTTATCTATAATCCACGACAAAAAAACATGATTAAAATTCGGACCTTTGCCCAGTTTTTTGAGGATTTTTTTGCTGTTAAGCATTTTTTAACCAGATTAAGGAGATTTTTAGAAGTGTACGAACAAATACAGGTTTTATTTTTTTTATTCTGATACTGTAAAAAAAAATCTGAATAAATTCTGATTACGTAAAAACTCAGTGGTACTTGATTGAATGATATCTAAGTGTATTTTTTTCGTGATGAGACATTAAATTTCTTCAATCACTGTACCAATTTTTTTTGCATTTTTAACTAATTTCTGAGGGTTTTCGGCGCCTTAATAGGCGATTAGGTGGAAATTAAATTTTTGTTGTCGTAAAAAATACATTTTGAATCACTGCAGAAAATTTGGTCGAACAAAATACACTTTTCTGAAATAAAACGTAACAATTCAAACATGCAGCGCTTCAAAGTCTAATAAATTTTTCCTCTAAAAAGAAAATTTCTGAATATTTGGATAAAAATGCACGCGCTGCAATATTCTTCATCGAGTCAGGGGAATTTATGGGCTTTTAATCCTATTTGGGTTCACTTCATCGTGTTACGGAGGTCTTAACCTTATTAGAGTTTCTTGGAAAGAAAAAAAAACAGATTTGGGGGATTTCAGTTCATTTACATGAAACACAACCTTTATTAAAAACAAACAAAAAAAATTATTAAGCTTTATTAAAATTGTCTGGGTGGCTCAAAACTGGAACTTTAGAATAGCAGTTTTAAGTTGTGGTGCTATCACAAAGACTACGGGGGATTATCTCATATCTGCAGAGTAAGTGCTTTGACATGAAAAACTATTGAACATACAGAATAATTTGTAGTACAGTTTGACTTTTAACCAGTATTTTACACTCTTTGCAAGCAAAGGACAAAAAGGTTCTTAATTCTCTGCCTTGAAGGAGGGAATACGAAGCGCTGGAAGACATAATTAGCAAGCAAGGAGGCATGAAAGAGAGCAGCACACTCGGCTGGCTGTAACCTCTAACATTTACAGTGTGGCAGACCCACAGTGCGAGCCACGGAGAACAGCGGCCATACAGATAGTGATTTATTCAGATAGTTGTTGGCATTTTCAGTTTACATCCCCCAGAAAGCGGGCGGGTTCTGCAGCTTGGATTCAACATGCTGCATTAAGAGCTTTGCTTCCTTCAGGCAAAAGCAATTCTAGGTTACTTCTACCCTGGTGTATCTGGCACAGTTTTGGTGATCTACACTCAGTGGGCCAATGGAAGCACAGCTGCTCCACGCCTCATTGGCTGCCGCGGGGTGATGGGTTAACCCTGATTGGAGACTCTCCGAGAGGACACACCCCTGTATTTTGGGGGTGTTTGGACTGATTAGCATATTTTACACTTTTACTGCAGTGTGGAGGATTTGTAACCTCATTTTTACATTTTTGGCTGCAAATGACAAAAAGATGATAACACCGAATTTAAAAAAGGCCTCTTGGTGATGGCCTCTTGATTCAGCCTCAAGAGTTGAACTCCAAACTCTTAATTCAACAATTAACCATTGCAATGCAGAGTTTATACTCTGCAGGGTCTTTGCTGTACTGTCAAACAATGAGAAATGATGTGATTTCTGAACAGGGAAAAGTGAAGGCGTGTGTCAAACACTGGTGCAGAACCATAGCACCACATCTCCCACTCCACTGCTGGGTTGCTGGGCAAATTTAGCAACAGGCCTGCCTCTATACAGGAGTGGCTTGGATGGTAAATGCGTGTGACGTCTTAGCCGGCGTGTTTCTCTAACCCCCTTGTGTATCGCGTGTCTAGACCTCACCAGCGCTACTTCTGGAAAGGACCATGTGACGCAGAGGAAAGTCACAGGACTCTAATGTCCACACTTAGGGCCCATGTTTTTTTTTTTTCTCCTTCTTCTTCTTCTTCTTCATCTACGATCAATTCCTTCTTTTTATTCCAGCCTGTAATCATACAGGCTCAAATAAGTGAAACTGAGGGGAAGTGACAGAGGTGGAACCCGGCGCCAGCGACACACGGCTGCATCAAAGCGAGTTCAACCCTGCAAAGGCCGGCTAGCTTTGAAAAGATTTTTTCTGTCAGTTTTGAAGGTAGAACTGCAGTCATGAGACTTAATATCAGCTTAATGTTCAAAGGGATGGCTGCGACACCCAAAAAGGAATGATAAGCTACATAGTAATGGAATAATGAAATAATGAAAGTCACAGCAAGAAGTCTGCTGCTCTAGTTTTTATCAAAGTATTTTTTTTCCTCATGTAGAAAAAGTGATTAAATAAAAATATATTACAATTTAACCACTTAAAAAAAAAACTGGATAATTGTAGGTCAGACTGTGACGGAGTATCAACATATTAGAGAATAAATGTAAAAATCAAACACCACATATTCATACAAATGACCTTGATATGCATTAACAAAGCATACATTTAAGTAAATATACAGAAATTTGCATTATGTGCATGTCTTATAAGATATGTTTAATAATTAATTAAACCATGATTTGAATAGTTAAATAATTATGCTAAAAAAAAAAAGAAAAAATTATAGAAATGTGTTCCAATTTTGAGAAAATTTGACAAACAGTGAATTATTATGAATTATCATTACAGTGAAAAATATAAAAATTGTGTTCAAGCTGTGGAATATGTAAAATAGTATGTAATAAATATGGGTTGTAAAAAAAAAAAAGAGAGAAAAAGTTTTTAAAAATAATTACAAACGTGAATACATACGTGAACACGAAACACAATTTTTCAGCGAAATTCATATCTACACGCCTGCCATCAATTACACTATTTACCAACTTTTTCCTCCCAAACTCCCACACTGCAGTCGAGAAAAGTCCACCCACAAAAAAGAGAAAAGTAATTAGTGAACTTTTAGTGACCGAGCTTTTGCTACTTACAAAAGTCCACTAAAAGTTAATAGTCACCTCCATGCAGAGACAGAAATATGAGCAGTGAGCCATAAAGACTTCTGATGGAAACCTAAGCAGCCGGCACACTCAGGAAACAAATAAAACATCTTTATGAGTCGGATTTTATGATGTTAATAGGCACAGTCCCAGTCCAGTGGCCTCTAAGTGCTCCGCTGGACAGGTCTGTGTTTCAGACAGCCACTACTGTCTGCTCCGCCACGCACAAACTACTGCACAACTCGCTGTCTGCATTACACTGGCTGCTGGATAATTAAAAGAACACTTCCACAAATTACAATAAATTTCCATTAGCTGGCTCTAATGCACATTTTGCATATTAAGGCACAACTAATTGATACACAACAAATACTCAAAGCTGGAGTCGTCTAGTCTGGCACTTTGGTTTGGAGCTGGGGTGATAACAGGGCGAAAAAAACTCCATAATAAAACGGTGAATTACAAAACATATTTGAAAAAATGTTTTGTCAATTAGACAAAATTGTTACATATTCCCCATAATTAACATTTTTCATACATTTTTGTGTTGAAAAGCGATTATTTTTGGCATAATTCTACTTAAGTACAAGAGGTGAGGTTTTTTTTTTTTTTATCAAGATTATTTAAAAAACTAACCTAAACTGATAACAAACACTACAAACTCATCATTTACTGACTCTTATTTTTTTTCTGAGTTTTTGAAATTATTTTTTACCAAATTTACCTTTTTTTCTGTTGTTTTTTTTTTTCTTAATTTTTTTTTATTCTTTTTTAGTAAATTGCATTTTTATTCAGTACAGCTGTGGAAACATACATAGAAAATGTCATTTGACCAGTGCATTTGATTTCAGTCCTTTGCATCGTGTACTTAATAAAAGATATTTTAACCTACACGTCTTTGGATTTAACGTCCAGCTAATCTTTTTTAGTTTAATGCTTAATCCTGGACATGTGCACATTTCCTGCTGTCTCTATTGAAATTTTCTGTCTTTTTTTTTATCCATGTAAAAATGTTTGTGCCACTAAAATAAAACTGAAGGCAAGATTTGGTGGTTTACCCCGTTTCTTATCCAGTTTTTTACTCTCCTCAGAGTTTGCTCATCTCTTCAGCACAGGATGGGACGGGCTCTCGGTGCCCTTGTCTCCTTTGTTGAACAGACAATAACAGGCTTGTTGGGCCATTAGTTTCTCTTTGAAGGCGCTTGTCTAGGTGCGATATCCACCCTGTCACCGCTGATATGGCAGAGTTGGCCTCAGGATCCTCTACAGGAAAGGACGGATAAAGACTGATACAAAGACTAGACTGAAAACTTCCTGATATCGAATTATCTCTGTTTTACACCTGGATCAAGTGCAACCTTAAAACCCGCAATAAGGAGGCAAAAAAAGGCGAGAAGCTCCTTGAAGCCTTGATTCATGAAAGCGTAGTACTCTGCTAAAGTAGAGCAATCTGATTGGGCGGAGAGAGGAGCTCTGTGATTGGCTGCGGCGGTGACATATTCTGTGTCGACTCAGCACTGGGACCTGTTACGCCAGATGCCCTCCTCTCGTCCCCTGCAATGTTTGCAGCCCCACGCACGCGATCCCTCGCTTCGCTTGGCTGCACCCTCTCATCGCATTACTTCTGCTATTCTAACTCCTCCATCAATTATGCACTAGAATAACTCCGGGCCCTGATGGAGCCAAGACATAAAAGGGGATCATCGGCGCGAGCGCTCCCAGCGTCTGCCCGCGTGTTCCCATCGTGCTGCTGCTGTGACCGGTGATACGGGCGCCAAGGTAGCCGCCAGCACAGGCAGCATGGAGAGCAAACAGCGACAGAGACATCACCAAATCTTATGTTTGCAGCTAATCATGCAGCTGGACAGCTGTGACCAAACTTCTAACAGCATCAGATTTTACTTTGTCTTTTCTAAAAAAAAAAAAAACCCTGTTGCAGAGAATTTGGGTCAAACTATTCAACGAACACCAAGTTGATTCACTTTGACTCATTTTCAGTACAAACAGGTCCAAAAAGTAATTCTTCTTGTTGCACTTATATTTTAACATCTGTCAGGAGAAAATAAGTTGGCTTAACTTTATTTCTTTAAATGATTTACTGAATAAAATTAAAGCAGCACAGCAGCCATTGTACAGATATTTGAACGAGTTGAAGTGTCGTCATTCGTCACTGTTTGTCATATGCGGAGTTTTATCTGAAAAATCTGAAATTTTCATGCTCTTATCGAGTATCTGCGACTAATTTTAAGATCAGATCATGTTTTATAGTCATCTGATTTTTATCACATTTCAGGAAATCTTGGAAACAGCGTTTATGCACAATACTGGCCAATGTAATTCTAACATTCATGCAGAAAGCACAACTTTTCACCTCTTTGTAGAAGGTAATTACAACATGCATACGTACGCTTTATGATAAAATGAGGCAAATCTGCTGCAGATTCACAGTGACCATCTAATCTGCAGCAAATCGTGTTTTTCCGAGAAACGAATCAGGACAAAATGTTCTTACAACAGTGCAGAGACAATTTTCAATCAGAATCTAAAAAATTAAAGTATTTTTGTCAAATGCATTGATTTGTATCTGTTTCTTGGACTTTCGGGATGCAAAACACATCATTTCACCAGAATCACAGAGATAAAGAATGATAAGACGAATGAAATGTGAATTTTTAACTCCTATTCCACTGATTTGTTCACGATTTTTTGAAACCTGACTCAAAGAATTCAATGACAGGTACAAGAGACTTCCCTTTCAGATATAAATGAGCTTCTAAGAAGGAGAGTTTTTTTTTTGCAGAAGTTGAGTGTCAGGTCTGAAAAGATCAGAAAACACTCAAGTGGCATCCCAGGATTCGTAACCTACTTTTTATTCCTTGAATCAAAATGGAGTCGATTTTGGAAAATGGCTGCCTGAGCTCCACACTCCGCCACACAGCACAGAGAAAAGGCGAAAGGAAGGAGGAAGAAGTCAGCCACGTCTACGGAAAGTGTTCACATTTAAGCCGTCGAAGAATTCAACTAATGGCTGCACAATTCGAACTTAAGTAGTGATAAAATACCTCAGACGATTTAATCACGCTTGTTCATCAGCACAGAAATACAGGCTAGGAAAGAATTTGGAGGAAAGAACAGACGACACAACGGCGACCCCTCTATTAGAGTCATGGCGGTCCTGACCTGGATTTCTCCTGCTTGCGTGTGAAGGTTCGTCCAGGCTCTATCGTGAGATCACAAACGGCTTTTTTAATATTTCATGGGTCCCAAAGCACCAAGTGCGCTGAAATCCAACAGGAGGAAACACTTTGAGTCTCAACGGGCCGGAGAGCCACACAAAAGGTCCCGCAAAGTCACACTAAGTTCATGAAACAACAACTGCTCTTCACATGCGCGTAAATAAAATTCGTGTTTTTAATATTTTCCGCCGCAGGGGTCTGAAACTGGATGAGCAAGCTCAAACTTCTCTTCTGTTGTGGTAACAGAAAAACAGCTTCAAACTATCATCAGATAAACTCAAATGATCACACCAGACATTTGAACTGGAGCAACAAAAGCAATTAAGAGCGCAGGGAGTGTTAAAATCTGCTCACAAAAGCAGATTTTTCTTCATCAGACATGTTTTGGGTTGTCTCTGAGGCCGCTCACGGAGCTCCATCATTCTGTGAATCACACATGATTCACAAACCTACGCTGGAAAAGAAGTGCGCTCACATGTCAGCTTCGCCTAATTTCTTCCAAGAAACACAAAAAGCAAAAAGTCAGCAGCCATTTAGAATCAGGAAACACGGTCCTGATGAGGAGGTGCACATACTTCATGTTTCAGGCCTCCCTCCAAAGCCGCACTGACCCACATACACTTCCAGAAACCTTTACTGAGTTTGGCCTCCACTGTCAGAAGGATCACATTTGCTTTTTATCAAGAAGAGATTTCAAGCCAATTTACATTTCAGCCTTAATGGTATATGATTTCAATCTAGTGGAGAGCCAATTTTCTCTTAACAGTCATTTGTCTTGAACCAGCAGAGACGGAAAAGTCGCTCCTGTCAGAAGCGAAACACAATAAAACTACTGACATGAGAGTAAATGAGTCAAAACTGCAAAAACAACACTGAACTTTTCTGATTAATCATGATTAATGAGTATGAGGAGCGGCTTTTTGCTTTTATTAATCCAAACAAGGAAGAAAATCGCACTGATAAGCCAGCTGATGGAAATTTTTCTGTCAAAATGTAACTTTTTTTTTATATAATGAATCCTTAAAGAACAAAAAAGGAGAAAAAAAATCATGTGTGACATTTTTCAAAAACAGAAACCTTAATTAAGATTTAGTCATTTTGAGCTGCAGCTTAAAATATGCTATATTCTGTATATGTGCACAGAGCATTATTCATATCCCAAGCAAAGTTCACCTCCATTGAAGTGAATCCCTTTATATAAACTCACACTGCAAAAAAAAAACACTATTTACCTAAATTTGTTCAATATGTTGAATTTTTTTGTTTACTAAACCTGCACCAGACAAGAAAAACAGACATATGATGTGATTCACACCGTTTCCACTTCAAACCTCATTTCAAAAGATTTCTACTGTTAGTCATAGTCGCATGATAATTAAACAATCGTGGATGTGATCTAAAATAAAAGTATTTTCATCACTTTTTTTTTTTTTGACAATGTAATGAAGTTGAGAACAAAAATGCAAAATAAAACAAAACTGGTAGTTTAAAATTTCACTTTCCTCTACAAAAAAGACAAAAAAAGTTTACCATACAACAGGTTTTTACATGACTTTACAAAGACCCTTTCAAAAACATTCTACTTTTTGTCCTTTTTTACCTCGTACTTTGCATATTCCCCCTGAAAGCATTAAGAAAAAGCAGACATGTCCCTTGGATGTGCACAAGCGAGACCAAAAAAAGCCAAATGTGGAGGCAATTTTAAATTTTCTGGGGAAAAAAAGCACAAATAGAGGCCAATACCTACCCTAGAACCAAGAAAATAGACCACATTACAGTTAAAACCTCGAGGCTGGTTGATTCATGTCAGAAACAGGTTGAGAGAAAATCTTTGACAAACAAAAACGAGACTTAACTTATCAAATTGTAGTTTTTAGTAACAGATTTTTTTTTACAGTGCAAACATGACATGACAAACGGGAAACCGAACAGCACTCTTGCTTCTGCAGAGTTAACTTTACTTGAAACCTAGTCAAAAGTCTTGAAAGAGTCCACAAACTCACGTTTCATGACTTTAACGTGTTGAGTAGACTTTGGAGGACCAAACACCAGCTTCACTATCTTTGATACCGCCTGATGCCCCACAATCAGCAGCGGCCTCTCCCGCTCTGTTAGCAGCTTAGTGGCTCTTTAGGTCCTTTTTGTGGCAGTTTTTAGAAGCTTTACTGCAGTCATTAGGAGCTAAGGCTGATTAATGTGAATGGTCAGGCAGGCCCTGGCTTTCTGGGGGAAGAACAGAGAGGGGTGAAGGGTCCCACAGGAAGTGTTTTGTGTCTCCACACAAAGGGAGGGCTGACCTCTTAAGCCCCTTAGAGCCTCTTTGCTAATACCCTCACCGGTGCCTACAAAGACACAGGGGATGCCATTTCACCACTCACATTTAACCAGCACACACACACAAAAAAAGCCCACTAAGATTAAAACGGCAGAAAAGTGAACCTCTGTGCAGCGGAGTGAGACTGTGAGATTAGGCCTGAAGAGTCCCCCGCTAATCCATTGACTGTCGCGCATATCAAACACAGTGTGCCAAACCAGCACACTATCTGATCCTGATCCCATGAATCTCACTGAGTTATTTTAGTGGAGTCCTACAGATTTCGTTTTCTGAAACATTCAGAAACACAGAGAGAGAGAGAGATTAGTTTACCTGTTTCCATTTTTAATGTTTAAGACTTTTCTGGATTCAGGTGTGGGTTTCTCTTATTCTGTGCATCTCTTGTCAAGATTGATGCTCTTAAAGTGTTTTTGGCACTTCACTGAAATATTAAACCAAAAAACCTGCTGTCAGATTTCTCTGTACTTCAAAACTCGAATCCCAGCAAGTGCCTCCGTTGAAATAAAATGTAATCACTTGAAGAAATGTCTTGAGAAAATGCTGCTTGCTGTATACGCAGAGAGGTCTACCTTATAACAAACCACTGAAGCCTAACTTTTGGGTTGTAATGTCTTAGTGTCTCCACACACCAAGCACAAGTAAAATCATTTGAATTGAATTGCATGTAAAGTCAATGCAAAGACGCGATAAGACGCTCCTACAACTCTGCCGGCGCTTATGAAAACAACAAATGAAAACGAAAAACATTGTTCACTGGTTTCTAAAATGGAGGACAAATTGATCGTGTCGGTGTGTGGGTGCCCCGAATTATACGATACCTTTTCTTTCAATAACCGAAACCAGAATAAAAAGGAGCTTCCCTGGAGGCAAGTAAGTGAGAAGGTCAGATTACCTGGTAAATTGTACAAACCTTGGTCTATCACTTGATCCCGCCGGTTGAATTGGCAGGGATTCTGTTGAAATTACCATTGACGCTCAAATGAAGCGAGTAAATGCTATTCAGTCACATGCCCAGATTCGCGTGAATTAAGCAAGTAGATGATTTTTTACTCAAGCTTGATTTGAGCGCCCCATTGGAATAATGTGAAATAGCTTTGTTTCTGGACCTGTCTAGTCAATGTGACTTAACTTTTGTGCAAGGAGATATTATGGCAAGAAATTGAATTCACGCACTTGTTAATATCTCATTTTTTTAATATAGATCAGGTTGGAGGTCAAGAAACTAGTTGAGTGATATTTTACTCTAACTCTGTTCAAAACACTTTATTCTTGACAATCCCAACCAGTCAAAGTCTTGTTAAATCCTTTCATATTGGAAAGACTTTAAGTTTTATAATCTTGTTTTAGTTGGTTAGGTCCAGAGTGCAACAAGCTCAAGAAAATCCTACTGAAACGATCACTCAGGACATTTGTTCCTGAGTTCTTCTTGACCAAAAGTTTTGTCTCATGCTGCACTTGACCTTATTCTGTCTTCATTTGAGTTACTTGCACTCAATTATGCAAAGAATTTTTAAAAAAGTAGATAAGTTGAAGGCCTGGTGTACTGTTTATTAACATTAGAAACTGGGTCAAAATGCCAGACAGGTCATTTAATTTGCTAAAGGGAGAAAAATTAACCCCAAGATCTGTACTGACAAAGGTTATGTCTTCTAAAAACTTCATCAATCTGAAAAGTCTGTTTTAAAAAACTTCAAATATATAACAATAGTGAAAACAATCCGTGTGCACACTGGAGTTTGCACGCCAGCCCAATAGTTCGCAGTATAACTTTGTGAAGAAAGACCAACATGCACCTGATTATCAACATAGATGTGAGCACAGACAAATCCTCTCCAGGTGTGAGTGGGGCAGAGATGTCACCCTGTTGTGGTCATCGTGTGGCTTGGTTATACGTGATGGCAAAAGGAGTGGAGATTTGTCGAGATTCAAGACTGAAATCTGGTTTTGAAAGTTTGCTTTTCTGTATGAAAAGATCAGATTTACACTCCTGTTTTGTGGCTGTTTATGTTTTCAAGCCGCTGACTGAGACCTTAAGAAAATACTCAAGAAAACTACAAAATTAGTTTCATTTCCTTGTTTGATTCCAACAAGAGGAGTTGAAGTAATCAAACTAAAGTTATCATGTTGGCAAGCTTACTTTTTTTTCAGTTTAAATAGCATCAAAAACTTTCAGACAAGAAGTCTGGTACCTGAAACAAACTCAGCCAAACAACAGACAGCTCAGAGAATAAATATTGTTACTCTGAACATGTGCTGTGTCAGAATCTGTGAGGAATTTTCGCCGTAAACCAATAAACTTGCCACACTTATTAGTCACCCTTCATTACTACTTCCTGTCAATCATGCCCGACAGCCTGAGGGTCTGGACTTATTAGTCAGAGCGTAAAGGAGGGCAGGGGCCGCTCCTCTCTGCAGGCAGGGTCGTAGAGAGCACGAGGAATGACGGGCGTCTCCGCAGGACAACTGCCACCCCCCACACCCCCCACAACAGTAATCTTATTTCATGAAAGTCACAGCCGAAGTGACCTGAAGGTTCAGTCTGATGAGGCACTTTTAGTAAAGTACAGGTGATTAAAGCAGAGTGAGTGGTGGGACACTGAACATGATATGAGAGAGTGAGTAAGGCAGATCTCCTATCTGAGTGCTGCTCTTTCATTTCATGCTCTGAGAGAGCGGAGTGCTGTAAGGAGGCTTAATGCTCCTGCACTTTGTAATAAAATGAAAGGTAAACCTCAGATAAGAAGCCTCTCATCCTCACTTTATTGATAGTTTCTGAACCCGCCCTGCAGGAAATCACATTCACTCAGCTCTCTTTGATGCCTTTCAGATTGACACTTCCTCAGGGGTGGAAACACCACTTCTGACCCCACCCAGGGACTCTGCGGCCTGGACGCTGTTCCTCTGTCGTAGCCTCTGGCCTCTGTTGCGGAAGTTTCTCTCACCCCCGCAACTGTGCTGTCCCGCCTGTTATAATCTCCTTGCCCCGCCTCAGATAACATATGCATACTCTCTACAACCGCGTCCCCCTCTCCCGTCTCCTCCTCATCCTCCTCTGTCCCTCTGCTCAGCTAAAACCTGACTATGGGCCGCTGAGTACCAGAGAAACAATAGCGGCCTTTCAGGCGCTCTGTGCCGGTGCTGGGAGAGGGGCTGCGGTCCTGAGACCCAGTCAATATTTGGACGTGGTTGCCTTTTTGTGTCCGTTTTTAATCCAAGCGGAACCGAGCGGCAGGGAGCCGGGAAAAGGCTGAGAGGGGAAAGCGAGGGTAAACAAGGGGAACAATGCAAACGGGGCAACTCACAATACCACTGGGAAACTATCACAACATCAGCTCGCCACCGAGTGAAAAATAGAGTATTGTTTCTTTAAGTGGAGATTAAAAAGAGTGCAGTGTAAGAAAAAGCAAACAGTGGAGGTCAGTCTGTGAGGGAGAGAAATGCACGCACTCCAAGTGTCAAGTTGGAGAGCTTACTCCAATTTCTTGGGTCTTATTTCAACCAAAAACAATCACATATGTGCAGAAACTGAAAAGGCGAAGAAAAAAAATGGATCATCAAAGACGCCTTTTAAAGTCAACAACCACACTTCTGTCAAACATGAAATCAGGCCAATGAAAAGATTCTTTGATTGTCTTATGGAGAAATATGTTGCATCTGCTGGGGAAAGCTTTGGAGGGGCATTATCAGGGATTAAAGGAAACCCCCGGGGTGACAGAGCTCTCCCTGAACGCTGGAATCCCTCTCTCCCCAGCTGTCAGGTCGTTAGTCCCACCCAATGAGCTTCTTTGATGACGAGGGGTATCAGTTTCCATGGCGTCCGAGACACAAACAGCTCGAGAGATTAAGCAGGGAACCCGGCCCTGATTCTCTGCTGATCCCACCTATCAGCAACAAATAAACACCTTGGGCCACGGCAGCGCCTGCCTGCGTACCATATGGACCCGGGTGGGTTTTAATGAAGCAGCTAAAGAGCTGGTGAGCCGGGAATTCACTAATAGCTCCTTGTCAGAGCAGCAGTAAGTACCCCACTCGTACGCTTTATTCTATCATTCGGTTACCGACACAGACGGCGGAGCTGACAAGGAACATCTGTGGCTCATTTTTCTTACATGAGCCCTTTCCTCAACCAAGTGCCTCCGTTTTTATTTTCTGGGCTTTGCTTTTTACTCCCAGATGACAGTTTTCTCCCTGGTGCCACTTTCTTATGAGACAAACTTGGGAATGGGTTAAGAAGCTGGAACCAACTGTGTTACGGTTGATGGCTAAAACATCCTTGTTCATAAAGACGACAATGAGTTGTGAATTTGATTTTGAATATACAGCTTTATCCGGCTGCAGCAGTAAGTTTCACATACTGTCACTGTCACTGTCTGCTGTTAAATCTATTTAAAAACTGCTTGGCTTTGACTGCATTCACATAAGGCTTACATAATAAAGGGTTGACAAAGCTCAGAGTTTACACCTCCAAAACTAATCTTCAAATATCATCAGATATTCATCAAGTATTGAAGTTCAAAAGGACGAGACCTTTACAGAATGTTTCAATAAATAAGTCAGAGTGGTGAAATATTTCATCTATATCAGGAAGTGATCCTCTGTGGAACTGGATGATTAGGTTTTGAGCTTGTAATTTATTTTATTCAATATTCAACATTAACTTTCATACAGTAAACTTGGAAAGCATTTCAAAGGATCGTTAACAGAGAAATTTCTTCCCCGAAGGTTTACAAAACTGGATTACAAGAACGAGACTTTACAGTGTATCTACGACTGACGGGCAAGTCACACCAGATGATAGAAAAAAAGTGAGGCGCTCTACTGGAATAGACAAACATGATTCCTCTTCAATAAGGATACTTTGTGGACAAGAGTTAACGCAAAATCACAAACCAAAGACAGCGTCAGATAAGACATTACCAGAAACAGGTGGTGACTGGGAAGTAAGTCAGTCAGACTTGTTCGTGAAGTTCAGTAAGTAACCTCATCTGTCCTTAACTTGACCCTAATAAAAATCTGAACTTTTCATTAATATCACAAAAATTACATGAACTTTCGGGTCACAGTAACCGCAGGGTGAAAATGTGACATCTTGAAAGCCCTGACTCAAATCTTTTACAGTTTTACAGCCATTGCTGGTCTTATTGTAGTGTTAGACTAGATATGTGGAAAAACACTTTACTAATGTTTTTCTGTTGTTTCTTGGTTCAATTCAGGGATTAAAAAAAGATTTTGATCTTCCACAGCACTCCTTTAAAGACAGAGGAGGATTTGGGCCACTAAAAAGACAAAAAAATGAATTTTACTCAAACTTTTCAGTTTAAAATCGTGATTTTGACTTTTTCATAAATTACTATTTTCTCAAAATTTAGATTTCAACTCACATTTTTGACAGTAATCTGAGAATTTTAAGATCGAAGTCAAAATTCTCAGGTTTTTTTCTTATTCTGCCTTTAAATTCAGATTTACGATGTCAGAATTTCATAGATTTTAATCTCAGAATTCTGAAAAATCTCAAAATCCTGACTTGTTAAACTCAAAAATTCACTTATTTTCAGAATTCAGACTTTTCTGAAAATTTCTTAGTTCAAATACAGAATTCTGACTTTAAACTCAGAATTCTCGGGGTGTTATATCTGAATTCTGGCTTCAAACTAAGAGTTATGAGAAAACAGGAAATTTTTGAGAAAATGTCAGAGTCTTAAAAAAAACCTGACCTTATTTTTTTTTTAAGTGGCCTTAATCCTCTTTTAAATTTCAAGTAGATTGAAGATTCTTCTTTATCATAACTGTGAGTGAGACACGGCTCCAAACTGTTCGATTGATTATACACAACACTAACTTTTTCCTCAACATATTTTTCAATCACTTTCTGTAAAGCTATCCACAAACTTTCAGAAACTGCCAACAATATCCCTCCATGATGACCATATGCATCATGACAATACAACACTCCTCAAAGGTTTCAGTTTTCTTCTCTTAGTTTTACTCCTAATCAACATTTCACTTCCACACTTCTTAAATCTGTGTCATGTACCTGCTCAGTGCACAGACTAATGGAGTGACTCTGAGGAGAACAATGCAAAACGACTTCACTGCATCCTCTGCTGGCACAATTATCTGAAGCCTTCCTGCTTCTATTTGGGGAAATCTGGCACCAAAAATAAAAACGACTTTCAGCGTCTTCTACATCATGTGTATCTCAGCAGTTTCTCTCTGACAAGACTCCTCCATTCTGGAGTTTCGTTTAATTTCATTAAGTAGCTTATACGGGTGAGTAAAGCTACTCGCTGTCACTGTGGAGGCTTTTCAAACTCCAGGCGAAACTGAACCATCCTCAGGGCTGTAAATCCCTCCTCCGGCGCTGCTCACAGTCCTGCTCGTCTGAGTCTAATCAGCAACAAGCATCAGCGCAGGAGGATGTTTCTCCGAGATGAAAGCAAAGCAAACACGGACGCATGTTGGTCTAAATTACAAGACAGTTTCTTTCTTTCAGCCCATTTGAAACAAAAGGAAAACAGAAAAATGTCACCGCATTTCCATTTTTCACGACTCACTTCCCTTTTCAATTCCAGAGCTCCTGTAGGGGATTTCATGAATGGCTGAGTATGGACTGCTGCTCCGGATGCCATTTCTCCCACTTTGGTCAAATATGCAGCAGAGGAGGCAGGAGGGAGGGGGGGCGGCTCATCTGGAAGTTGGGACTGTACCACAGCAGGTTCCCAGCGCTCCAATACTGAGTATGGTTACATTAAACAGCAGGGATCCGGGGCCCGAAAGCTTGTATGGAATACTGTAAGGTTCTGGTGAGGGTCATGGGGCCCCAGGCTCTTAACATGGCCCTCTCTTACATTCTACAGCCGGGGTCAGGTTTAGATTAAAGTCATGAATGAGAAAAGGAGACAGTCATTTAGAGTTACTCATTTATTTAGCCTCTATTCTGCTGAGACAAAGCCCACGCGGGGTGCCTGTGCCGGGCCGTCACCGGGGCCCCATGGCCGGCGGTGCTGCCCCGGTTTTGACCCTGACAACGGTCCCCTCTGCGCTGCTTAACCCGAAACTTGCCTGCTTACTACCGAGTGTGTGACCTCAGCATGTGTGGATCTCTCACAAGACCGAGCGCCACGCTGGGCCTTGGCCGCAGCTGAAATACCCCTGTGTACCCCGGCATTGTCTGCCCCAGCGTGGGCCGGGAGGGGGGCAGTGGGGTGGAGCAGGGTAGGAGGACTGGGGAGCATGGCAACCAAGAAACCAGACTTGGGAAGTGGGAACGGTTTGGAAGCCAACAGGGAAAAAAAAACTCAACAACCTGCAGCCTGTGAGCGGGACAGAGAGCTGTTATCAGATGCAGATATCAAGTCTGTTAGCGGGGCAGGAACTCCATCAGCCTCTGATCTCACACCAGAGCATTTGCATTTGTATCATTAACATCCTGTCAGTTCAACTCCTTTGATGCCCCACTAACCAGTTTCGTGAGAAAATGAACTTCTTTTTCGAACCGGACTTGCTCTGAAACTTTAGCCTGGACTCTTCTTCTGCCTTACTGAAACAAAGTGACACACACTTTACTTTTATGAGCTCAAGGGCTGAGAGAGAGAAGTCTGAGTCACCACAGCTGCCCTCAAACATGCATAAGGGCAGACAAAGTGAGATAATGTTACTTTAGAATTCAGATTTGCTTATCAGGGAGGACTTTTTTATGCAAATGTGCGACTCAAAGCCTTAAACTACAAATTCTAGGGTCACCCATCTAAAAGAAAACAACATTTCTGCACTTTCTCAGCAAAGCACTGTTTCAGATTGGAGTCTTAAACAACGCCACCTCAAAATCTGACCAAAATATCTGCCAAGTCTGCAGGGATGAATCTCCATTTGGCACGGAATCAAGTGTCATTTCTAGTCGACAGCAGCAGACTTGAAGCGACTCAGCGTTATTCAAAACACAGCAGCTAAGATGAACATTTCTCCTCTGCGCTTCTAAACCTTCATGTGATTCGTTTCAGACCCTAAACGCAGAGCAAAACACCAAGCACTGGTGCGTAATAGCGCATAATGGTGCGCAATAGCGGTGGGGAAGAGATGAGATGTTGTTCCTCTGTCAGCGGTGATTTATGCTACATGGGTTATTACAAAGATGATTCCGATCTGGAGGAGTATTAAACTCTAATCATCACCACGATCAATCAACGGAGACAACATATAAAGGTTGCAATCAAGCGGGGACATGAGAAATATTCATCAACCTCCAGGTTTGCCAGAGAAAAGCGAATTCAAAGCAAATGTTTCATCGCTCAACTCTAAATTAAACCAAAAACAAGCTGTTTAATTTTTAATATTTACAGTCAGATTCTGCTTTTCTGAACAGACTGGAGCACATTTGTTGCTCTGTGTTGAGCTGACAGAGTGTGGAGAGTGTACTACATCCACTCTGTCGACAATTTCACGCCAGCAAAGCCAGATGAATTGGAGCTACAACCAGGCAACGTCAAGGGTGAAGGGTCCCCTGTGTGTGTCCCTGCAGAAACCGGAGAAGAAGCCAAGGGGAAGCGGGTCGGGCTACATACCTGGGGTTAGTCCGGTTCCAGAAGACAGCGTAGCGGTCGGACACCACCTTGGAAGCCGGGTCCTGGCCGAACACACACATCCCAATGATGAGGATGAGGAAGAGGATCATTTCCACCTGCGGCATGTTTGCTGTGAACTCCGGAGACACCAAATCGATTACAGTCCAGGATCAGGTTTAAGGACTCTGCTGGATTCAGAAGCGAAGTGTTGAGACTTTTACGCGTTTTATTCCCGCACAGATGTAGCTTCCCTCCTCTGCGTTTAGAAGAAATAAAAGCTTGAATCTTAGAGCAGAGCAGTTCAGTGACTTTGCATCAAACGCAAACTCTCTCCTTGCTTTAATTCAAAGCAGTTCAGAGTGAAATAGACGTATCTCAGTCTGACCCACGTCCTATCTTCCCCGGCTCAACTCCGCGCAGGGCAGCGAACACTTTCTCCAACTCGCCGTGAATTTCCAAGAGAGGAGGCAGCGCCGCAAACGCTGTTCTAAACGACTAAAGCGCGTAAATGTTCCACAATGCAAAGATTTACTGCTGTAGAAACACAGTCCTTGAGCCGTCGCCCCTCGGCAGTGGACCTCTGCTCCAGTCTCCTCTTCGAAAAAGACAAGGAGGAAGAAGACTCAAAGCGGCAGCTCCGGCTGATCCCGCGGCGGCTGTCCGAGCACCTCTGCCCCCTCCAAAGAATGACACACGCTGTAAATCAAACGTCTCCACTGCGCGTAAACGCACTCAATCTCCGGGTGAAATGTCCCCGGACGAACACTGTTATCAACGTGCGACCAGACCAAGTCAGCAGCGCTGTGGCTCCTGCAGCCATGCTCTCCCGGACCAACCCCCCTCCTCCACCAACCCGCTCTCCCCCCTTCTCTCTCTCTCTCTCTCTCTTCCCTCCTCCCTCCTACTGTGCCAGCCGGAGCACACTGTAAAAAGTGTTGCCTGCGTAACTGAGGCGTTCAGGCTGTTGAACTAAACTAAACTATTTGGGATCGTGTTTTTAAATTGAATTAACTTTTCTGCGATTTATAGTTTTACTTTATTTTTAGTCTTACTTTCTGTATAGTTTTACATTCCAGTAAATTTGTAAACTGGCACGCAAAGGGCAGCTCCTGGTTCGTTCAGGTTGTATAGTGAGCGCACAGCCGCTGCAGCGCGGTTTGTTATTGCGCACATTTTTTGCAGCGTACAGTTTCACGGTTGCTCTCTGTCTCATTGGCTTTGGATTTTGAATGACGGGCGTTTCGCTTACAAAAACAACGTCCCTCCTCCTTGGGGGGTATCTGAGCTTCCCAGGCCCGGCAGGCAGATCTCAGATCAGGCCAGAGTCGTGCTGCACCACCACCAGCTCCTTTTCACGGGGGAACTCAGAATTTTATCCTGTCAAAGTTTATCAATAACATTTCTACAGCTAAACTTTATTACAATCTGCAACAGCATCCAACTTTTTAAAACTACAGAGATGTCCACAGATGTAACTATTGCTCCAAAACACATTTTAAAACTATATAAATGCAGAAGTGCTGCGTTTCTTTTATTGTAATTGCAGAATGATCAATACTTTTAATCAGCTGTGCATTTGTACATCAACATCCAGACTGTGGATCAGTCCGTGCTGTGCATTGCTGTTGGATCATGACTCACGGCGCCACGTAGCGGTGGTTAGAAGAACTACATCTTGAGGAGGCGATCTGTTTTTTAAGGAATTTAATACACAGCTCCTTACAGAGAGCACATCTTCATTTCTCTTGTGTTTGTGAGGAATTTTTCAGAGTATTTGGACTCCTAAATCCCTCCAGGTGAAGATGAGGACTGTGGATGAGTGATTAGTGCAGACACAGACTGAAGCCTGCTGCTTGAGCTGATCCTCCTCCTAACAAGTGAACCACTGAGAGATGTGGAGTGAAGGCTCAGCAGCAGCAGGACTGTAAACTTTACAGAGACACTGAACAGTCAAACTGTGGCTTCTATTCACAAACACGCTGATTTATTCCACCTTCACGGGTACACTGGACATCATCATGCTGCTTCACAGCTCCTGTCTCCATCTGTTAAGCCTCTTTGACACACTGTGTAGACTTTTCTCGAAACTATTGGGTAGAGACACAAAACAGCTTCTGTCAAGAAAAAAATTATCATTCTTGATGGATCATCGAAATGACCATTTACAGGATGGGGCGAATAATAGAAATAGAAAGAGTTTCTGGTAGATGAATCATCAGATGCTGATTTTAAGACATCAAAATTCTATATCATTTCAAATGCTACATTATTTTAATGCATTATATTTAACATCAAATGCTTCAGGGGTTTTATTACAAATATTTGATATATTTTATATTATTTTTGGTATATAGATAAATGACTTTATAAGGCATTTAAATCAAATGTTGTATATATATAGATAGATAGATAGATAGATAGATAGATAGATAGATAGATAGATAGATAGATAGATAGATAGATAGATAGATAGATAGATAGATAGATACAGACCGACAAAATAGTAATGGACATTGTAGTCGTAGACAAACAGCAGAGTAAAGCCATTGTGGTATATGTCGCCATCCCAAGTGATACCAACATCAGAAAGAAGGAACACGAGAAACTAGAGCAGTACCAAGGGCTCAAAGAGGAGATAAAGAAGGCCTGAAAGGTGAAGGCAACAGTGGTGCCTGTGGTCATCGGGGCACTCGGGGCAGTAACCCCCACACTGGAGAAGTGGCTCCAACAGATCCCTGGGGAAACATCACTCCAGAAGAGTGCAGTCCTAGGAAGCAGGACCCTCAAGCTCCTCAAGGACCCGGGCTTGAAGAGACCAAATACCGCCCAAGGTGGGTGAGAGAAGAGTTCATATATATATATATATATATATATATATATATATATATATATATATATATATATATATATATATAATATACAATGCTTTCTTCTCCCTGACAGGGAGAAACCAGTTCAGTGGCTGATATTGCCGCCTTTGAGGCACGCTGTAACAAAATCAGTGAAATATAACATGCATAATGGAACTTTTAATGCACACTGCAGAGTCACAGGAGTTTATGTCTCAAGTAGAAATAAGTTCAACCCCACTAATCTTCTTTGTCACTTGCAGCATTAACCTGGAATCAAGATCTGTGAACACTGTCTGGATAAGCTGAACTTTGTTATTTAAGGTTGGATGGGTTTCTGCAATTCATTTAAATTAAATGGAGTTTCATGCACACATGTGGGCATCATGGGTAATGTGCAGTATGTTGTGCTAGTTTTTCATGTGCTTTGGGGTCATCTCTGTTTACATGTGAATTCTGTATTTTCATATTAAATTTTACCTAAATGTATCTTACTGTGCTATATTAATTCATATCATGCTGTATTATATCAAGTTGTATTGCCTCATATTGTTTCCTGCTGTAATGTTAAATACCACATTGATCATGCTGTATCATATCCTACTGTGCCTTATCAGAGAGTACCATGCTGTATCTTATCTTGCTGTATTGTATTTTATCCTGCAGTATTGCCTTGTATTGTATCATGTCGTATTTAGTATTGCACCATGTATCATATTGAATCTTCTTGTGCTGTGATGAACTATGGTGCTGTATCGGAGAGTGTCATGCGGTACCATATCCATTTATAATTTCTATAACTTATATGTCATCATCTATTGAAAATTATGTTTAACTTCATGACTTATCCACATTACTGGCTATATAACTGAAACAAGTAAAGAGGACATCACCTCATGGAAAAAAGTTGTTTGACATGCTTTTATTTTGATTTCTTTCTTTCTTGCCTAAAGTTATGCTTTTATTTTGAAGTATAGTGGTCGATCATAGATTACAGAACTGAGTGAAAACTATTCAAAGAACAGTCAGATGGTGAACATGCTGAATTAATTAGTAACTTTAAGAGGCAGAAGCTCTTAAGCTGCATTTGGATTTGCAAAAAAATGGAGTTTCAGGTTTTTAAAGGGCTGAATCATCTCTTAGAGATCTGCTTTAGGTCAGTTTACAGACAGTCTGCTGCTTCTTCTTTGTCTCTCCTGTTTAATGGCGTGTGACGACCAGTGTTAAAGACTTCAGCTGTGACCTTGTGGTATTACTGTTTGCTTATTTTTAGTGTAATATCAATACGTCATATTTACAGATAGTTACCATCAATACTTTTCTATAATGACAGCCCTAGTTGTGATGTATTGCATCATGCTGTACTGTATCGTATCAGTGGTATTGTTTTGTATTAAACTGTATGTATTGGATCTCATTATACTTTATAAAACTCTACAAAAATCTATCAATATATATGGATTAATTAGGTTTCTTTTTTTTTTACTATTTTTTCATTTGCGAAACTTAATCACTGGCACAACAGCCTCTGTGCCACAGTTCAAATAACTGAAGATTGGTTGTGTGCTCTTTGTTTTCTCCTCTAATATCAGTGTCTGTCTTTCAGTCTGTTTGATTAGTTTTAAAAAGAGAACGTAATGGATGAATATATGAAATTAGGTCAAAGTAAAAGTCTATAACCATTTTTATTTGCTTTAATATTGAATATAATTTCATTTAAATTCCAAGGGGTGAAATAATCTGGATTTATGAAGAACCTCTCTGTTCATTGAACATCATAAAAACCAGCTGTGGGTGCCTAAGCTTACCTAAAGAACATGTAAATAACAGTGACCTGCACCTGCGGTAAAACATGAGTCCTAAAACCACTGATGAGGAAAATGAACGCACGGTGGACGGATTCATGACCAGCTCCCTGTGGTCTTTGTTTACAGTAAATCCACCTCACACTGTGTTTGTTTGGGTGTCAGTGTGAGGTCATTGTGCGTGTTTGTGTGCATGTATTCATGTTTTTTTGTGTTCTGTAAATGCATAAACCTCGACGTTTGAGTGCGTCCTGTGTGCGTGCATCTTTTGTGCATATGTGTATGTGAGTGTGCGTGCATGTCAGGCTGATCAGCCACCTCGGCCAGACTAATCCACAAGCTATAATCACCTCATCTCCGCAGCTAAAGTGCCTGTCCTACTTCATTTAGGCCTGATGTACGTCTGTGTTCCCCAAGACAATGGAGTCATTATAAATTAGGGTCAGTGGGGCTGCAGCACGACACACAGCA